AATTAAAATGATGGGCCAGTGCTAGATCATATAATAGGCAAACATGCAGTGACTTATGTACTTGGCCTCAATAATGTGATATCAATACTTTTTATTAGAGGAATACACAGCACTCCTGTACTTGGTGTAGTTTTTTACACGTAAGTGTTTTTTGGGGGATATCACGAGTTTTTGTTGTTCAACGGGGCATAGAAGCTCTAAGCACTGAAATCTACATTTTCATAGATATAAAATGTAAATGAATTATGATGTCGCTAATCAGAAAAATATATTGTGTCGTCGAAAATGTTGAATAGCATATAAATATAATTTGTAAGTCCCTTTTTTTTAGAAATGCATAAAGATATATACAAATTCTTAAAGAAAATGTAATCTTCAGTGCATATAAGCGTCGTTAATGGTGTCCAGCTTGTTGAAGCCGTGTGGTAAACGTAAGAGAGGAAAGTGTGCTGGATTATTTACGTACCTCAGGCCGTGCGAAGAACAGAGAGGATACTATTGTTTGAGCGAAGCGCCAAAGCGTCGCTCGTTGCACACTTTTCTGGGCACTCTAGACTTCTACGTCCGACACCCTGGACTTCCACATCCAATACCTGGACACAGGAAACTACGAAGCGGAATACCTGGACACCCTGGACTTCCACATCCAACACCTGGACACAGGAAACTACGGAGCGGAACCCCTGAACATCCTGGAAAAGATGCCTAGATGCAGGAAATTACGGAGCGGTACACCTGGACACCCTGGACTTCCACATCCAGTACCTAGATACAAGAAACTACGGAGCGGAATACCTGGATACCCTGGATTTCCACGCCCGGCACCTAGATACAGGAAAGTACGGAGCGGAATACCTGGACACCCTGGACTTCCACCTCCAACACCTGGACACAGGAAACTACGAAGCGGAATGCCTGGACACCCTGGACTTCCACATGCAACACCTGGACACAGGAAACTACGAAGCGGAATGCCTGGACACCCTGGACTTCCACATGCAACACCTGGACACAGGAAACTACGGAGCGGAACCCCTGAACATCCTGGAAAAGATGCCTAGATGCAGGAAATTACGGAGCGGTACACCTGGACACCCTGGACTTCCACACCCAACACCTGGACACAGGAAACTACGAAGCGGAATGTTCCACATCCAGTACCTAGATACAAGAAACTACGGAGCGGAATACCTGGATACCCTGGATTTCCACGCCCGGCACCTAGATACAGGAAAGTGTTAGAGGAATTCACAGCAATCCTGTACTTGGCGTAGTTTTTTACACGTAAGTGTTTTTTGGGGGATAAGGAGTTGACTCGAGTAAAGAGTCTCGGCGCGCTGCGCCCTGTACAGCCGGTTGCCTGTACTTGGCGCGAGACTCGACCGAGTCTCTTGATCCAGCGTGAGGGAGGTCTCCCTCTTCTTATTCCTGACGTTCAGTTACGCGAGGGTAGGTCAAAGTTACTCTCGACCTACAGGCAGAATGAAAAGTAGAGTTGCGCGCCTCCCATTACTTCTCACCTTACTGTATTTGTTTCTTTATTGCATAAATTATTTGATATTAATTTTCTTGTTTTAACTGCCTTATCGCATAAACAATAAAATATTTAAACGTTTTATGGAATACAAAAAAATAAATGATTTCCCACAAAAAATCATTTTAAAAAATAGTACGAAAGAAAAGAAATGGCTAACGAGTAATAGAAAAAATGATGGCCCATTGCTTTCTCTATTAATTATATTTTCTTGGTCTTTATTAACATGAAATTTTGAGTTTATGCACTGAATCAAGGATTTACAGGACTCAATAAAAAAATGGTTGTCGGAATATATTGTAACCTATATCGCGGCACGATGAGGTTCTCCAGATTGTTTGAGTTAAATGGCTTCAAACCAGATTTAATCATGAGGATATAAGTCACAGACGGAGCGACAAATGATAAAAGTTAAATTTTCTTTTATAATTTAAAGGTAAAGAGAGTTATACCGTTCTACACGGTGTATAAAAACATGACTGTCGGAACAATCTAAGGACGATGGTAGTTAGTTGTTAGTATGAAGCACGACTGAGCTATAATAGCCACTTTATTCCCTGAAAAGCAGGACTAAAGTAGCATTTTATTCCCGCACATTTGGTTTTCCCGCAAATTTACTTTATTCCCGCATTTTGCGGGAATAATGAACTTTATTCCCGCAAAATTTTGAATTTTTTTTTAATTTTGAAAATTTTGAAAATTTTTGAAAGTTTTGAAAAGGTGAACAATTTTTAAATTTTGAATTTTTTGATTATTTGAAAAAACGTATATTTCCATCATAATGACAGTGGCTGAGTAAGTCCCACTTTTCAAGAAATAAAGTGGCTACATAGTTTAGTCGTGAATAAAGCACTATATGTAACACGAGAGTAAAGTCGGTTATTCCCTCGGGTGATTTACTGCCCGAGCGAAGCTCAAACTCTCACCCGCGGGAATAATCAACGACTTTACTCCCTTGTTGCATAATGTACTATTTAGAAAAAATGATGCGGTACAACGATTGATTGGCACGCAGAAAGTATAAATCATTTATACCAATTATTGGTAGTAGATATTTCTAAAGTTGCCAATGGCATTATCACGTTACAGTGACATATTCTTAACACATTACGGATGGATGACGAGGTATCTCGCCTTTTGTATTCCACCGTTATAGAGATTGATGACGAGATCCCTCGTATTTACTGTTTGTTTAAAAATGTAGCTGGCTACTGGGTATAGTTAGCAATAAAATGTGTGGATTGCAATGGATTAGAATCATTTTGATCATTAAGTCCCAACTTCAAGATCCTTTGATGTACGTTTTTGAAAATTATTTCATTTCAAGCTATGTAAAATTCGAATAAGATTTTCCGTATTTTTGTTGAGATAACTTAAATTGAAGTTTCCATTTTCAGTATAAAGATATACTGTATATGTGAATATGAACAAATTTAAAGTTCAATATTTTTTTTCATTTTTATACTGTAAGTTTTCATGATTTTTCTTATCGAAACTTAACTTCCCTATATTTTAAGTAATTATTTTTCAACGTAAAATCTTGGACATGTTTTGAAATATAGTCAAGTCCGAACATGGTCGGTGGTCGGGATCGACAAGTGACGAGTCAGGCGCGCGCAGAAGCTCAAACCAACGGCCAGTCTGAGCCAGATAACAGTGTGGAGGCAGAGGATAAAAATCGCCTCGCGTGGGCTCATCTTATGGATCAGTATATAGATAAAGTTGTGACGATTAAATAATATATATAAAAAATGACAAAATATTTTTAGACTTTTATTATCATTTATAATATATTAACAGTCGTTTTGTAACGCTTTCGATAAAATTATCAGTAAAGCAATAAAACAAAACATATATATTCCTTATATTTAATTCGAGATCAAATTAACTGTGTAATTCTATAGCACACTCCTTACCACGGTTCTTTATAAAAATAATTTTTGCAGCCATAAATACATATTACATTACTTTTAAAATAATAATGTTCAAAGGCTTAAAAAAACTCGACGTACATATTATCGTATTCGCTTTCCACGATATACTTAAATGTTTCAACTTTCTATAAAAGTTATCATTACTATGTAACTGTAAATAATTGAATTAAACCCTAAATATAGGACAATGTAACCGATAACAATTGAAAATATACGTTTTCCTTCTGCACTTGAGGTGGAGAGAAAATCGAATGAAGTAGCACCTAAAGAATGAGAACTATTTGTTTATCATAAAAATTCCTTGATTCAAAATGTACGCTGCTCCAAAATTTATTAACTTCCAAACTGATTACATGCTCTGTTTGCTCTTTATAGCCATGAACAGAAAAGCAGTGAGAGAAATTAAAAGAAATTCATAAATAATAAATTAACAATTTATGATTAAATAAAGATTTATTTATTAATTATTAAGTTTCAAGAAAAGCTTCCTACGTATGCAAATAATACGAACAAACATAATGTTACATGTAACATGCATGTTAATAATTAGTTGATTATAACGTGAAGCATTATCCTTGCTGATATTCTATACACTAATGTCTAACAGCTAAAATACTTAAAAAAATTTTTACTATTTTAATCTTATTTCGTAAAAGAGTTCTCTGAATCTAATTTCGCGGGTCGATCAAACGTATTCAAATACACAACAAAAAATTCCACGCTAGGGATTTTTTAATTACTTTATCCGTAGAGGATAGTGACCAAACATGGAATAGTATCCATAGTATGGAATACCACTGTTTCTCTTAAACAATCAATTCAAAACGAAATATGCTACCATCTTCTATCTCAATCACTCACTTTAGAGTAGAAACAGCAAGAGTGTTTTGTTTTGTCCGTGCCAACAAAATTTTCAAGGTATGTACAAAATAAGTGTTTTTCGTTAGCTAATTTACAAGCATGCCGTTATTATACATTTAGCGTGTTGTATTGATGTTTGTTTTCATAATTTTGATACGTTCTATTGCGTAGCTATTGTTATTTGTAAAACACGACGACAAGTTTGAGCCTGTCTAAAATTCCAAATATGGACAGTCAATGGGTGCTTAATTATGGAATATGGAATTATGGAATACAGTGAGCTAATGTCATAATATGACAACAAGCTCCTGAATCAGCAGACGCTGAATGTATGTTCTGTCAGAGACTGTTTTCTGAAGATACTCAAAGAGAAACATGGATCAAATGTTTAATGTGTGGGCTCTGGGCACATAATGACTACGCTGGTCTAGAGATTGAGATTTGGGTTTGTGATATCTGCAAGTAGAATAAGTTAATTTTAACCGAATAAGATACTTTTCTTTTTGACTAAAGTCTCAAGATCTCTTATAAAGAGACGTTAATGTTTTTGTTGATTTTTTTTTAAGAAACTCTCATTTCCATATTCCATATTTAGGTATCTATTCCATAAATAGCTACTGTTCTGTTACTTGGATTTTTAAATAAAAAAATATGTTGATTAATATTAAAACACAAGACTATGACTAATTGTAAGATTGGCCAAAATGTATGACTGACTGTGTTTATAATTAATAGCGTTTAATTCATAATAGTGTTTTTTATGCCACAAAAACAAAATGGTATTTCATATTTGGTCACTTTCCTTTATTTGTGGTAAGGTGTGGGACGCAGTTACCCTCACTATCTGGCAACATTGCGCCTTACCATGCCACGTAAGATCAGAAAACGGATAATAGTAGGGGTTGGTTGTTGTCAGAGAAGATATCATTCGCGAGCACTCCATGTTCGAGATGATACATATTGTAGCTGTTTAACCCACGAATCCTTATTATGATTATAATGATAATGTTCGAACCACCTACCTTAAGGGGAGCATACTATTTAGAATTTTCAAAAAATCGATTTTTGTTTTCATATTTCGAAATTATAATATATTAAGAATGTACTGGAAAAAGAACAAATCGAAATATTAAATATTTATGGAGTTATTGCACATAGTCGAGATCGCCGGGGTCGGCATACCGTATACTAGCGAGTCAGGTAACCGGAGCGCTTGGGGTGGAACAACGTTTCTTTCACAATATCTTTGTATAATTCTTTGAAGACCTTACTCCATTACTTGGCGACGAGATTAAACATCATCTCCTACCAATTTATGAAGATGATTTACTAGAAAGATGCTTGGGTGGCCATACCCAGAATGCCAATGAAAGTTTCAACGCGACAGTTTGCCGATTATCCCCAAAGCACCTGCATTCTGGGTTAAAAATCATTGCAATCTCAGCCTATATTGCTGCTGGGATATTTAATGAAGGCTACACCTCCATTCTTAGAATTATGAATAATTTAGATATAATTGTTGGCACCTACTCGAAAGTTTTCACCGAAAACACCGATGAGGCGCGAGTAGCGAGGCAGACCAAGATGAGCCTTTCTGAAACTAAAGCAGCTCGTATAGCTAGAAAACAGCAACAAATAGAAGATAATCAGCTTTTCGAAGAGGCTGAAGGATTATTATATGCGTCTGGAATCGCTGATTTATCGGTAAGTCACTAAAACTAATAGTTTCATCGTACTGAAACTTTAAACGCGATTATCTCGAAACTACATTTTCAAAAACTGCTCGTGTTGTAACTCAAAAAGTTGTTGGCCGATCTGGCTGAATTTATGGGAGGTGATTCTCTATAATATTTTCGGAAGGACAAAGTGAAGTTTTAAAGATATCGCGTAAATAAAATATTTTTTGGGATAAAAACTGTCGAAAAAATGGTCGAAAATTCGAACATTTTTTCAACAGCCTACCAAATTTTTAATTTTATACTTTTTCATTGCTTTTTAGGTTAGTCCTTCCCCTTTACATGTCAGTAATCGAAAAATAATTGTTTTTTTGGTTTCAGATCACTACAAAGAACGTGAAAACTGCAGCACTTTTCGGTGTCACGCAAAACACGCCTGGCCAAATAAGACACAGAGCCGCCATTTTCTTTCATAACAAAAAAAAATTTTTTCTATGCTTTAAAGATGAAATAAAATGATACCACAATTTCAAAATGATGCGATTATTTTATCACCTTCAAAAAAATTCATGAAAAATGCCTCATTTTCGGCCGTCTAAATAGTATGCTCCCCTTAAGACAAACTTTATTCCAAATTTCTTTCCCAGTCGATTATTATATGATTATTATTTCGCTTTTGAACTATTGTTAATTTTTGGAACAGACGATGCATTTATCAATAAGATAAGATATATTTAGAAGACTATTAAATAAAACCACTGGGAGCCTGTTTTGAATAATAATAGGTATGTTCATTCTAGCCATTTACGTACTCTGGAGAACTATAAGTGTGTTCAAAAATGAGCCAAAAATACTGAGAGCATCGTTATTTCTCTGTTTATTCAATGTATTTTATTGAGACAAAATGATGCCTCCAATACTTTCAATTCATTTTTAAACACATCTATAGTGCTCCGGAGCATATAAAAATGCTAGAACGAACAGACGTAATGGCCCAATAATTGTATACTTCACGTGAGCAATAAAATACAAAAATCTGCTTTAGTAGTAATATTGACGCTTTCTGAACACAGATTTTTGCACAGACATTTATCTACAGTAAAAGTATCACATTTCAAAGCACTTTATTCATCTTGGCATTGTATGCAACAACAGGCTTTTACTATTTTGGAATTTGATCCCCATAGAGGGACCGCAAAACTTCCAAAAGCAAAAGTAAGTTATGAAAAATATTACTGTCACTCCTTGGTGATTAAACTACATCAGTATCATTAGACCAGACTGTTTTTTCGATCCAGTCCAAGTAGGAGTGAACGGAAATATAAACTCCTGGAGAAGGTCCACCACACGACTGTCCAAACGATGTCACACCCACGAGCGTTAGATTATTTTCGGATTTTATAAGAAGAGGTCCACCACTATCTCCCTGACAGGTATCAGCTCCTCTTGTTATATTTTTATCAATGGCGCATATCATATGGTTGTCCAGACCACTTGGTATCCACCTATGATCGGTATACGCTTTGGAACATTCGTCGTTTCCTACAAAACTGTAATTGAAAGACGAGCAATGAATATAGTAGTATCAAAATAATAGAATTTTTTGTTGACATATAATAAGCCAGCTGACCGTAATTCCTCAGCTTTCAATAATTTAGTTGATCCGTCCCCATAGACACTGGTTGCACCCCAACCAGTTACTGTCAGCGTATCATTTTTAGATAAATTCATCTCTGTCAGTGATTTCATTTGAATGCATATTGGTTGGACGAGGAACGACCTGTAGACTTTCTTCTCCAGTTTGAGGATAGCAATGTCGTGGTAATATGTGCTAAGATTGTATTCTGGATGTATGATGATTTTACTAATTGGAATTTCTAAAGGGTCTGGAATAACTGTTCCGAGATCATCATTACCCAGCCTTACCTGTAATTATTATGTAAATATGACATGGCTGTTTCATAACGCGTTACATGCAAAGTAACGATTCTCTATACTAATAAATCAGATTGTAATTGATTCTCAATTCTATTATTGATTCCATACCGGCATATTTTATTTATTATACAGTATATCTTATACTTTCTGATGCAGATGGAGAAATAATTTATAATTATTGAAATTAAATAACTGTGTTGACGTTGCCTTATACATATATTTTATTTATCTTGAGATACACCCAGAGCTCACTTTACGTTGCTTCAATTTTGTTTTATTCAGAATTTGTGCAAAATAGCTCCTCATAAATTATAATTGATGTCGTGTAATTTTGTTGTTGCGGCTAATTGACACTTATACATATACAACAATAATAAAATTTGTTTCTGTTCATTTCAATTCTGTATTTTACTTCATAATTTTTTATGTTAAATGGGGTTATATTCAGTATTTTCTAAACTTTACATATTAAAAGTAGTAATACCGATTAACGATCTTTCATATTTCAATGGAAATTATATTTCGATCGGTGTCGTTTAGTACAGTAATATTTTGCAAAAACGCTGCCTCGACGCAAAGTGGAGTCCTGATGTCATAACACTATAGCTTTTGAGTACTTGAAGCACCAGTTCTTTAAGTCTTGTTATAGAAAGCATGGATAAAAAAAAGACTTACCAAGACAGGTACTCGACTTTGTATATTGCTGACACAATGCGCCGCAGTCAATACGTGCTGCAATGATATCAAGGTTCCACCACATAAATATTTGATAACTTCGACATTTTTTTCATTGGTGTCCCTGTATCCTAAAGCAGCCATATATGGAAATTCACCGAAACGGACGTTAACGCCAACCAAAATGCCCCATCTTCTCGGACCGCTTGCTACATTATCTCCGTCGTTTGCAGTTTTTGACCCAACTTCATTTTTGTATCTGACACAAGCTATAGTACAACGATACAATTTTTATATTAAAATATTAAATAATTTATTCCTTTTTTAGGTTAACAAATTTTTTTTTAAATAGAAAACAAAGGAAGTAGTATACATTTTTTAACGTTGCTCGACATCATTTCTTCATTAAAATGCTATTTTTATAAAAACTGTACAATGTTATTACCAAGCGTGGTTAAACCGTCTATTTGATTAGTGAAAGTGAAATAGACCCATATGTTTCTACATAGGAACTAAGAACAATTTGACAACAATAGGACCGTTTAATATACAATAATTTACTTTTAAAAGTTATAGAAATTGGAAAGAATTAAACTTCTAAAAAATTGTTGCATCTACGGCAATGCGATGAGAATGAAAAGTCCATACAAAGTGACATATTTTATCAGATTTTGAAAACGAGAAAACAATTTCTACGCGTACTTTCTTTCTTGTATGATTACGAAACTCTTTTACGTGGAAAAATAAAGCATAGCAGTTTCTTCTCCACACCATATTTCATTATTTTTATATGGAAGAAAATGAACGAATTTGTTATACGTATATTCTAGTAAACTTTATTTACCGTTTATACTTGATAGGGGAGAGGCGACGAATCTGGCGCACCTAAGGAAAATTCTCAATTATAAAATGAATAACAAATTAATAAACATCTGCACATATTAATGAAGTAACACTTTAGCTAAAGTTTTACATACTTTAAAAATAAATTATATCACTTTAAAATATAATAATCATTGGCTTTGTAAACGATTACATTTCGTCGAAATACACCCCTTACTGCTAATGTGGCAGACAACGTATTTCAAATAGAAAATATGCTTTAAGAGGAATGTTTTTGGATTTCTTGATTGAAACTTACATCAGAAGACATCGACTAACAAAGTGTACGTATATAAATAAATTAACAATAAAATTTAGACAAATTCGGTGATCCGACGAAACACGTCAATAGGTTTATTGCATATTGCTTATTAGGCTAAGTTTGTTGACGAATAGAATATTATAAAAAGTAGCTTCTGGGTAAAACAAACTAATAATTCAATTGAGAAAACAACTCTTATTACCTTTTATAATAATCAAATACGTGCCGATCTGCGCCACATTACATGTACAGGGTTTTCGAATCTATTTATATAATACTGCATATATTACTTAATAATAATAATATTAAAAAATTATACATTTAAAAAAATAAGACATCAAGGATTCTAAAAATTACATTAAAAATGTTGATCTGTGCCAAAACTTACTTTTCATAATAAAATAATTAGAGTACATATGTTAATTATAATTTGTACTGTGTGATAAGTCGATGCATTAATTAATTGAATGAGAATTGCTTAAACGTTCTATGAAATCGTATTACAGGAAAATAAGCGTGCTCCACGTTAGCGAATGCGCTACATTAGACGCCTCTCCCGTATATTTCGTTACACTGCACGTGTTTTAATTTGAGTGTCAACATTATTTTACACTTATACAAATAATTCGTATCTTCTTACCTATATGCGCGGGCCGAGTATTCCAATGTTTCAAAGTTTTCAGTGGACAGCAAACAATTTCTGTAAAATTGAAAAATCCACAACGATCAACAGCATTAGAATACCTTAGACCCTCCCTTACTTCTTTTAGTTTTATAGAACATTCTGGGAGTCTTTTGCAAATACCAAGACGACCGTCATTTAAGGTACAGTTACTTCCTTCTGTAACATCCAAAAATAATCGTGATTAGGATCTCTATCTGCTTCCATCTATTCTTCTATCTATGTATTAGACAATAATTATTGTTTATCTAAATTTGTTTTATTTCAATACGTGAGGTGCCGGTGGGTGATTCGGTGCAATGGGTGAACCGGGGCATGCTAACAAAGAAATTGGAAGTTTGGAAGAAAGTTGAGGTAATAAAAAATTATTCTAGATTGCGCGCGAAGCTTAATCTTTATTATCCACTAAGAAACTCAACGATCTGGAGGAATACTCAGAGAAATAAAATCTTGTGAAAGTACATGAAGGTAACGTCTAGCGATTTCGTATTTAAAATACAAAGATTAAATATTTCGTTTTGAATTATAGTCGCAATCATTCCATGAAAATGTATATCCGTTTCGAAAGAATAGTAATGAATGAAATATATTTTCCTTTTTAAATCAAAACACCCTAATTTTATTGTAGGTATTTTTTTAAGTTTATCTATAGAGCAAAGAAATCAAAACTCGGTACGGCGGGTGTCCAAACGTATTTCATAATAAATTGTGAGTATGTAAATGGAGCAGTAACATACGCAACTGTCAAGCATTTTCAGTTTAGAAGATTCTCATGCGGAAAATTAATTTTTTTTTCAGCAGCGAACGCATCAGATACAATATAGATCATTCATAAATCTTATTTGACAACATATACAAGACCCGACTATGATACAGTAGGTCTACGAGTTCGATGTATTTCTTGACAGTTCATAAGAACAATGAAATTATTAGGAAATCGCACAGTCTTTCAAATAGAGAAATAAAATATATTTCAGTGCAAAATTATGCACATGCATACCTTGTAACAAGAATATTATGCAGAGCCACGTGTGTTTTCCTAAAACTTCATTATTTTAATTCTGTTAGAAAAGCACATTGAAATCGTGAACTGGCTATACATCTATCATGTTTGTAGTGTGGCGAAAGCGTACAACTAGAGTGTTCAGAAATATGCATAAAAGTACCTAGTATAATTTACGCATGCGCAGTATTTTTTCTAATGCTCTAATAAACAGTGCCACATTCGCCACACTGTACAAACACGAAAAGAGGGACTTTTGTGAACGTGTTACAAAAAAGATATACCTTACCACATCAGTTTATCAAGATTAAAAGTAAAAGGACTTATGTATGCTGAAAATCTTATGTTTATATTCTTATTATACAGAGAAAAAACGGTTTGAAAAACGCAGTACTACTCATATACCTGCACCGTTGCCAATATTTTCGAAAAGGCGGCGTAGCTCGGTGGCAGCGCGCCTGACTATCACCCGAGCGGCTAGGGTTCGATTCTCCCATCACACGTGTATTTCCTTATATTAATTCTTTTTTTGGAACGCTATTATTTTTTATTATCAGACACTGGTTTTACCCGACAAGCCATGTTTATCTATTAACAATTTTGTCAATTTACGTACGAAATGAGTGCATTGGAACACTATTATTTTTCATTATCAGACACTGGTTATTAGAAAAGGTTATGAAGATTAAAAGCTTATTGTTAGGTGTACATATGTTTTTTATTATTCGCTATCACTACTGGCTTCTGTATAGCCTTTACATTTATTTAGATGGTATGTATCATAAAAGCATGCAAAACATAAATTATGTTCACACCATGCACATTTTATGAATACAACTTTTTGTTCGTTGCAATGGCAATGTTCTTTTGATATTGACAGAGGAAAGTTAATTTCGTTCACATTTAAAAACATAGGTCTGTTTTCAGTTAGTTTTGCATTCATAAAAAGTGCATGGTGTGAACATAATTTATGTTTTGCATGCTTTTATGATACATACCATCTAAATAAATGTAAAGGCTATACAGAAGCCAGTAGTGATAGCGAATAATAAAAAACATATGTACACCTAACAATAAGCTTTTAATCTTCATAACCTTTTCTAATAACCAGTGTCTGATAATGAAAAATAATAGTGTTCCAATGCACTCATTTCGTACGTAAATTGACAAAATTGTTAATAGATAAACATGGCTTGTCGGGTAGCAAAAAAAAAAGGATTAATATAAAAAAATATACGCGTGACGGGAGAATCGAACCCTGGCCCGCTCGGGTGGTAGACAAACGCACTGCCACCGAGCTACGCCGCCTTCTCGAAAATATTGGCAACGGTGCAGGTATATGAGTAGTACTGCGTTTTTCAAACCGTTTTTTCTCTGTATAATAAGAATATAAACATAAGATTTTCAGCATACATAAGTCCTTTTACTTTTAATCTTGATAAACTGATGTGGTAAGGTATATCTTTTTTGTAACACGTTCACAAAAGTCCCTCTTTTCGTGTTTGTACAGTGTGGCGAATGTGGCACTGTTTATTAGAGCATTAGAAAAAATACTGCGCATGCGTAAATTATACTAGGTACTTTTATGCATATTTCTGAACACTCTAGTTGTACGCTTTCGCCACACTACAAACATGAAAAGAGAGAGTTTTCATGCATTTGTTACAAATAGTTATTTATGTATCTTGAGCGAACCTCGCTTCTTTTCGTCGCAGTGTGTATCGTAGACGCTCAGGCGAAAACAAGCGAGAGTTTCGCTCAAGTTACGTTAACAATTTTTCTGTGCGAGCGGCCGTATCGGGTGATCCTTTCTTCTTCTCCATTCTCCTTCTCCCCTCTTACACTCTCCTTCTCCTACATTGCTCCTCTCCGGCGCTGCTGCTGCCGCGTTGCAATGACAAAAGACTTCTCTCCTGCGCTGCAATAACTGCTATTTCGGTGCACTAGATAGAAAACGAACAAACCTAGCGTCTTTGCAGCGCAGGAGCGGGAATCAATGGCTTTACACATTTACCCGACTCTGCACGATGTTCGCCCGATTACGGACGCGAGCGCTGAAAAACTATTATGTGACACGGACAATGTCCAAAAAGCGGACACTTGACCCAAAAAGCCCACTTTTTCGCACTCGTACCAAAAAGTACTACTGCCCTCCTGAAATTAGTGCTAGTCAATTTTTGTCAAGGAGCACCGATTTACCTCCGGCATTCTAATTCATGGAATCGACATCGATTCGACAAGCCTTGAATATTTATATTTATATTTGATCTTGTAAATATACATATTATTAACATCCAGGTGTGTTTCATTCCAGTCTTGTCGTAGCTAAATATTAAAACCGGTTTTAAAAGCACGACTTGTTGACCATGAATACCAGTCAGTTGGATTTGACTTAAGAAAATCTTATCACTGCGGGTATAATAAAATTATTATTAAATTTATTAAATTTATTAAATTATTAAATTATAATATAAAACATTAAAAAATATAATAACTGATACCGTCCAAAATTGCGCAGTGGTTTTTGAGGTTTCATTCATCTTTTGATGTTCAAACTTGCACTATGGAACACGCAGTAGTGTGTAAGTATGGGATCCTCCCTTAATCGACAATTCTCAAAACTCCAAGTCCCGTATCAGAAATCTAGAGGATCCCACTGTACAAAAAAAATCTTCCATATTAGACATAAGGAATCAGTTTTTTGTTAATTTTTAGAAAATTTATACAGACCAGTCCAATCTATTCTAACCCATCACATTCTTTGAGTTTCAAACTGTCCTAGTCTTAACTAGCTATTCACAAACCCATTACAGTATTACGATATTGATGATATTTTTATAAATAATCCACCACGAAGATCAGTTCATAGACAAATATCTATTATTTTATTTATTTAAACAATATCCTCTTTACAAGAACTTAACACTGTTTTTAAATAAAACAGTGACCAGTCAAACGATAACGCGTTATATGATTATCAATACAACTAATTATCCAAAGATATAAAGCTAATTTGATTTTTTTAAGTGGAAGCCAATTCTGTCACTTATTAGAAACGTCTGTGGATCGGTGGGTGAAAGTGAAGATATTATCCTAGTTTTAACCTGCTACACCGCATGATCACCGGTACCATCCCCAATCAGGTAGACCAACCGTAACAACCGTATCTCATATATGTTATATATTTTTTTTTTCATTTCAACAGATCGCGTTTCGCGAGACATTTTTATCACGTAAGAATATCAAATGGTAATTCCGAGGTAAAATTTAGGTTTGTGAATACTTTTCACGTCTATTACGGTGTGCGTATAATTTGGGATACAATTGCCAATGCTTCGATTTGCGTAAAAACACGTCCAAATCCTGTAAATTAATCTTTCACAAGAATATCCAAGGAAACATAAAATAACATTTACATATGGGCAATGTTAAAATGTTTCTACTCAGGGATACAACAGTTACGTACATGAGGTGTTTTCTAACTGTTAAATACTTGAGTAGGATATTTTAACATTGTGGCTTCGTGTTTGCTGGAATACTATAGTTCTATTGACAGATCTCATCTATTCTTCAATTTTTGTATATTTTATATTCGTTCTAAACAAATCCTAGTGCATTTGACATGAATACTCATGATTTCCGGATGGAAGATGCGTCTGTGTTCAGCTTCCTGCCGACATTTCACAAACGTTTCAGTCTGCATCATCAGGGCTAGGAGGCTACGATACTGAAGCTCCCAGTTTTCAAGAAGTTTTACTATATCTACGATTGCTCATGCGGATCAGCGTTTCAGCCGATCGCAAGTTCTGCATTTGACATGATAAAAGTTAATCGATTACGTTTGCATATTCCACAAAGAAATTCCAATCCTTCCACAGATTAGTATTCAACGTATACTAATTTTAATAATTGCTAATTTAATAAAATTCACATGCGTCCAGAATAATGAACCCAAATAAAATTCTATGAAAGTCACAAGTGTCAAGGTTCTCCAGATGTCAAAATGCGAAACAATAGTCGTAATCAAACTATTTACTGAAACGTATACATCTCAGTAATAATTTTATACGGCAATAATGTACTGTAAAAGCTACCATAGACTCTTTAAGTACTACAAATCAAATCTGAAACATCTTAAGTACGTATATTCAATGATGCAACTAGAAATCAAGCCAGGTAGAGAAACTGATACTAAAACTTTTTATATTTCCTTAGCTACCTAGGTAGACAAATGTACGTAAATTTTTACTATAAATATTTAAATAAAATAATTAAACAAAAATCATTAAATACAGCAACGGTCCATGTGTTCTGACTACTCACCTGACAGTATACAATATGTATATGTTAAATTAAATGATAAAATAAAAATGTAAAAACAGTCGTAAATATTAAATGTCATCGTGCTAAATATAAGAGATAATTTTAACTCATGCATAATCTACCATAATAAATGGTAGATATGGTCTAAGTTTACCTCATATCATGATGAACAAGACTTTTTATTAATTCGTCAGATTTACTTCGTATTTGCATTAGTATTCAGTGTAGAAAATAAGGTCCGGATCTGACTAGACCCCGTCTAAAATCAGTCCATGAATTTAATTTTTGTTTTGCCTTTATGTGCCTTTCTAGAGACTTCATTGTTTTCGATCTGTCAATAAAACATATCGAACTTGTGAAGTAACTATAATTCGATAAGCTCGACATCATAGAATGTTCAAAAGTTGTCTTTAAGGCGTCTAGCGTACACCTAAATATACACCAACACCTGGAAAATACGCCATACGATGCACGGATATATATTTCCTTATCATTCTTGAAATCATTTTCACAGTTTACATGTAATTATATAAATAAGATTTTATTGACTATTGTCAGAGAATAAAAAGGTTTCAAATATGCTTGATGAATTGCACTACCATTATCTATATTTACCTTAGCCTGGTTAAAATCAAATTTCAGGAAGAAACTGAAAACATTTTTATTGAAATAGATAGTTGATCTCATAATAATTCATTCCATTAATTATTAAACGTAGGTTATTCGTACTACACGAAAGTGATTCACTCAAAACCTGATTTGGCTTGAACAATTTGTACAATTAATTAAGGTAGTATGATAAATTATGCTAGAAAGTTGACCCTACATTTTTTTTTAAGCCTGATGGAAAGAGCTCAATCAGCTGCATCTACTGGCTCAAAACAAAATTTGTTTACCGTCTAGTTAAAGAGATATTAATTATTGAAGTTGGGAAAAATTAAGGTGGTGGGGAAAAAAACGGTTGTATTTAGTCAGATGTCCTTCATTTTCGCAAAAGTTAGCAAGTTAACCCGTACACTAGAATTTATTTCCAGATAGCTTGATATTCAAGGCATTCACTGTCAAAAATGAACATTATTTACTATGTACTTATTGAGAAATTATTGTTAAACGAAACGTATGCGGCGCATGTCTATATTTTTCGCGTGTTCTCTTCCCCATCTGTAAACGCTGGGAAAAAATGACGGTGCAGATTTGGACTTCAGTAAGCATTATGATTTATTTATCGGAATAATTATTATTTGCTACTATTAAATTCATATTTTTAATATATTTTTTTATTTGTTTTATGAAAGTTTAACAAATTATATATGGCTATTAATTCGACTTCAGCCAAACTCTACCATACTACCTTAAGTGTCAACATTGTAAAAAATAATTGAGTCGTATGCTACTAGAACTTTACAATGTAAAAACTTCCAGTATCTACAGAAATTATGTAAATTTTCAATTATTAACATGAACACTAATATACGTAGCACCCCTTGCAGCATAATATTCAATACGTTTATTATTTATTATTAAATATTCAGATACATGTTAGAAACATAGCTGAAACATATAAATCTACTTGTTAGGTTTCATAAACTTTCCCAAAACGTATCTCAATGTTTTGTGCTATATGGGACTGCCTAATATCATTATTGTATTATAAAAAAGTACAAAAATATCATAGGCTTTTTACGTGGAAAAATGTGAAACATAGAAAACTCTTATATTCCAACTAGTAGAAATCCTTCTAAAAAATATTCTACAATAAACATACTATTGCAGTCTGAGATGAAAGTTATGTTATTTTATATATAATTCCTACATAAAACTGTAAAGTAAGAAGTAATTAGTATCTAAAGCCAAAGTGGATATATCATACCGTAAATATCAATCTCGTAGGATAAACCGTCCACATGTCCGAAAAATAAAAGAATAAGCCAAATTCCCGGTATCATGTCCATTATCTGCTTTCCGACACCTCTTATTAAATTACTGTATTTATTTCTTTGGTCTGAAAAAAATTAATTTAATTTTTCCCTAATATAAAAAGTTTGCTGTTCACTGTGGAACTCACCAAAGGTATAGCGAGAACTGGGAAAACTTCCTCATCTCCTCCGTTAGTCCTCCGATGCTGCATCCACTAACATCTTGATAAGAGTCATTGTGTATGGACTGGACTGCGTAAATATATGAGTGATTATTGTACACATGCGTAATCCACAATACGAGGAAGAATAACGAGTTTCAGGACTTTGTCAGTGCGCAATAAGCACAACAATCCCGTATAATATAGATATGCACATACAGTCGAACCTCGCTAACTCAAACCTCTATAACTCGAAAATCTCTATAAGACTGAGATTCAGTCCGTTCCCTTGCAAAGACCTCCGTAATTCGAAGAATAAACAGAAAATAACTCGCAGTATTTCGAACGTATTACTGTTCATTACTTTATCTCTGTAACTCAAATTCAAAGAAACCTGACCTCTATAAATCAACGGCTATCTCCATAATTCAAAGTTCCAATACTCTGACCTCTACAATTCAAAGCGATTTATGCAGCATCCTAAAAAAATACATGTCACAACCTGCATTCCCTAATTCCGCCTACAAACTAATGCTTGTCAGCAAAATGAATAGTTGATTCCGAATCACAAGTTTTTTCTTCGAAATGACATCCAAAAAATTTTTAGGAAAATACTTTTCATTTTTTGGATACATATTGTATAAATTATATTTATGTATGTATGTAGGTACTACACCTTAAATTAAAGATTGTCTCCGCTACATTTGGCGAATTTTTACGAGCCTCTATGAGTCGAATATGATTTTGGTTAACTTCTATAACTCGAAAACTTCGATAAGACGAAACCTCTTCTACTCAAAGAAATTAGCTTTGCCCCTGAGATACGAGTTAGCGAGGTTCGACTGTACATTTATATATTTATATACGTATATTGATATGAAGATTTTCACGGTTAAGTATACATTGTATGTATGCATATGATCTACTACTGTCATTATTTGGATCTCACATGAAGACGGGGCTCCTAAAAATGACGCCAAAATGTGTATGTACATACACTTTTCGTCGGATCTACATATATGCGCTATATTGATGCCCTAAGTTCAAAATGTTGTGACCTACATTTACGAAATTGTACAGGAAACGAAGAAACATGGACGCCCATATTAGTATTACTATGTATTTTATAGGTATTGTACTAGTTTATAAATTTAAAATATCACATAAAAATAATTTCCAAGTTATGAAGCAATTCTTATTCGTGACTATTATATCCTTGAGTGGGAAATGGTAACATTGCCGATAAGTATCAGTTACTTTGTCTCTGCTGGATTGTATACTGTAGAAATTTTATATATCATTTCTAATAATGTTCAATATGTTTCTTCCAAAAATTTACTGTAATGTGCTACTAATTGTGGTAATTACTACCGCAAATAGCTACAAAACAATTTACTGTTAGAAATATTGTAACCAGCAAATACAATATTGCATACAATTTGTGTCTTACTTGTAATCTCCTATTTATTGTACTTTCATAACGTCAATATAACAATGTTATACATTTACGTTATGAATCTAAATTCCCGCATACACAATATAAAATAGAGTACCTGCATGCCTGGATATTTTACGTAACAAGCACAAAGTAATAGTTATATACATATAGTAATAGTTACCAATATTAGAGTTTTCCATTAAGTAATGTAATAATAAGTGGGATCTAACACTGGACGGACAACTCTACGCGATTAACTTTAGCCGTCGGTAAGTTAGGGCAACAAAATTTATTAATTAAATAAAAAAATATTTTTTATAGTAATTCCAAGTAGTAATTGTAGTTTTGATCTATCCTAACGATATTTAACCTTACATACATAAACCCATCACAGCATTACATTATTGGTCGGACTCGCTCGCTAGTCGACGTTACTTTTATAACTAGAACACCATGAGGATCAGTAGTAATGTAGACAAATGCCTGTTATTGCATTTCTTTAAAAACTCCCTTAATTTGGTTGGAATTACCATAAACAATATTTTTTCATGAGATCTGCAACGAAACTTCAAGTTTCAATATATCGACGGCCAGTAGAAATAAGCTCATTTTAGGCTAATGTCGCGAGCAACTATAACGGATACGTAAATTACGAATGCTTTAAATCAGCGGGCGGAAACAATTGTTTCTTGGGTATCCGCCATATTATATTTTAGTATTTTCTTCAGGAGAAGAATTTTTGTGTTGCAGAGAATTATTGAGAGTTCATTGAAATATAATGCGATTATAAGTTATTTTTTGCTTCCTCATAGAGGAAGCTATGTGACGGTGGAAAATTTTCCTGTCGAGATTTTTATGTCACCATGTTCAGAATGTTGCAAAACCTCGAGAAAACATGTTTGGAGAAAATGTCCGGATGTATGTGTGTGTGTGTGTGTATGTGTGTAATGGTCTCCCAAAATTCAAACGTGTATAACTCGAGAACGGTTTTAGCTACAGCCCCCCCATTTTGCAGGCATATGCAGCTCTGTAATCCCTTCTTTGACTATAATTTTCGTCATGATTCAAGCTGTGGCTCAAAATTGATGTCATTTTCAAATTTCCAAAAAAAGGACGTTCGCACTCTAGCGATCGCAAATTTTGTGATAACCGTCTAAATAGTTCTTGACAAAGAGATATGTATCCAAGGTTGGTTGGTATTGCATTTGGACCGAATCGATCCAGAAGTTTTGATTTTATGATATTTTGAATTTTTCGAAAAATTAAATTTATTTGACTTTGACCGATTGAGCTCCAATTTTCGAAAAGTATAGAGTATCATTTAGCCGTGATATGTCTCAAATTTGGCGGAGATTGGTAAAACGGATCTGATTATACATATCTTCAAGTTTTTGAATTTCAGCCAATTAAAAAATATTAGGCCCGAAGAGATCATGCAAGAGATTTATCCTCACATACGTTCTCTACAGTATGAAGGATTAGGCATATCAGTCACAGACGGGTATCCCAAAACAGAAACTAACCATAACGGCGTTTCTGCAAGTCATATGAATTTCAATGTTACAATATTTTTCATATACTGTTTTATATAACTAACTGTAATACTTACCCATGAACTGTATATTGAACAAGCTGCAAGTTGAAACTTGCAATTTGCTTCCTCCGAATCGTAAGTAGTGTACAAAGTCCCTATATGAGGATGCCAAGAATTTTAATTTTATAATTTGCTTCCTCTGAATCGTGGGTAGTAGATGAAAATTCATCTATGAGGAAGCCAAAGATTAAAAAAAATGAAAATGCTTCCTCATATAAGGACTTCGTACACTACTTACGATACGGAGGAAGCAAATTGCAAGTTTCAACTTGCAGCTTGTTCAATATACAGTTCATGGGTAAGTATTACAGTTAGTTATATAAAACAGTATATGAAAAATATTGTAACATTGAAATTCATATGACTTGCAGAAACGCCGTTATGGTTAGTTTCTGTTTTGGGATACCCGTCTGTGACTGATATGCCTAATCATCAGTTTCCAAAAAGTTCAGATCGTTTTAATTTGTGGAAAACTGGTATGGTCATTATAGATCAGGTATTAAACAATATCACTTTTCTTATGTAGAATTTTCTGTTATATCTTTAAAACCAAGAATCTCACTATAATATGTGCTTCAGATTGTGCAACAGAATAATATGACTATAAACCATATTGATCACATGGATATAGACTGTGATACACACAAAAATTCAAACAAATTTGATAATGCGAATGAGAAGCTTTTTAAACCTCCTTCACCAACATGCAAAAAATTTGAAAAGTTGGGGAAAAATATAAGGAAAGCAGATCTTACACCAAGAGCTTCTCGTCTGCACTCTGTAACAAAAACATTGAGAAGAAAACAAATTGCCACCATGTCAAGAATGAAATCTTTTCAACAAAAATTATTCAAACTTTGATGTCCTCCAATTGGCAGATTCAGAGACAGTTTATAGAAATTCAAATACCTATTGCAAGGTATGCACCAAGGGTATACAAACAATTTTATAATATAACTGCTATGGAAAAAGCTCTTGAACTTGGATTCGTGGGTCCATAGAGCTATACTTTGTGTAACCAACATCACAGCAATTCATAAATTGAAATTCTATACAAGAAAGTTAGAATGGGAAAAAGGAAAACATTTCAGTAAGTTTAATTCTATAGTTAACTTTCGTCGGTTTAAATAATAAGGATAATAATATTTACTGTAATTTATATTCCCAGGTGGTATCATTAAACTGTATGGACAGGATATTATACCGCTGTATGATGCTCCTCATCTTATTAAGAATGTGTGTAATAACTTACTGAATTAGGATTTAGAAATAAAACACAAGGAGACAGAAGAAAAGGACAGGAAGTTTGTAGCATGAGATATTATTTCTCTCGCATACAAAATGGATGCCCATGCAGAGAGTTTGTATCAAATGGTGCCAAAGTTTGCAGCTGAGCATGTGATAAGAAAACGAATTTAAAAAATGAGAGTAAAAAATGCAACATAGGTACTAAGCAGGATAGTATCCGGTATTGTACATCATCATACAAGACTTGAAGGTATGCATTTTCATTTTACATACTCTTTGGATTTATCCTTCCATTAATGTAGTATTTTAACATTGACAATTATTGTATATTTTATTTCAAAACACATTAATACTGTACATGGACAACTGACCATGCTGAATATGGAAGGAGAAGTGACAGCAACATAAATTGCTCTTCTTTAACGACTTATTCGATTCTTTAAATAGATACACTCTAAAACTAGAGACTCGAAAAAGGAGCGAAAGGATCAATGTGCTCCTTCATGAATCTCCTTCTTTTGAATTCATTAGGTTACTAGGAGTACGTAATATTAAGCCAACCTACGTGCTCTTCGAAAGTAGCTTCAGAAACCTTATTAATTAACAATTTACCGTCATGTCACACGGTTGCAAATTCGAACCGACATGTGATGGAGAATTACTTTTAAATACTCGAAAATTTCCTTCAGCAATTAAAAAAAGAATGAGAATACGTCAGACTGCAGTGACAATTATGTTGATCTGCTATTCGAAGACATTCCATACAAGCAAATGCATTAGAGAAGAAAATATCGAACAATTCAGAACTGAATAGTTGCAATTGTAACAATACATTATTTAATATCCAAGGTACAGAAGATCTTAAAAAATTAAATTCATGCTGAACTGAAATGTTTAATAACACGGTATGCATACCACAGAAAAAGTTGCCCAGTACATGTTTTTGTCGGAATTTGAGAACCATTCTTGAAACTGCGTTATATGCCTCTACTTAAGATCCACCTGTAACATATATCAATCAAAATTAAAGGACCTATTTTTGACCTTCGCCACCGATTTCGAAATTAACAATAATTGGTGTAGAAAACGCAATCGCATTTTAGGCGTAAAGGACCCTAGAAAATGTAAAGACAATGACTTAATTGTGAAACGGGCATTTCATAAGTACAATAGTATGCATAATAAAGCTCATAAAAAATCGAGATAAGCGTTTTTCATTTCATCTTAATTAATAGATCGTTCGCAGTAAAAAATCTTGAAAGTTAATGAAAAGTAGGTGGGTCAATAGTTTTTGAATGACCCGCTGTACACGGCCATATTGATTTTTAGTTCCTCTTTGCCGTGACTGCAGAGGGTATCATTTTTCACAGGAGAAGAATTGCCAACCCCTGGGGAAGATTCATGGCCGGTATTAGGAATAGCAGCTGATTCACGCGATTGTTTATGACAAATGATGAAGACGGTATATTAGTAATACCATTGTTTTGAGATTTTCCTGTTACTTTGGTCTCAGTATGGGATGCTGCTATAGTACCGCCATGGGATGTTGCTACAGCTTTTGTAAAGAAGACAGTGGACCACAGGTAAACAACAAAATTTAGACCAGAAAGAAATATCAATATATTGTTTTGATTTATATGATTTCTGGAAGTTTTATCGATATTCTACTACGTGCTAATTAAGTAGTGACGGTATTTCATAAATTTATCTGCTCTATCTACAGAGTGGTGAAGTAAGTGAGAGGACTCACTTGTTGGTTGACCCTGTCAGCAATACAACAAATATTCTTCATGTACACAGGTAACTCCTTTATAGTCGTTGCGCTGTTGTTGGTTTCCTACATATGTTTTCTTATAATTAGATGCATATATACAAAGCTTTTTTACTTTTTTTTTTCTTACAGTGATGATTATGTTAACCACTATGCAAGTTCTGTGCCAAAGAAGACAGATGAACAAAGTGCACTCAACAGAATACTGCATGAAACAGCAGCGTGAGTCTTTAAACAATTAGGCATAATTTTTAAAAAATTTAATTGCAGTTACTAGTAGTGTAGCAATCCTCTCATTTTGATATACTGAATTTTTTAGTACAATTTGTTATATGTCTTTTCAGCAATGTCATCGATATTGGTGCATTGGATTCACATAATCTGGAACAGCACGAATATATGGATCGATCAAAGGCATATTCCAAACGAATAGAAACTGTTGGGGTCAAGGTCCCTGATATTTCATCCTGCCTACTTACAGATATTCCTGCACCAGAGAGAATACTTTCAACGGAACCACTCCCATCAGCAGATCGACAATTGGTAAGTAATAGCTATTAATACAAAAAATATTGATAAATAACAACTACTAATAATAAAGCCGTGATAACAGGTATTATTGTTTTATTATATATGTTACAGATTAAAGATATGTTGGATAAAGCCGTATCTGCATTGGGGGACGTAAAAGTGGAACACAAGGAAGATTTGGTAGTTCCTTTCTTATCGTGATTTTAAAGTCATTTTCAGTTTTGGATGGGTTAATTTCGTTTTGCCCAGCTTCAATAGAATTTATGTTTAACATAACCAGAAACACAAAAAAAAATAATTTAATTCGTCGTGTAAATTCTTCACAATCTGTTGTTTATGATGATTTTTGTTTAATTGGACTAAAAATAAGTGCAAGTGATATGGTGCTGTAATATGAATACACAGAATCATTGGCAAATATATAATTCAGAATGTTTCTAATGTTGTAAAAATTAACACAGGTACTTTGTAAAATAATATTTCATTTTTTTTGTATTATTTAAATATTAGCAAGCTCGTAAAGGATTAAGTCCATTTTTATTGCAACAATTTAAGTAAAATTATTAATGAAGAATGTCTGATTAATCATATAAAGATGCATTTTCAGTGCGTTGCTGAGAATAAATTATGAATTAAACGTTTGATAATCGTGTAGGCGGAACATGATAATACATCATGTTTGTGCATTATGCCAGAAATATAACAGGCTGTTCTATCAATATCACAATTGAAATATACATTAATAAATTTATAGCTTATGTATATATAAGCAAATCAAAATACGTAGTAAATAATGAATATCGAAGTTGTACAATAAATTATGTAATTCAGTTGTAATATAAGCCTCAGTATGTTTTTTTAATTATATACATTAGACACTGTACACAGAGCTTTTACGAATAAAGCGTATTATGCGTTTTTACGGCAAATAAATAGAACAAAGTACTTGATTCTCTTCATTTGGACTCCTTTACGAGTTTCAAAAAAGAAATACGCTATAGGTCGATTTGCTGTGGAAGTCTCGGAATGTAACAAGTATACGAGATCTGTGAGATTGCAGGTCTGCTATCGAGGATTCGAACGAAAGCGGGAAGTATCGAGGGTGGCGAAGTGAGAACGCTGATGAAACGGGATGTGTATGACGTATGTGAATGGTAGGGATGGTATAACGAAGGGGTTGAAGAGTATAACACGAAGAGTTCTCGTTAAGTGGGGATAAGGGGCCGCGGCCACCATTGGCGGGCGCATCGGGTCGCGGAGGGGCATCGACCGGTCTGGCATCGGACTGGCATCGGGCTGGCATCGGACTGGCAGGTCCCCCCTTCAGTGCCACCAATACACAAGAGCCGAGGACTCTCTATCGCCGACCATTGGTCCTCAATTTGCCGACCAATCATTGGGAAAGTGCCCACGAAAATATCCAATGTAAGTCCACAAATTATCAAACATCTCTGGTGATCGTGGCTGGGTAGCCTAGCCGCTTTCCTCATACGTTTCATGTCCGTTTCGCCATTTCCTCGTGGCGTTGAAGCCTTCCGTCGTGTAAAAGCTATCTCGGCCATGTTTGTTGCGATGTGTATTTCCAAAACGATGCTTCGCGCTTTCAATGGCGATTATACGGGCTCGCCTAGAGTCAGGCTGCAGGACTCCCGCGTTTTATCCTTATACACGTGCCACTCATACTTTCCGAGTCGAAGGATGTATCGTTTCTGCATACTTCGAAGATTCAGTGAGACAGACTGCACAGCGCTTAAAACGATTTCGTTTAGGCTCAACTTGTCTCAACTTGTTTCAACTTTTGCCTTCGCTACAACCTACATGCTAGAAGTTATCGGTTACTTGCTATACCTATTCACAAAGAGAAGTCCACAATTTCTCGTAGCTTGAAGCTGCTTCACGTGGATGGCCGCAGCCAATTCATCTTAAGAGAAAGTCAACGACATGAATGTACGCTTCTTCCGATTTCTTTGGAATTTTCTCCTAACATTTCTGGACCGCAGCAAAATGTCGAAATCCTAACCTGAAAGCGTTACGCTCGACAGCCTCGTTACATCTGATTTCACAAGATACTTATCAGCTTGTGTCGCGCCGAATTTATAATTCTCAGTTCGATCAGTAGAATTACACTGATTTTTCAATTTTACAACACATTTACTTATTTAACTGTCTCTGGATACCTGTTATCAGTCACCATTTTCTCTTATGGATCAGCTAGAAGAAGTCATGGAGCAGTTAGGAGAAGGCCAGGCAGTCATGGTTGGAGGGGCTGGAGGAACTGTCCAAGTTGTACAGATGGGACAAAGTGGACAAGCGATGATGCTTCCGCAGACTATCCAGGTTGCAGCTCCCAATGGACAAATTCAAGTTGTTCCAGTATCTAGCCTTGCGGGAGCAGGTCAGCAAATAGTCATTCAGCAACCTCAAACACCCCAAATAATACAAACTCCGGATGGACAAACATATATCTATCAACCTGTTCAGCTTGAAGGACAAGTTCAGCAGGCCCAACCAACAGGTAACAATTATTTTTAAATATGCATGAATGAATATACTCTTTTCAACTTACTACTTTACTTTTGTTATTTACAGTGATAAATATTAATGGAAACCTCATGCAAATTGCTGGAACAACATCGCAGACAACAAGTTCAGCAGCAACAACAACACCAGTGCAACCACTGTCCAGTCCCACCACAACAGCATCTCAGGCAGGAAACATTGTCATGGTGATTACCATTAGAAAAGTCTCTTTCACTTGCACAGTCTGTGTATATGTTATACTGACTTGTAGTGATGATAGAGCAACAGTTATGGCATCTTACCGTTGACTATCATCAACGGTTTGAAGCGATGTGTCTGGTCAGCTTGCTGATTTAATACACATTAGAATGTTTAAGTTGATAGGATTGCGTAAATAGCTTTGCATTTAGTAAATAATACAATTATAATCCTTATAACCCCATACATTGAGATCCGTAGAAGTATTTTTTGTCTAATTTTTCTTTGAATTACGTCAAATGCAGATGGTACCGGGAAATAGTGGACAGGCCCAGTTCCAGAGAGTTGCATTGCCAAATGCCGAATTCCTCGAAGAGGAGCCACTTTACGTGAATGCAAAACAGTACCGACGCATCTTAAAACGACGTCAAGCACGAGCCAAGCTCGAGGCCGAAGGAAAAATTCCAAAAGAAAGACCCGTAAGCTTTTTTGAAAAAAAATATTCTTAGAGATATTGATGTTAACGGACTTTGAACAAATGCATTCTTTTGCGCAGAAATACCTTCACGAATCTAGACATCGGCATGCTATGAATAGAATTCGTGGTGAGGGTGGTCGATTTCATTCCGGTCAAGTGAAAAAACGCAAGTAAGCATTCATTCCGCTGTTATTCTCAATGTCGTCTATGCAGACGATTTTTTTATTGCGTTTCTAATCGCATCTACAGTTCTTTTAACACCACCGTTTAATGATTACAGTCGACAGAATGCAAGTACAATGATTGCACAGCATATGACCACCACTTCCAACACCAACACCATTCGCACTATTGCAATACCGGCTACGAGTGCAGGAGTACAGCACCATAACACGGATAACATGACGTCTGCCATCATGATAGAGGTAAGTTTTTATACCTTAAAACTTATGCTCTTATGTTTAACGAGAATTTACGAACGTTACACTGTAACTGGGCCAATAGGCAGTTTTCTCTTAGTTTCTTTATCCATTTAGCTATTTTATAATGTTACGTTCACCTATGGTTATGTCATGATACTAATGTAACGTTACATATTAGTGAACGCGTGTTGCAGAGCGCAGGTGCATCTCTGCCAGATATGATCAGCGACGGTGATATTGTGGTATCAGACGCTCGTTAAAGCTAGCAAATTGTTAAGCACGATGGAGCGTATTAAAAAATTGGGGGCGTTTGACTCATTAATATAATGAATCACGTGTCCTAGTCCTCCTAGGAAATATTGCCTCCAAGAGGATCCACTTCAAAATGGCAGAGGAACCAGAAGCCATTGAAGATGTAAATAACCTTGAATATTATGTAGCGCTTGTGTCTTATAAGTTCCCTTAGAATTTGCGATAATATACTTCACTTATTTTTTCTTACGGTAATTTACTAACGCGAATTGGTTACGATTCAATCTTGAGATTCTGCTACGCTTCTCAAATCATTCGCACGATGAGAATTCAGATGGCATTTATTCGAATCGAGCGTACAACGTCATACAATCAATCAGCTTCTAAAAACGAGAGACTGAATGAAACCCTGTTTTACATCACGTGGTAAGTACTAAGTTAAGATTAATGTTAGTATTGGTGCGATTGACTTCTGTCGTAATTTACCGTATGTAGAGAATAAACATTACCTGCGCGCCGCACCTACGATTTCGATGCAAGTACAATTATAATAACCTATATAGGCATAGACGCGTGATAACGATTAGATCCGTTGTCTATAGCATGCGATCATTTATTAAAAATAATTCGCGGATTCAAAGAGTCTGTCGTCCCTCTCTTTCTTCGTGCGTGTCTTTCAAAGAGACTTTCGTGCCTGAAAACTCTGTATGTATATACTTATATGTATAAATATATGTATATGTAGGGGTATGATCCATGTGCGCGCGTGAGAGTTTATGTATGCGTAAATGCATGTGTTAGATCCTGTTCGGGTTGAAAAGATGGATGTGAATTGTAGACCATATAATAAGGATTCCTATGAAAACCTTCCTCGAAAATTTAGGATACCTATGGTTATAATGCATACTAAAATTTGTGAAATCGATGCTAGATTCTTTTCAATTAATTTTAGCCAACTCGACAAACACTTAATTATGTAGCCATTAAATCAGTCAGTTCTTATAATTTCATTTCGGAGTATAAAATAATGCTACTAGTATCTTAGTCGATCAATTAATAGTATTTTTGAAGCACATGGCTTGCGACTCACGTCCATCCCAATGCATGTTGTAAATAAATGTCAAGAAGAGCTAGACGATAATGTTCACCGTACGTTCAAAGTGATACGCGCGAGGGAAATTGTAATAAGCATCAAATATCATTAGCGTGTAAGAGTGGGAATGAATGAGTGATGTGTGAGTGAACGAAGACGAACGAAAAATTAACTGTTTTTTGTACCGTTCCACATGACGACTTATTAGATAATTAATTATTCTAAGACTAAGGAAAGTAATGTTAAATCTCCCGTACCTTTATTCTTTTTAGTACCGTCTGCTATTATTCTACCCTATATACTATCGGTTTTTTCGTTTTTTTTTCCTTCGATGCAATATCTTTTCTTTTTCTTTAATAAAGAATATGTGTAACGTGATAAGATTAGGAGTTTGGCTCTGGACTAAGTACAGATACATATTTCTTTTTTTTTTAATACGTTTCTATTAAAAGTTCCATTTGTGTAATGAAAGTAATTTTCATACAATACAATTTGTTATCAATCCAATTAATAAACTGTTCGTACTACGGAATGCCATATTGATTTCTGTGGAAGCATTCATAGGAATATTTTCAAGGAAGATAAAGTTGAAGAAAACTGAGTTTTATAAAATTAAAATACTTTGAAGAATGCTGAGTGTTTCTGAGATTTCAGGAGGCTTGAGCATTCTGATCTTATGAGAGCAGTATCTTTGGTTTCTTTTATCACTGGCTCTAATGGCAGTGGTTCACCTAGTAGTCGTTCCCTGATGATTTGCGCAGCTGTAGAGCTAATCGTTCTTTCATACTCGGTTGTACCAGTTCTGAGAGTTCATTTGAATATAAATAGGCTTCAAAGGCTGTAGGAACTACATATAGAAAAGTCTGAATCTATTTAATTTATTAATTACTCACGTGACTTGAAGTATCTCTCTTTCCTTTGCATTCGGAGCTAAACTACTCCCAGGATTGGTTAGGGTTTTTCTCTGGAACATGACGTTCGAGGACATGTCCCGCGGATTTCTGTAAGATGTTCTGTGCACTGTTTCCGGGATTAGCCAATCTTTTGGTAAAGTTATTTTCGGTCTATTTTCTCCTGTATTTTTTGCTCTTAACGATAAGTAATCACCTAACAAATTTATTTTTTTATGTAACTCATCGAGGACGTCAAACAAATTATTAATTATTTTTACCTGAATTTTTAGAGTAATCCGTTTGGTAAAGAGACTTCATGTATTTTTTATTTTCGCAGTCGAAGAAACTTTTATTCACATCATATTCTCTCATGAAATCTTCCGATTGTCCATCAGCTGACAAATCAAACTCTTTGAATACATCATGTAGTGCAGTAACTCGAGAGTGATGATTATCAGAATATTGAGTGCGTCCTTTTTTAAGTCTTTTAGAACGATAATCTTTTTTATACACGGTAATAAAGTCACGCGTTTCCTCATCTGCCTCGAGAATCATTATCATATATTATTTGTTACTTAAATTTCTAAATAAATGAGGTTAATCTTTTGAATATTAAAAAAAAACAAGTGATAAGTACAGATACGGAGGAGATACTAGCGACACAGGATCAGCCCCTCCGTGTATTTTATGTCCAAAACGAAAGTACGACATTTGAATCCTACTCCACAAGTTCATTGCAGGTTCCAGCATATTTTCTGTGCCAACTGTATCCACCGAGCAAACAACATTTTATGTAACATATTTATTCCATAAAAGTTACATGCAAAGCGATTCACTAACTTTCCAGCAAAGATTTGCTGAAAATATGCTTTGAATTTTATGTTAAATATTTAAAAATAATTTATTGCTAACTATTTCCCAGACAGCACAAGAATGTCCTAAGGAAATCCCATGGATATCTTAATGGATATTCCAGAAGTCCTGTGGGCGTCCTGACAAGGTCTTGGGCCTTCCTCTGGATATTCTGAGATGATGCTAATGTCCGCATGTTCATGATCCTCCAGACATCCTAGAGAAAACCCACTGAACATGTTTAGGCGTTTTATGGGATTTTCATAAGTTTTTATAACTACCCTAGAGAAGTATTTCTTTGACATGTCGAGCTGTATGTTTAGGAATGTATCACGTACAAACTCCAATTTGATTTAGAAGACGGTAAGTATATAAGGTAAGTTTTCCTAGACTCCGAACCTGGAAGGAGTTTTCCGTATGTATTGGGCGCGCTATTCTTTATCAGATTAGTTTCATCATACGGTTAAAGTGATATACTATATGCTAATTCTAATTTAATGTATATTCCATAATTGACCCACGATGCGGTTATCAAGTTCAGTCCAATGACACCGACTGAATTTGTTAACGGTCGATATCAGTCGATGAAATTTCCCAGACAGTATACGACGTCTCGGGATATCCCAATTGTATCCCGAATGTCAGGATGTCTCGCTTCGGATACATATTTATGAGTCTTGGCATAAGTCATTAAGAATATCTTTAGGATATCCTCAGGATCGATAGGATTTTTGTAAAAATGATATAAGTTTATTTTTATATATATTTTCGATTCTATTTACATAATATACATAAATGAATTCACATAAAGTTCTGAATATAAATTAGGATATATTCCGTAACTGAACCACGATTGCGGTTATTAAATTTTAGCTGATGGATATTTCGTTATCAGAATTCTATCTTCCGTGAGTTCAAGTGAAGCAAAATTCTAAAAAATTTCGATAGATTTATCGTGTATATCTTATTTTGAAGATTAATATCGGCATTTCATTAAGCAGGCGTTTGTGGACGTTCGATATTGTCGAGACATCAGTATGCATCAGTACAACCTGAAGGGAGCTAACCGAGCTACCGATCATATCGACTGCTAACGCCACCAAAGCTTGTGGCGGTCATAGGAATTAATTAACGCGACATAGATGTTACTCAGCCGGCGTTTACTTGTAGAAATCCTACCGACGCTGTTTATCCGTTGACAGACAAAATTAAGGTTACAATTCTTTTGAGGTCTTTATACTTTTCCCAGTATTGTCTACACAAATAGGATTAATTTAAGAATTAAAAAATTCTGTAAGTATACCCAATTTAAAGTAAATAATAAAGATTCCTCCAAATCGCAATTATATGAGAGGAAGATATTGTTAGAATAGCGCTTGCAAAGCGGCATAAGTGATTGTATGTTCTTTATACATATCTTTTTTTTTATTTTTCAGTAAAACAGAGAAACTTGAGCCACTACGAAAATGGCTTTACGTACATATGGTGATAAGCCTATAAGTTTTCAAGTTGAAGAAAATGGAGAATATTATTGTATTGGCTCTGAAGTGGGCAATTACTTGCGTTTGTTTCGTGGGTCGCTTTATAAACGTTACCCTGGAATGTTCAGAAGATCTATTACCAATGATGAACGTAAAAAACTAGTAGAACTTGGATTGAGTCAGCATGTACTGGCATCGAGTGTATCTCTTCTAAGATCTAGTGAGGTAGAAGATATCATTGAAGGAAATGATGACAAGTACAAAGCTGTCTCAGTTCATTCTACTGAACCACCAGCACCAAGAGAAGGAAAGTCAAAGAAATCGATGGCTTGGGTACCCAGTTTACCTAACAGTTCACATTTAGATGCTGTGCCACAGGCTACTCCTATAAATAGAAATAGGGTTCATAATAAGAAAGTCAGAACTTTCCCATTATGGTAATAACGTGTACTTTATTTAACGTATTTGGTGCCAATGTATATTTTTTATAATGTTTTCATTCACCATTACAGTTTCGATGACACAGATCCTTCTGCCAATTTGGAAAATGCTGCACAGCAAGAGATGCTTGTACCAATCCGTTTGGATATGGAGATAGAAGGGCAGAAATTACGTGATACCTTCACTTGGAACAAAAATGGTATGTACTTGACATTTTGCTATGTTATGGTACTATCATTTTTTTAAATTACAAAACCTTTTTGTGTTCAGAGAGTCTTATAACCCCGGAACAGTTTGCAGAAGTTCTCTGTGATGATTTAGACCTAAATCCCTTAACATTCGTCCCAGCGATTGCACAAGCAATTAGACAACAAATAGAAGCATTCCCCCAAGAGACAATCCTGGAAGATCAGTGTGATCAACGCGTTATAATAAAGTTAAATATTCACGTGGGTAACACATCTCTGGTAGATCAAGTAGAATGGGACATGTCTGAAAAGGAGAACAATCCTGAAAAATTTGCCATGAAGTTATGTGCTGAACTTGGACTTGGGGGAGAATTTGTCACAGCGATAGCCTACAGGTAGGATCATCATCTTTAATCTCTTTACTGGACACTTAAATTAAATTTATTATGCTTTTAGCGTGCGTGGTCAGCTGTCCTGGCACCAGAGAACTTATGCATTCTCTGAAGCGCCATTACCTACAGTTGAGGTTCCATTCAGACCTCCCTCAGAAGCAGATCAGTGGGCACCATTCCTTGAGACCCTAACTGATGCTGAAATGGAGAAGAAAATTCGTGATCAGGATCGCAACACTCGGTACGAAAAATTTAACATTTCTATAATTTATTTCCCTTTTTTCAATATGTACAATAATTCTAATATATGATGCAACATCCTATGTTACAGCCGTATGCGACGATTGGCAAATACTACTCCAGGGTGGTAGATCTCAGACTCATGTCGGATGTCAATAATTCGTCAAAGATTGTTTTAAACGTTGAACTAATACTGTTTACATCTAGCTCGTAAGTTTTCTTCCGTCAGGAACCAGAATACATGATATCAATTTGACGCTCCTTGAAGCGTTATAAATAAATCATGTTAAACTTGTACCATCTGAATATTCTTGACGCTTATATTTTAAAATCCTCTAAGCCTGCGCGCGTGTCACGTTGATAATCTTATCAGATTAGTGCAAAGTAGTCATTATCGGCGATCATATAACATATCCGTTTAACAATAGTATAACCGAAAAATAAGGCAAGTGTTTGATATTGTTTATAACATATGTTCATGAAAATTAACTGATAATGACGAATATCCAATATGATATGAACATGATATCACGATTTATCAAATATTCCTATTAGAACTTCTATGTTATCATGACATCGGTCATGTATCGTACACATGCATGTCGTATGATCATTTCTATACATTATATAATACTTAAAACTATCTACAGTGAGGCGCTGCGTTAAATACAATATGTCTTTTAATGAATAATCAAGAAGCAGTTCTGAGATGACACCTAAAGCCAATATGCATGGACGCCGTTGAGCTTTGTTTATTAGTAGCAGAATATATAAACGAAGAACTATATGAATTCTCCTGTTATAAATCAATATCTCAAATCAACCACAGTAAACTGCCAGTTGAGGATGAGTGAAATGCGGACAATGTGATCGGTTCGACTCAGTAAAGAGCTTGTGCTACCGTTGTCATTAGGCTCGTGTGTAGGGGTAATGAAAAAGTATATATTGAATTCTTTGACCCTCAAGTTACAACTAGCAACCAAAATGCTCTTTGGTAATAAGCGCGCAGTGATAAAATTTTCAGCGGAGAAGGGGAGTTGATATTATGCGCGTTGTGAAACGCCGTTCCCACATAGAACTGCTAGTTTCAAGCAGGACACGATACGAGGAGGAAGGTCCAAGAACGACGGGATAGCGGACACCGGCACAAAATGGATCCAGCTCTTTTACAACATTTTTTTAGACCGGAGTCCAGCGAAGTTAGGACATCTAATCCTTTTCCCAGGAGACCGTGGCTCCAAGATCGTGGAGCTGCTGCTGCTGCACCTGCTGCCGGCAATATTGGTCTTAAGGGAATTGTAGCTGGTATGTATTTTTTTTCTTTCATTGCCTTCTCGTATCATTTCAAGGTCTTGTTGATCATTCATTTTCATAGACCGTGCCTATTTAGGATGTTTACTACAGAAATATTAAGGTAAAAATATATCGTAACCTCAACTGCCTTAAGCTCAATAAATATTAATGGTGGGGAACTACTTAGCATTCTATATACAGGATGCAATGAAAACAATGACTTTCATTTTTCTATTCCTTTATTACAACAGTCGTCTGATCATATATTACTTTGTATTTTTACTACTATTTATGATTTCATTGTTTATGACATATTGTTATTTTAGTGTTATTCTTCAGTTTATCTGATAAGTTAAATATGTGCAATTTTGTGATCTTGATCTGACATTTTTTCATTTTCTATATTAGAATTATTGTTCCATTATACACTGAACTTATATCCATAAAGTAGAGATAAAGTATTTCCTCTCAGTTACACCACAGGTTTTTAAAATTCTCTAAAAATATAGCTTGGAAAAATTCTTAAACAAAGATGCATGATGTAGCAATAATTGAGTAGAGAAAGTATGTTATTCACTTACTTTGAACTATGTAAAGATGGTACCTTTTTTCTTAGGTGGCATAACTGGTGGTATTGAGATCTGCATAACATATCCTACGGAGTATGTTAAAACTCAACTGCAGCTTGATGGTAAAGCTGGAGCAGGTAGAGAGTATTCAGGAATATGGGACTGTATTAAAAAAACAGTGAAAACTCGAGGCTTCTTTGGATTATATCGAGGTCTCTCTGTACTTCTTTACGGCTCAATTCCAAAATCTGCTGTCCGATTTGGAGCCTTTGAATCTATCAAAAATCAGCTGGTTGATTCTGAAGGAAAACTCAATGCCCAAACAAAGTTGTTAGCTGGTCTCTGTGCAGGTGTTTGTGAAGCTGTATTGGTAGTAACACCGATGGAGACTGTTAAAGTGAAGTTTATCAATGATCAGCGTTCAGCAAAGCCTAGGTTTAGAGGATTTCTCCATGGTGTTGGATTAATTGTTAAAGAGAGTGGTGAGTATTTCATTACTTTACTATGATATGTATAGTTCTTTCAGCTCCATTGAAACCATTATATTTTCTACATGAAATTATATAAGACATATTATCATCAGACCATGAAATAAAATTGGCTTGTCAGCCAATTGGCATATCAGCTTGTTTATCATATTTTTTTCCTTGGTCTTGGTATCCTTGATCTTTGCTACTAGGCCATTGATCTGTAAGCCACGCTTTTTTTTTATCAGTAGTATGTCAGCTCCTGTGACAGAGTGTTATATGCACTTGAAAGAAATATTAAACATTACATACGTAAAAACAATATATTTCAATCATAATTAATAAAAATGAACGTATACGGACTACTGTAACACCAACCATATGTTCATCATACCATAGCTTATTACGTTTGACGTCGACTTTTGGTTCATTTGAAATTCAAGACTTATATCTCGTTTGCTCAACTGTTAATTGTATACTGTATACGGTCGTGAGTATACCAAAGGAATGAATTAATGTAGCTGAAAGCGAAACATAGCTTATCGCTATATATACAACGAGATAATTTTAATTTAAAGAGATCGACGTGACATTGTATTATGTAATCATCATCCTTTGAACTATTACTTAACTAATTTGTATATCTATTAGATATTACAATGCACGACGTTTTCTAATGATTTATTGGAATTCTCGATGCAGGCGCAAGAGGAGTCTATCAAGGTTTATTACCTACGGTCCTCAAACAGGGTTCGAATCAAGCAATTCGATTCTTCGTAATGGAAACTCTAAAAGACTGGTATAAGGGTGATGACAATAATAAACACGTTCCTAAGCTAGTTGTGGGTACTTTTGGAGCAGTGGCAGGTGCCGCATCTGTGTTCGGCAATACACCCATCGATGTGGTTAAAACGAGAATGCAGGTACGTTTCTCATATCACATACTATAAGAATTGAAATATTTTGAAAACACAATTCTAATATAGAAGCCTATGCATACCTATAATTACGTAATGCTATTAACATTATGAACAATGGCTGATAGTAATGAAGCGACCTTGACATGACTTGCTGTAATAATTCTGGATGAAAAATAGTCTCTAGACATTGCATTACGTGCTAATGTCGTTTACTGATGTTCACAGGGGCTAGAAGCTGCAAAGTACAAAAATAGTTTAGACTGTGCCATTCAAGTATGGAAGAAGGAAGGACCATTCGCGTTCTACAAAGGAACCGTACCACGATTGAGCAGAGTATGTCTGGATGTAGCTATAACATTTATGGTGTATGATTCCTTTATGGAACTCTTCAAAAAGATCTGGCCTTAATGATTTTGCATTGAACAATACTATTTAAAGGCCAATGCCATACGGTAACTTTCTGCCAAAACAAATAAGTTAATGAAAAAGTTAAAGGAAGTTGCAATGTATGCGTAGAATGATTTTCATAACACTTTAGTATTTGCGTGAGCACAAAGTGCGAATAATTAATATCAACGATCGGACTATGAACAATGATGAATCGACAATGAAAATGTGGATTATTCAAAACTGTCGCTTTCGTACAAAACAATATTTCTATAAAAGGAGCCCTAATAGTAATATTTCGCATAATTTTTGAAGTTTAAATGCCCTAAAATGATTAGACATGACAGGACATTATTATTTTTTGTATTATATCAATTGACTGAGCATCCAATTGTAAATTTCATCTAAAAATAACGTCTATATCTCTTATAATATTTGATACAGAACTTTTTACGTTTTATGCTCATAACTAGTTGCTACTCGAGATAAACAATAATAGTGTTATAAACATAATAGTTACATATTATGTCACTAATAAAAGAGACCTGTCTGTGAGCTTGACGTCATATCATAGGTGCACAGGTTAAACGACAGAGTGCTTACTGAAAATACGAGAAGAAAAAAAGGGGGTTCTTAATTTTATGTAAAAAATTCAGTTGGTACAAAGTTCAAGACTTGTTATGTTGTATTGCGTGAGGTGAATATATTTTTAGGTATATATGAAAAAGAGGAAGAAGTGCCACTTACATTGAATACCTCAAATTTTAGATTTTTACGTAAATGGCAATACCAGTGATCATTAAAATGATACACATTCCAATAATCATTCCAGCTCGAATCAAAACAGGCTATTGATTTTTAGACAATAAAATGACACGTGTCTACACATTGTGATGCATGGTAAAAATTGATCGTAGAGTATTACGATTGTACGTATAAATGTACCATGAAGTCTTTGTCATATTTACATAGTTTCCGATTGGACGAAAAATTCCAGATAAAAGATCCTTGGTACTTGTTTGCGTTTGCTTGAAGTGAATGCTCGAAAGATTTTTATTGTAATTAACATTTTGTTATTAGTGTAACTATAAATTATGAATTATTATTTATCATACAGATAATATATTGCGCCATATCTATATCAATTTAGTTTGTTCGATTTTGCTTTCCTTCAATCGTATCCCACATTTCCTCCTTAGAGTAAATCACAGCAACTGCTGTTGTAATCACATTTTATCGCTCAATCTATATTATCTTATCTGACGTAATAGTCAAACACTTTGGATATTCTACTAGAAGATAATACGAAGTTTCCCATCAAGTATCAAAACAAACAATAAATTGCAAAATGTATGTCATGTAAGAGCATACTATAATATTGTATTAAGACATAAAAAACTTTCTATATTGACTATGCATTATAAGGAATGCTGAAAACAATTTAAAATCTGTCTAATGTCTTGCATATTCATAGAAATATGTGTTAATCTATTTATAAGTGTTAATATAGAAATATCGAGTTTGACATTTTAAATTGTACGAGTACAGAAACGAGTATCAACGACATAGTGAGAATTTGGAGCTGTTGCGTAAAGACTACCTATAGATCAGTAAGATAGTCCATCAGGCATGGCCCAGGGCTACAAATAAGTGTCTATAGTTATGCGGAGTGTGCAGGTAAGTTGGCAGTAGGAGTATAGTAGGCAGTGGAGAAGGGATAGAAGGAGTAGGAGCATACGGGATCCGGGGCCTAAGTTACTCTTTTATAAGTGTGGACGGGGCCTTCTTATGCAGGTACAAAGAGGAATACCTTTACACACCTGTGTCCCACTCTTGGAGCCCAAGGGGGAACCTGGGGTCACATTCCAAGATGGCTGTGCCTGAGGAATGCAGTGGGTGCCCCCCTAAGACGCCTTCCTCCCTCCTTTTTTATTAATCAATCCAATTTATTCGTTCTATCGAAAACAAACCCCCATTTTCTTGGGACCGCGTTACCTCAAGTTCGGGAGCGTTAACGCGCGCGGTTCATCCACGTCTACTTATTTGTGAATCGAATCGAATAATTCTGTGTGACTATTGGCAAGAAGATTGTAAGTCCTAGAAAGAAGGGCCTTACATACCGAAGCTCCGGTCTTATCTAATGGACCCCCTCTGCCTCGGATAATGCCCACGCAAGAGGATGCTACCGGCTCGTTTTAAACAATGTCTCATAGGGATATCTCTGAGGTAATTAAACAATCCCACTGTTTGTGAATTCATTCAAGAAAATTCATTTGTTTTGTTCCTATAAGTACTCTGTTATTAGAACTTTGGAATGTGGAATATCCAAGGATTTTCTTACTCTATTTAAGATCATCAGAATAGTGTATTACTCTTGGACAAACGTTCCAGGTGGAGCCCGAAGGTACGTCGGCCTTGGCTGCCGGATCGCGGACCTTATTCCTGGAGACGGTGCGACGGAGTAATGCAGCATGTCAGAATGGAGATTATGCCTTGGCTGCAACACTCTACACCGAAGCGCTTGCTCTAGATCCTCTCAGCCATGTATTATATTCAAATAGATCAGCGGCGCGTCTTAAAATGGGATTATTTGCACTTGCACTACAGGACGCTGTGAGAGCTACTGAACTTAGTCTTCAATGGCCAAAAGTATAAAAACTAAAATTCTATATTGATACGCAGCTAATACAGTATTCTGAAATTAGATTGTTTTCTTTCACAGGCGTATTATCGCCAGGGTGTCGCCCTACAATGTTTGGGGCGTCATGGAGAAGCCTTAGTTGCATTCAGTGCTGGACTAGCTCGGGATCCTTCCAACTGTCAACTATTATCTGGACTGGTGGAGGCTTCGTTAAAGTCCCCTTTACGACCGACATTGGAACCGACTTTTCAGCAATTGCGTGCGATGAAGCTCGACGAATCACCTTTCGTTGTTATTTCCGTTGTCGGCCAAGAATTACTCGGTGCAGGACAGTACAGGGCAGCAGCTGGTGTCTTGGAAGCTGCATTGACTATTGGCTCCTGCAGCTTAAAGCTTAGGGGTTCTGTATTCTCAGCGCTATCAAGTGCTTACTGGGCACTCAATTCCTTGGATAAAGCAATAGGATATATGCAACAAGATCTGGGTACCCTTCATATCTGTAATATTTTTCTGTTTTTACAAAAGTTCGTCGCCAATACATTTCATAAATCTTTTTAGGAGTGGCACGTTCCCTAGGAGACACCCAGGGCGAATGCAGAGCTCATGGAAACTTGGGATCAGCGTATTTCAGCAAAGGTAGCTTTAAGGAAGCTCTCACTGCTCACAGATATCAGCTTGTTCTCGCTATGAAATGCAAGGATACCCAGGCTGCAGCATCAGCTCTTACGAGTTTGGGCCATGTATACACGGCTATTGGGGATCTACCAAATGCTCTGGCTTCACACAAACAATGTGTACAGCTTGTGAAACAAATGGGCGATCGACTTCAGGAAGCTAGAGAGATCGGAAACGTCGGCGCGGTGTACTTGGCTATGGGAGAGTTTGAGAGCGCAGTGGATTGTCATACGCAACACTTGAGGATAGCACGACGTCTTGGAGATCGCGTAGAGGAGGCCAGGGCCTTCAGTAATCTTGGATCATCGCATCATTATCGAAGGAATTTCGGTCAGGCTATGGCGTATCATGAGAACGTCCTTCGAATAGCTCAGGAACTTGGCGACAGAGCCATAGAGACCAGAGCATATGCTGGGCTCGGTCATGCGGCCAGATGTGCAGGTAGAGACTGTACGAAAACAGCGGGAAAGTATTCAATGACGTGCGTGATAAAATCAGAAGTGATGTTTCAGGCGATCTGGCCCAAGCGAAATTGTGGCACCAGAGACAGCTCGACGTCGCCTTAGCCACCAAGGACAAAGTAGCTGAAGGACGCGCTTGCAGTAACTTGGGAATCGTCTATCAACTACTTGGAGAACACGACGCGGCTTTGAAGCTGCATCAGGCACATTTGGGCATTGCCAGGACACTTGGGGACAGAGCTGGCATGGGTAGAGCTTATGGAAATATTGGAAATGCTTATAATGCATTGGGGTATTACGAACAAGCTATCAAATATCATAAGCAAGAACTTACGATAAGTAAAGAGGTATATTACCGTCTCCGTTATTTATAAATAATAATGATATTTATACAATTTCTTATGTAACTGAAAAAAATGATGTCTTTATAGGTAAATGATCGTAGTTCAGAGGCTAGTACTCATGGAAATTTGGCGGTAGCTTACCAGGCCGTTCAAGGTCACGAAGCTGCCCTGAGACATTACAGGGCGCATTTGGCTATAGCCCGTGAACTTAAGGATGCCGCTGGAGAGGCCTGTGCCCTTTTGAATCTTGCCAACTGTCTTTCATCTAGAGGAAGGTTCGAAGAGGCTGTACCATATTATGAGAACTATCTAATGCTATCCCAAGAGTTACATGATGTGGAAGGAGAAGCCAAGGCCTGCCATTTTTTGGGCTATGCTCATTACTGTCTGGGCAATCACCGAGAGGCAGTACGATATTACGATCAAGATCTGGCACTGGCGAAGGATTTGCAGGACAAATCCGGAATGGGAAGAGCTTATTGCAACCTGGGCCTCGCGCATTTGGCTCTGGGTAACTTGGACACTGCTCTAGAATGTCAGAAATACTATCTTGCAATTGCTCATATGACTAAACATCTAGCTGGGAAATTTCGAGCTTTAGGAAATATCGGTGACTGTCTTATCCGTCTGGGAGAAATTGAAGAAGCAATAAAGATGCATCAACGACAATTGAACCTTGCACGTCAAGCAGCAGATCGTAGTTTAGAAGCTGCGGCCTACGGAGCTCTTGGCATTGCTCACAGAGTTACCAGAAATCTGGACAAGGCTCTAGGATTTCATACGCAGGAGTTAACTTTGCGACAGGAAGCTGGCGACTTACGTGGAGAATGCCGTGCTCATGGCAATTTGGGTGCTGTTCATATGGCACTAGGTCAGTACACGCATGCGGTTAAGTGTTACCAGGAACAGTTGGAAAGATCCCGAGAGTTGGCCGATTCTGGAATGGAAGCTCAGGCATTAGGTAACCTTGGTATAGCTAGACTAAATATGGCACATTACGAGGATGCAATTGGATATTTCGAACAACAATTGGCTACCTTGGAACCGTTGACTGCTGGCACAGCTTTACTTGATAAGACTCGTGCTTTAGGAAACCTGGGTGACTGTTACGAGGCTTTAGGAGATCCCGAGGAAGCTATTAAATGCCATGAACAACAGCTAACGGCAGCTACTAGATTAAGAAGTGTGAGAGATCAAGAAAGAGCTTACAGAGGACTTGGCAGAGCTCGTGAAGCATCTGGGAACTTACAGCAGGCACTCGTGTGTTTCGAGAAGAGGTTGGTGGCAGCTCATGAAGTTGACAGTCCTGAAGCTCGTGGTGCGGCATACGGTGACTTAGGTAGAATACATGCAGCTTTGGGTAATCACGAACAGGCCGTGAGCTGCTTGTCGCATCAATTGGCTTTGGCTAGAGGTTTAGGAGATAAGGCTGCAGAAGCAGAGGCTGCTAGCGGCCTCGGTGCTGTACATCTACTTATGGATGATCCCAATTCAGCTTTACGACATCATCAGCTGGAACTTTCAATTGCAGAAGGTTTGGATGCTGCTGGCTTACAAGCCAGAGCTTGTGCAAATTTAGGTGCTACTCAAGAAGCTTTGGGACAACTCGAGGAAGCTATCAGACTGCAGGAACAGTCATTGAGTCTTGCAGCTGCTGCTGGTGATCAGCCAGCAAGGGCTGCAGCTTTCTCCAGCCTTGGTCGCCTTCATCATCTCTGTGGCGATTTGGCGCGCGCTCTTAGCTACCTGCAGTCTGGCCTGTCACTTTCTGAAGGTTTGGGAAGACGTGAAGAAGCAGCACGACTCCGACACCGATTGGGTTTAGTGCACTGGGAAGCTGGAGAAACAACAACGTCAGTCGAGCAGCTTGAAAAGGCCGCGAACCTCCTAGAATCTTTGGATGGATCATCATCACTCATCTGTGGCCAACCAAGTAGATCAGACTTACTCTCTGACACATACAGAATGTTACAGAAAGTTCTTGTAAGTCTCAATAGGGCTGAAGAGGCATTAAATTGGGCGGAACGGTCCAGAAGATCCAGAAGTAACAATCTCGAGGATGCCACGCATTACTCAGAGATTATAGACCGTCAACGAGGTATAATTTTGTACTATAGTGAGGCCGGTAGCGAGTTGCACGCATGGTGCTTAGCTCCAGGTCGTGGTCTTCTCAGATTCCACTCAATGACTCTAGACGACGGTGTGAATCTTGAAAAAAGGGTGTCTGAAGCACGTGAGGCACTATTGGGAGAGTCCAACGAACTCGTCGAGGAATCCACGAAGATGCCGTCCAGGGGTCATCGCCTAAATGCGAGTTCTTACAGCTTAAGTAGTCTATTCAGTGTAGGATCCGTTAGTTCTCGGGCAGGAAGTGCTCGTTGGGGTCGCGGAGTGAAAGGACCAGTATGGCAAGCGCCACAACCAATGCAATTTCTTTACGACGTTCTTCTTGCTCCTTTTGAAGATCTCTTACCACCTGCCAGAAAGGAACTGATTCTAGTAGTAGAAAAATCATTATACCTTGCACCACTTCCTGCACTGCAGTCCAGTCCTGGGGAGGATTATCTATGCGAAAGGTTCTCCTTGCTCGTAGTACCATCTTTAGCAGCCTTGAAGAAGAGATCCAGGACGCCAATGCCGGAAGGTGGTGCAACAGTAGCTGCGCTGGTTGCAGGAAATCCCATCCTACCTGAGGAAGCCAGAGAAGAGCATGCATGGCCCGATAGTGTCCCGTCTGCAGAAACTGAAGCTGGTATTGTTGCTGAACTACTGGAGTCGCGTCCCCTCATTGGTTAATATTATATTTATTAACCATATTTATTCATGATCTGTTAAAAACTTAATTTCTCAATATTTTATTTCACAGGCTTAGAGGCAACGAGATCAGCTGTATTAAGATCCCTACCAGACGCAGAATGCGTACACCTCACGACGCCAGTTCTTTGGAACTCAGCGAGTTTGGCACTGACTGCAGATCAATGCGAGGAACCAACGGAGAGACCAGAGTACCTGTTAAACTGTACAGATATCTTAAGACTGAGACTGACTGCTCGTTTGGTCGTTATATCCAGTGGCCACTGCTGGAATTCTACGGATAACAATAATACAGGCATTACGTCTGATGGAGTGCAACATCTTGCCAAGACATTATTAAACGCGGGCGCTCAGTGTGTCCTTATTGGAATGTGGCCAGTCCCACCTACTGCAGGTAGCATACTGCTACGAGCATTCTACAGTGCTATGCTACAAGGTGCTAGAGCCTCTAGAGCATTAGCTGAAGCAATGCAGACTGTTCAACACACTAGACACTTCGCTCACCCAGCAAACTGGGCTGGATGGTTACTCCTTGGTGGCGATGCAAGACTATCGAATAAGGTAAATAAAGTTTATAGTTAGGCTATAGCAATTTGATTATTAACATGTATTAGAATTGTTACTTGACATTTTTATCGACGCAGGTTGCTCTCATGGGTCAAGCACTGGCAGAATTGTTGCGCAGCGGTCCAGAACAAAGTCGGGATGCATTGCGAGTTACGTTGCATCTCGTTGAGAAATCGTTGCAGAGAATCCATCGTGGTCAAAAGAATGCAATGTATACGACTCAACGTAGTATAGAGAATAAAGTTGGTACAGCTGCTGGTTGGAAAGAATTGCTTATGTCAGTAGGATTTAGATTTGAGCCTGCTGGCAATGGTATTCCCTCTTCTGTATTCTTTCCACAAAGTGATCCTGAAGAAAGGCTGACCAGATGCAGTGCTAGTTTACAAGCATTGTTGGGATTAGGTGCTTCTTCTTTGCATGCTCTCGTTAGACTTTTGCAGGTATGGATAAAGAAAAAAAACGAACCAAAAATATTGTAATCTACAAAATACATTATTTATTTATACCTCTTTCGACTTACTCAGGTACCGGAGGCCGCCGAAGATGTTATTTCCGCTATGCGTCGAGCCAGCTGTGCCACGGAAGGTCAAGAGGTTACGCTACCAGTTCGTGTCTGGAGAGCTGCAGGATCTCATGAATTGTTTGCTAGTTTAGGATTTGACCTCATGGAAGTTGGACAATCAGAAGTGACACTACGAACTGGAAAGCAAGCATCACGACGAGCCGTGCAATTTGCTCTTCAGGCGCTCCTCGCGCTGTTTGGTAAAATATTATTTAGAAATTAATTTTTTGAATTTAAATGGTATTACACGTATAAAAATTATGTTACAGATACGCAGGAAGCACCCAAGAGTCTAAGTTTGGATTGCAGCAGTTCTATGGAAAGTCTGGCCTCCGTTACTCCCACCGAGACACATTTACCTGAACGTCCAAGACTAGGAGGTGCATTTGCAAGCTATGTACGACATCGCGGTGAACCAGATGGCAAAACAACAGAACCACCGAACATTCCCATATCGCGACAAATTTCTCAAAACGGTGGAGGTGCGCATAATTTTCTATTTTCACAAAAAATAGCGTTCATCAACATCAATGAATGCATGTATTTATACAAAGCACTTGTAGGAGAATCCGATGCAGCCTTTACACCAAGTCCTCCGATAGCACTAAACCTAAATCACCAAACGCGAATAAGGAATCTCTACCCTGATCAAAGTACCAGACCGGGTTCAAGTTCTAGCAGTTCAGCCACGGATTGGGACAATGGACATGCGACAGTACTACGAAGACAACCACTGCCACCGTTGCCAGCCACAGTTTTAGAAAGGCTCAGTGTCAGGACGGAAATTGGACCCAATTCACCGAGGAAACCGCGTCATCCTACATCCAACGAAGACATAAGTCCACAGACGGAAACTTCGCAATCTACTGAGGCCCATCCTCACAATCTAAGAAATTTGGCGACCTCCCTGACAAGCCTGACGCGTGAATTAACACCTACAATTTCTGAAGTGTACCATGAGAGAAACCTTGGACTTGGTTTAGCACCCTCCCTTTCAAAACTTCTGGAAGAAGTCGGCTCCGTCACGGAAAATGATCCGAATCAGATAACTAGACCAGGTCATAGTCAAACGCAGAATTGGTTGCAAAATGAGCCAGAATTATGTCGACGCGATGAAGCTGATGGTAGATCTATTGCTGAATCGCAGTGTAGTGCTACAAGCTCGAACAAAATACACAGAAAGGCACCGCCGCCGCCAGTATAGATTATTTATGACATACTCGTGTAGTTGGATTGTGAGATCAGTTACAGTGAGGATCCAACTTGTTTATGCCTTACAATTTGAAAGATTCACCTGAATATAGAAATGATTTCGCGTTCGAACCGTAGGTGCAAGCTAAGAGTATTAATGCGGAAAACAGTACTGGGTACCAAAGAGAACACTAGATAAGGTAGGCAGATCTAAAAAACAAAGAGGAATATGGAGAAGGATGTGGGACAGGATCGCCCAGTGAATATTTAAGCTAAGTCTGATTTAGAAGAAAAATAGAGATGCTTCATGTTAACGTGTTTGTTGGGAAGCACTTGCATTGAGAAATACCTTGGGCAGTAGAGTAAAGAAAATTACTTGAATTGATACCCAATACTATATTTCTATACTCTTAAAAGTGAACTATGTACTATATTACCCCATAAGTAAAGTATGTGTAAGATATTGTATTATGTATGATGAATTCAAAATAAAAAAATCGTACATCGCACGTCTACATAATGTGACTGAAATATTTATTATGCTTGATTATTAACTCTTTGGGTGCAGAGTTCTTCACATTTAAACGCTCACTAGACACATATATGCATCCATAGCCCTCAAAGGATTAATTAATGAAATAGACACCATGTATTGAATATTTGCTATACATGCTTCAAACAATTATTAACCATTCGGCATATGAGTAATAAGTTTTTTTATAATGAACTACACCATTAGTGTATTGCTTTGACCAATGCCAATTTTCCACACACAAAAATAAAATCCTTGTCCATATTCACATCATTTATTTTTAATAATATCAAAACAATTTTAAGTGTCCTGTGACTTTATCAATTAACTCAATAGGACCTGGACCAATCCCGCACACAGTTCTGCTACCAGATGCAATCTGTGTACGCCCTGCATCTTGAACAACGTTTGTGAGAAGACCAACAGATCTAGCATGTTTTGCTAATTCTAGCAATGCAGCCTCATTGTCGACCTAAAAACCTTACTTTCAGTAACTATTAAAAATTTATAATTATTTGTAACTTTCACAAAGTAAATACCTTAAGTGTTATCTTTGCCTGACCACAATCCTCCCAAGATTTTAATATAGCAGGATGCTTTTGTGCTGCCTTGTATGCAGCAACAGCAGCATGTGCACATTGGGCAGCAACTTTTCCTTTGCCCATTTTCAAGTCAGTTCTAATAACCAAAACAAGTTTATAATCATCATCTTCAGAGCCCTGTAATGAATAATAAACCTATTTATTTTGTAGCAATGAGGCTTAAAAATATGTAGAAAATATACAAACTGTGACAATATCCTTAGCAAGTATAGTCTCACGTTTCTGCTCACTTCTTATTAATTTATATATACAGAAACTTATTGTAGCTGCTAGAGCGATAATGATTTTTGGATCAGCTCCGTATTCAATAATCTCACGCAGAATATTCATAATATTCTCTACTTCATTGATGCTTCACCGGTAATTCACTTGCAAATTATTAAAAAAAAAAATACTACCTACATGTGGTACAACCAAACTCCAGATACTATAATATAAATCAGTGTACTAACCACTGAACTCTAACCATAATGGAATCTGTATGCCTTCCTTCCTTCCTTTCCTTATGGCTGTATCCCCAATGGGGGACATATGCCAGTAACTGGTCCTAATAATCAAGGTTGGAAGTTCGACACTAGATGGCGATGTACTTTGCTAGACGGGCCTTATTCAACTCAGCGTGAGGGGACCTACACAAAGTTTATACACCGAATCCGAACAGTGTTGGGCGAAATCCGTATAAATACTCACTTAAGTTTTCATATGAAAACCCATTAGTGAATGCCGCTGGAAGCTGGGCGCGAACCTCCAACCTTTCGGTCGTGAATCCGCTACCCTATCCACTGGGCTACGGCCGCCCCTGGAATCTGTATGCCTGTATCCAGAGGTAATCCGGCCCACAGCTTCTATATACTACCGTTGAGTGTAGATAGGTATAGAGGTGCGAAGGACGTGGTGGGGGTATGTCAAGCATATACTATAGTAAAATTTTAGTTCCAATCCCCGCGAATAGATGGCGCCCCAAAAATCCCAAGCTAGAGTCCCTCTAGTAAAAGTCCGGCCAACGGTGCGGCTTGTTAGTGATTGGCTCCGCCATATTATGGGCTCTTTCCGAAATAGAATGGTGTGTGTGAATACGTATATGAGAGAGATTGGCATTGTGTAGTATGGGTAGTGTTAAGCCCTGTACGGCGGGTTGCCTGTACTTGGCGCGAGACTCGACCGAGTCTCTTGATTGTAAAGATTGATAGTTTGAAAATCCGTGCGCAATGTTATGGTGGCGCCACACAAGCCCTTAATATGGCGTCCCTTTCGGGTGTTGGCCGGACTCACGGTCGTACATACAGGTCTTGCAACTCCCTTGGAGGGGGTAGTCTTCTTTTAGAAGCATTGTTCATTTCGCTTCATGACCACAAGAGGCGTTGCGATCAAGCGATCCGTTCCTATTTCTCTCTCCCACAGCCGATTGTAGAGTGAGATAGATAAGGGGCCCGTTCCTATTTCTCTCTCCCACAGCTGACTGTAGAGTGAGATAGATAAGGGGGTCGCTCGATCACAGCGACGCTTGTGACTAAAAATTAAAATGTGCCGTGCTTCAAAACCACGTCTACCCCCACCGCTGAAAATTGGGCGAGTTGCAAGACCTGTATGTAAGACCGTCGCCGGACTCTTACTAGAGAGACTGTAGCTTGGGATTTTCGGGGCCCCATCTACCAGCCAGGATTGGAACTAAAATTTTACTATAGTATATGCTTGACATACCCCCACCACGTCCTCCGCACCACTATACCTATCTACACTCAACGTTAATACCAGCCACGCCAGCACAAAGCCAGCACTAAAGTACAAATTTATGAAAAATGTCCAGGTACTGCTATATAAATTCGTGTACATCGATGTGGAGTCCTACCGCAGGTTTATCTTTTTTTAAATAAATATTTCCTAATTGCAAATAGTTTTGAATATTGTTTGCTAATAACATGGCTTTATTACTAAAGTCATCCAGCTTAAACTTTTTCAGACTGTACAGTGTGTAATGCAGCAGGCTGCTACCCATGTCCTGTGTCCTTGCTATCTCTCTCTGCTCGCCCCCATCACTGCCGTACGCGTTCCAGTATAGTAAGAGTTCAGTGAGACTACCAAATACCACCAAATGACCACCAATCGATTGGTAAAAAGAAAAATGTCAAAAGTCAAAGTAGGGGGCTAACTTTGCGGAGTTGGGTTTTAGATGGTGCTTTTATCTTAGTACACTAGTTGCTTCTGATATGTCGCTACTAACGATAAAACGGAAGCTGAAGCTTTTTTCGAATCGCTTTACTTTGAAAACATTTATCCCCTCCTTCATCTTTGACTTATTTTTGTTTTCACTTTTGTTTATTTTTACTTCGAGGAAAGCCTCGAGTTTTGCTAAAGTCATGCGGTATTGTAAAAGTTTTAACTATAAACAAATTTATAGTCGGTTGAAGATCAGATCATATCGGTGACATGATTTGAAAATTCACTTTTTAGCATTATAGCTAGTTTCAGTAAAATAAAAGAAAACAAATATTGATTATTCTTTTCTAATAGCAAGAATTTCGTTTGTTTAATTTATACTAAACTCTTCTGATTTAGTATAGATTCAACTTCTTTATACGTATACATATGTATGTTTCAAAAAAGCTGTGCAACTATACTGTATTGGGCACTAGCTTTAAGCATTAAATAATAATATTATTGCAATAATTTTTGGTAGAAATAAAATTACTGATTCATCTATTTTTGTTATATTGTTTAATTCTTACTATAATAATAATATACATATCGAAATATTTATAATATACCAAATAATAATGATGGACACTATACTGATCTACCAAAAAATTATACATATAGAAAGTCTGACGGAGAAGGCGGTTAGGCAGCAGATGTCAAGCGGTTTTTAAAAATGGCCGCGGAACCCGGTGCAGTTGAAGTACTTATCGTTGTCAAGTTTCTGCCAATACTCTCGTAATCATCGGGCAAGATACGTCAATGGCCGCGGTTATTATTAAGCCATGATTTTTTATGATGCACTGCCAACTATTTTGACGTAAGAGATTTGTGAACGTTATCTGACAGCCTCTGCCAGTGGCCGCGGACGAAACCCCGTTAATCCCGTTGCACATCTCTAGGAATATCTGCATATTATTCGGTGTTTCTAATTAAAATAACTTCACTTGACTCTCCAGCGACGTCAATTAACTCGTTGACCATCCTGAGCTACATACTTCATTTATTCAACCTGGACAATGATTTCCTGAGATATTACACTGCAAGCATTATTTAGTGATTGTGGGCTTTAAAAGTGATTGTGAACAATTTCAACAAAGGAAAATGTCTCCTGGTGTAAATGATGGGCCTCGCAACACAGGAACTCTTCCTAAGAGTAACCGAAGAAGTGATAGAAATAGAGAACGTTCTGCTGCCAATCAGCAGATCATCACACGCCCTCTCTATCGAGGAGATTTTTCTCAGCACCCCAATAACTTGGTATGAAAACATTAAAAGATTAACAATTTTACTAAAAATATTAAATTTAGTATATTTGTTAATCTTCACAATAATTTATTTTTATCCAACTAATAGTGTGTGATAATGCTTATTTACCATTATTCATTGAGTACAATATAATATTTTATGTTGATTTTCTCACACAATGAAGAGTGTTATCCTTTATACCCTAGTACTAGGCACTCTGATCAAGAATCATTCTATATGGAGATGCCTACAAGTTACAAGACTATTAATAGATGGTGAAATGGCAGGGAGGCTCACTCTCTAAGAATACATATCCAAAGAGTGTGGCGTACCCACATTAATGTCTCAGACAGTAGTCAGTCAGGTGCTTGTTGCACTGTGCTTAGAATATATCTGACCCACCAGATTGGTATGGTTTAGTTTAATAAACTACGATAAAGTTATTTTAGAGTGTTCAATCAATACTTAGAATATTCTGAACAGGAATGATGTGTGTGGTATTTTCATAAGATATTTTTAATACAACCAGTTGCAGCTAGATTGGCAGCCTGTAAGCGAGCGGGAGCCACGCGGAACGACGAAGAACAGCAACACCAGGTCGACCTCTTCCGCACCGTCAGTTACGTATCACGATTTTTCTGACTTTGGTACGATTTTAATTATACTTTCACAGAAAGTCTACAAATAAAACTATTCAACTTAAATTCTTTTCTTTTTCAGCGTCCGAAGTTGGAACTAGACAGGAAAATTACGCCGTAGAAGATTCCACGCTCTGGCAAAGAATGGTTCCGCCAATTGATTCTCGAACTCAGTCACCGCCTCGTCTCCAGGGATCAAAATCCACTAATGTCGACAAAATGGTAGGTGATATTCATTGATATCTAATATATTTGAAAAGTGAATAAACATAGCGGGAGAATACTTAACATTTTTTTTTGTACAGCCGGATCGGGGTCAAGTCGAAAGCCGACTCAGTCAAATTCGGGATTACATTCGTGTAACTTCCACGATGATGGACTCACTCAATCAGTCGAACGATCCAGTATGTCTTATTTTATGAAGTATATAAAGTGTACCACATCATTCGTATATTTTTTAGAATTTGAACTCATAGTTAAGAGCAAAGTGAAAAATGCATATGTAAAAGTATCAGAGGTATCATAACATTTGTGATGCACAAATTATGCCTAGTGAATGGTTTAAGAACTCTTAAATGTTGTGGTATACGTTCCATTGTTTGATGAAACATATTTTGGGCCGTATGTACCATCCTTTGATACTTTATTTCGTATATGCTATAGCGTGCTCAGGCTCAGCATGAGAAGTTGAGTAAAATGGTGGAGGACCTCTATGACAGCGAGACAAAATTGGCGAAACTTCTGGAGGACTATCAGACTCGCAGACTTCCCGATGAGGTTATTGAATAATACCCGCATTCAATTTCTTCTCAATTACTAACAAAATGCATGCGATTTTAGTCCGGTGATCATCCTAAACTACTGTCCAACCAGATGCGACGCTTCACAGAGCTACTCGATGTCTTAAGCACGCAGGAACGCTTTCTCCTGACTAATCCTCCTTGTAGGGTGCGTTGCAATGCATGTATTTATCAATTGCTTATATCAATATCGCATCAATTCATCACACCAGACAATAAATCATATAAGATAAATTAATCATAGCAGTGTAGCACACGCCAAAGTACATAAAGAGCGCATAATTTCGGAACCTTTTGGAGTGAGTAAGATACGATACGCATCTCTTAATTTGGCTAGAATGGAGATAGCGGCAGGGAAGACATCGATGAAAACGAGGACGGGTCCAGGGAAGCTCATCTGCGCAGAAAAATGGAGGAGTCTCAGCGGAAGCTCGCACAGTTACAAGAGCATCAGGCCAATTTGGTTGGAATGCAGTTGCGTGCCAGAGAACGGTTAAACGAAGCACGTCAAGCTCAACAAGCTCTACTACTCCAGGAAAATCAAACGTCTGCTGCCTCTTCTACATGGGAGGGTGGTAATCGGTTACCACAACAGCAACAAACCGAGCAACTAGAATCGGAAACAGCTGCACTACGAGGAAAGCTGGCCCAGTTGCAGAGCAAGAAAAAACGCATGGATCATCTTGTAGCCGAATTGCAGGCCGTGGAGTTATCTGATAGAGGCAGCTGTGTTCGTATATTATCTCATACCTGCTTCTCTTATAATCTATTTAATGCGCTATTTATTAAAGGATGTCTTTGCTATGTTCTTAGAGCTCCGAAGGATCAAGAGCAGTAGGTAGAGACAAAGCAGCTGAATTAGATGCAATGAAAGCTCAATTGGCTCATCTGAAAGTTCTGATGGAAGAAGCCACAAGAGTACGTGAATCTGTGGATTCCGCTTCAGAGGCTGAGCCTGAAGGCGATACAACGATTCAAGGTGGCGACGAGGCTGACTTAGTGGATGAAGAGGCTGGGGGAATGTCTTTCTGTAATTCTTTTGATCATCAGAGCGAGCCTGATGATGTCAGTTACAAAAAGTCAAGGAATTCTGTGGAAAGACCAACGATCGAGCAGGTTCAGGTATACATTCATTTCATTTCATTTTAATCTATATGATAGCTGATAGCAGGTAAGTCGTATACAAATTGCTTTTAACATTTAAGGCTGTTATTGATGAACTAAAGGAACAGTCAGCTTTACTACAGGCGGCTCGTGCGGAACTTCATCGTTTAAAACAACCAACAGCATCTTCGTCTAATGCACCTCCACCTAATCCTCCTTCAATTCCAAATTCGACACCACCTCCTTCTCTGTTGGGATTCTCTGGTGCGGATAAAAAACAAAGCAATAATGTTGGCAACAGTAATAATGCACATGGAGCGGATTTACAATCAGCCCAAGTCAAGCGACGTCAATTAGAGGAACTTATGCGAAAGGTCTGAAGAATTCAAATAGTTGTTACATGATTTCTTTATATTGTTTAATATATAACTGCGAATTTTTAATTTATTTAGGAACAGAGTCAAACTTCTAGTCTCAATCGTGATGTAGGAGGTTCTGATTGGACCAGACGCAGAGGGTCGAATTCACAGATGAGTCATACGAGTACACCATCCAGTATATGGCCTTTACAGTCTCCAGTTACCGCTGCAGGTGACTTCTTGTTATATGAATTGTTAGACTGTCTTCTGAAATTGGCATAATATTTACATTAAACTCATTTTTTGCAACATTCTTTAAAGGGGGTCCAAACGATCAAAATGTAGATGGTATATCTTCATCGGAGAATCTTCTGGATATCGGTCCCCAGGTTCCCGCGACGGAGAACGGCTTCCCAGGCAACTTCTGGGGTTTACCTCCATCCCCGGTGACTCAGCCGCAAACCGGTAAAGAAGCGCATTAGTGACAAGGAGCTAGTCGAAAAAATTGATTTGTAGTACGACCAGTAGACGCAGAATATAATATTCGATAGGAGTAGCGGGATTGGCCGAATACTATCGCCAGCTGTTGCTGGGCTCGCAAGCACAGCAGCTACAGATGATGGGCACGACAATGCAGCAGTGCTGCCAATTGATTTGGTCTCAGCAGCGGGAATTGCAGTCGATGCGAGCCGCGATAACACAGCTGCAGCTGCAGCAACGACAATCGCAAGCGCCGGTACCGCGATCTAACAACTCCGAGGGCCAGGAAGATTACTCCAACCTAAGTCGACCTATTCATCACCTGGGAAGTACGCTAGACGCAGTTTTACCACCCAGCTCGTCTTTGCCGAACCTAGTCTCGTTACCCAATCCCTCGATTACGCCTGTTCATCCAGTTATGGTCACGCCAGCCGCAAATTCTCAACAGCAACATCATCAGCAGCTGAACAATCAGGTACCGCCAGGCAACAGGGCGAACAACTACTGGGATAACTTTAGAAGGTAACTAGACAATGTACGTGTCATTCTACCGCGTTACACCTGATATTTTATTTATCTACGAGTTCGACGACCTTCGCTTGGCACCTGCATACTGTTGAAAAATCATAGGACTCCTAGGAATTTTTATTTACTTATATCGGTGGTTCTATGCATACGAGCTTCATATACACATCATGCACACAGTGCCCTAGTAGATTCTATGCACTTTGTCCTTCGTCTCGGTGTAAGCCTGATGTATCTCAACATGAAATAATAAAAATCATGGCCTATCTTAGCACACCATCATCGTTTACTTATATTCATTTTACCCTCGTTCAATAATTTTTCTCACGCATACATCTCAGTCTATTTGGTCATCTGTTTCTTGCGCTCAAGTACAATTTGAACTAAATATAGAACATATAGGTAGGTGGAAAAATAACTCGGGTTGATGGAAAGTCTATATAATTTTTATTTTACTCATGATATTCTAACCGTTTGCCTCTGGTGTGCCTAATTTTCTAACTCATACTCTTAAATTAGGATTTTCAATGCAGACAGAGTATTGTATTGTTAGACTTTTTCATACAAAGAATAATCGGAAATTTGCGCGTGCTTTTTGACTTTGGCTTTTTAGCAAACAATTCCGATACACGCAGAACATTTCATGGGTGTTATCATCATCACAATCTCATGCAAGCTCGACTCTAAGGCATGCGACATGGTTTGGCATTTCTTTCTGCTTTTTCAGCTACTCCAGGCAAAATCTACTGTCCGGAAGTGCAAAGACAGTAACAGATCACTCTACACCAGCTCCAGCTGCCAATGCCAGTACTTCCAGTAACAGTGCCAGTGGAGGTGTTAATAGTTCTCTCATGTATGTATCTTCCAGTACCTCATAAAAATTTCTTGTTTTTTACCATATAATGCTGCACGATATTTCAACTAACCATGTTGTTCGTTACTAATCTAATCTCTTAAATACTATAACTGGATTTCCTGAAGAAAGGACAAACGGAATCGGGAACACGGAGCAGACAATTTACCACTGCCAACCTTATCAGGAACAGAGGCACAGTACTCACTCAATCTACAGTTGCAGTCAAATTTGCAGCAACAGGAAAGAGATAGAGAGAGGGAGAGTGCGGTCACGCGTAGCAATATTCTCAGCAACGAGACCCATCATCAACAGCAACAAGTTGATAATATCTGGGAGGATAATCACTCCTCTTTTCGGTTGCTGCCTGGCCACAATGAAGATTATTACTCATTACATCATCTCAGGTTAGACTTAAAACATGTCATTTTTTATGACGCTGATATCAATCAATGAAGTCGCTTAACGCGTCGGATACCATTGCAAACATGTAGAACAGTCAATGTGAACTATGCTGTAGCGGTGAAATGAGGGACGTGTTAGGCTCGCTCGTTGCAGCCAACAGAAGACGACCCGATTACCTGGTTATTATTCTAAGAGAAATCAAGGCAATTAGTGAAGATCATCGTCTACGACCACGACTCTTGAGATCCTTACGAGCTTTACAGATTCCGGAACCACCAAACAATCCTCTGGTGGGTAACTAGAAATCCTTCGTATAGATTGGTGGTATTATTGATTAAATTATTGACTTCTATTTGAAATCATCTAGGAAACTGCATTACTATCACAGAATGAAGCTACTGATCAAACAGCTAGTGAAAGCTGTCAGTCCAGTGATGACGATTCAGATTTAGGTGCATGGGGTCCACCAGTTCCCAAATTAGAAAAGACAAATATTTCTTTACCTCAAGTGTTTATGCCACGTAGAGAATCATCATTGGCATCACCATCATGGCGGGAGTCAGCAGAAGATCACTGTGATAATACAGTGAGTAGTGATATCTTGAAATTTAAATAATGTGGGATAACGAATACAATTCTCGTTTTCTAATTAGACTGGTTTTCCTGCTGGTGATGCGAGTGCAGCACCTTCCACATCAATCACTCCAGGATACAATGAAGATCTAGCAGAAGCTGATCAATCACGACCTGAAGCTTCTAATAATCAACAGGTATTACATAATCCAATAAATTAGACTTCTCGTGAGGGAAGACAAATATTGAAAGTCTTTCATTCTTATTCCTTAGATTGCTTCTGATGAAGGACTTAATCAAATCGAAGAAAACGAAACAGAACCCATAGCACATGGTGCAGCTGCTCAAGTAGCAGCAGAAGCAGAAGTCGATTTACAATTAGTAAATGAGGAAGGCGACGTAGAAAGAACGGAAGACGTGATACTCGACAGAATTCCCACACGTCTGTATCATCATTAGTATTTTGTAAGATTCGTCGATGAGAATGAAATCTCGCAATACACCACCAGAGGTCTGTAATTTTTCCACGTCCAGATTATTCTGCAGATCCACTGTGTGGGAATGTGCGAAACGTTTAATAATTATTAATTAATAACGTTTCCATTAATATATTCAAAATTAATGGAAGACGAAAGCCAATAATTCATTCTTCGTCCTTTATTTGTGCTTTTGTCCCCCTAAGTTGATTTCTTTATATTATCACTAACAATGTTCTTTATAGTATTTCTTGTTTCTTCAGTTCTCTCTATTATGCATCTCTTTGATGCTGTAAAGTTTTGTGAACATGAGTAATGCTTGTTTTATTATCGTTCCTATTTAGTGTTGCCTTTGATGCTTATCGTAATATAGGAACTACACACCATCTATATTGCCTACTATAAAGTATGAACTCAATGTATATAGAGCCAAATGAATGGTCTCATAACTTTGTAATAATTGCTGTGGGTAAATTAATTCTTAACCAATTTGAATAAAATAAAATCAAAACAGAAGCTGTAGAGTATAAAGCTCATCAAATGCATAAAGTATTAGGTAAATTGAATAAAACATAAACCACAGATCGTAACTTTTATAGAAAAGTAAATATTTATTTTGTTCCATACACACATGTAGCAACATCATACTTAAGCATTAGGTTTCACATTAACTAAATTACAAATGTGTAATGACTCGCATACACCTCTTTTGCATGTGAATCTAGGATGGATTTACATAACATAGTCCATGGTAAGCTCATATCAATTCACTCCAATTCATAAGTCGTTCAAAATTCTGCCTCAGCAGAGTCATTCAGCAGTTGTTGTTGACGTCTGAGTTGATGCACTGAACATCCATGGGTCTCCAGCAACATTTTCTCAAATTCGGCATCATCCTCATAAGCCTCAGAACAGCCCAATGGCAATAAACCATTAGAAACGGTGTTGCTTAACGAATTATAATTACCTGCTGCCCAGACGCAGCCTGTAAGGGTTGCCGAGGGTTGTACCAAGGACTTACCCTCGGCATTAATTAAGCGTAATGGTGCCGGCTCATAATGCACTTTGACTGGTCTATATTCCTCTGGATCTGGAACTCTTGCACCATGGTAGTAATCGCGGCTGTTACCACCGCCTCTGAAAAGAAATCCGTTCCTTTATCGACTCATTTTCCTAGGTCACTGATCACATTACTCAAGACGAGGCAGACTCCACCGCGTTGATACTTGAAAGAATCCCACCGAATTTCTCGCAATAATATCTCTAACACGATGACACCTTACAACAGTCCTGTGTTTCGCGCACGAATTTGTATCTGAAGAGTATCTCTGGATGTTTCGATTCCAAAAACCTCCAAAGTAGCCAGAGCTAATGGATCTATTTGGGTGAATGGTGATGGTGGGAAGCAATGGATAGAAGAATAGGCATCTCGTTAAAAAGAAAAACAATAACAAACAGGCGTGTGGTTTACCTTCGCGGAACTTCTTCATAGGCGCGAAAAGCGCGAGATCGTCACTATTGCGCTTCCGGTTCCGGCATCGCGATGCGGCGTCGTGGATCGTGCGGCGTTCCCGGAGATGCTCATGGCCATCCTCCCGGTGACCAACAGTTAGTCGCCGCGGAACCTCTGGAATCACGCAAGGGTTATTGATGCAACGGGCGCCTTCGCTATTTTCATAGCTATCGGCATCCGTTTCCATGGCTAAACCGTAGCCACAGTGGTTACGTGTTGCTCCCTTGTGGCTGAAGTCGTTCCGTTGCCCGGCTTCATGCTGATAATTGAAATCCTGAGGGGCACTAGCACGAGAACTCGGCGGAACATAACCATAATATGCATTCGAGGAAACATACAATGGCACGCCATTCATCAAATTGTACACAGCATCGCCAACAACGGCCATCTTTTATGGAATATTTTGTTAAAGTTTTAGCACACACTACTCAAATTGACTCAACGTAACTCGCTCTCACTTGAACGCCGACTGGGCAGCGGGACGCATCATGTTGATGCTTACGGACAGACGCGGCAAATACCGTTATCGGTCGCAGATTCTGATTGGTGCGTTCTCATCCCCACCATCACACAGTTCTACAACTCCATGCCAATTCCAGTATTTTGATTATGAAACTATTCCGTGATTTTCAAGAAAAACGGCGAACGCTGTCCTGCACTGTGCAAACAGCATACGCCAGACATTACTTTATCGATGCAAATAGCATCATCGTGATCGTTGCCTTACGCCGTGGCGTATCCTTTTAACCTCGCTTTCGATACAGGAATACTTTTGAGAGGACGCGGTCAAACGCATGCGCTATTCATTCTTAGAATCGTCGTTTGTTCAATCGCTTCTGCTTATATTTTTATTGTATTCGTTTACGTTGGCGGAAACCATTCGATAGAACACCGGGATGCCAGAAATATGTCGTACAGACGTCGTCATTCGCCACTACTGACATACAGACATCCGTAAATTCGCAAAGGACATCTTGTAGACGTTATTCTGAAGTATGTTTATCCCACCTACGGACGACTTTCTGTCCGTATATCCTATACTTACCTGTCATTTATTGGATGTATTTCTACATTCATCTGACAATTTGCTTCACATGAATAGGATATTCTTATAAGGTATAATAATAATAAATGATAAAAAAGAATAATGGATGATATAAATGCGAACATTAAAACGACGTTCTAAAGATGTCATACTGCGTCGTGTTTAAGACGTCTACCGGATGTATTACGCATAGCATTTCGGCACCATTCGGATGTCGTTCGGATGTTCCGTGTTGTGTGCGAATGATGTTACTGAAGAGACATCACTGGAGCCAATATCCGGTTTTCCAATTAAATAAATTTAACATATGCAATTTCCGAAATGGCACTGAAGTCACGCTTAATTACAATGTATTGAATATATACTGTATTTTTTTTGAACTTGTTTCTTCTTTTTTCACGTTGCGTTTTTCACGATTTTAGTAATATATATATGTATACATTTTTATTAAAAAAAATTTATTGTACCGAGTGTATACATTAATTATTTTGATTACCTGACCGGAATATGATATCTATTAAAGGGGTATTTATTTCATAAAGTCTCATAGATTATTCCCTTATAATTTGTGGTTTGAAATCCGGTTTGACAGCTTCGGCAAGTTCTTTCGCATACATGTCCAGTCTTTGAGTCATCTGGAATGTGAAAAATATATTTATTTATTTCATCAAGAATAGTCGCGTGGGGGTGAGTTTGCACCCCAGCGGACAACGACATTTACATAATTGAAATGATATACAGGGTGTCCCAAAATTACCTGACCAACGGGGTATGGCGGTGTTCGGGGGGCACCACTGATCACGAAAATGACCTTCCTTTTGTCCGGAAGGTCATAGTTTTTAAATGGGAGCAGGTCAAAGTTGAACAATCAGAGGAAGGCGTCAAGAGAAACGTAGGCACCTGCGAACTCTGAGTTTTCTTCCCTCGCTTTTGTTTCTCGGTGGCTTCGGGCAGGATGACATCAGCCGAAGACATGCTTATGGGAAACAAGAAACAAGCTACCGAGAAACAAAAGCGAGGGAAGAAAACTCAGAGTTCGTAGGTGCCTGCGTTTCTCTTGACGCCTCGTTCTGATTGGTCAACTTTGACCTGCTCCCATTTAAAAACTATGACCTTCCGGACAAAAGGAAGGTCATTTTCGTGATCAGTGGTGCCTCCCGAACACCGCCATACCCCGTTGGTCAGGTGATTTTGGGACACCCTGTATACATATACAACATACATATTTTACCTCGTAACTCGACTCTAGTGGAAATATAGCAATTGGCTAAGTAAATATTAAATGCAGTAAACTACTTATAACCAATTAAATGTGTGGTGTACAACTTAGTCCGTTGACTGTTTATGTAAACAAAATAAAACGTGTACCTAATTTCGGGTTAAAGTAATACATGGTCCAAATCTTGTTCAAAAGTCTTTCTTACCCTAAATCCCCAATTGTCTTTGGCTTGTCGACATAAATTTAAATCCAACTCAGCAACCAAAAGCCCATCACGATTTCGACTTAATCCAGGAGTTCGTATGCCATCCGGAGCAGCGACATAACTAGAACCATAAAATTCTCCAAAATTATTATGCATCGAACGACCGTCTCCAGAAGTAAATGCGTTGGGAAAAATTTCAGTTCCCACTCGATTAATAGCGCATGTGAAATAGTTATTAGCTATGGCTGCACATCTTGCTTCAATCGGCCATAATGGTTCAGATAATTCACCAACAGTAGCAGACGGGTTGAATACAATCTGAAATAGCATTATTAGATTAATTGAATATAATCCAATAATCAATCCAATTTTTGTTATTATCATAGTACCTCTGCTCCATTTACACCAAACATCATCCAATTTTGAGGATGATGACGTCCATAACAAATATTTATTGCAATCCGTCCATAACGTGTTTCAAATACAGGATGGCCTGTGTTGCCCTCCATGTAATATGTAGATTCATTAAAGTCCGCAACTCGCGGTATATGATTCTTTCTGTGTTTTCCAATGATTTTACCATCCGCACCAATAACAACGGAAGTATTCCATAAAGTATCGCCATTATTACTGTCTCTCTCCAAGATAGAAGAAATAATGACCATATTGTGCCGTTCTGCAATATCTGAGAGTAAAGTTGTCGTTGGACCGTGCTCAGCATCCTCAGCAAATTCGCACCACGGATGCTTCTCTCGTGTACAAAAGACAAACGGCATTGCTAAAAGATATTTTTACATATTTGTGAGTATAAGGAGATACATTTATAGATCGTCCATGAGTAAAATGTGTTTCGAAATATCGTTACTCTTATGACATTCAATTTAATTTAATTACATACGCCATGCTTCTTGCATGCAGACTATATTGACTCCACACGCTGCAGCATGCTCTATGTATCCAATTATTTTTTTATGTATGGCGTCCCTTTGATCAGCCACTGGTTCAGTTGTGGGTAATACAATTGCATTTTGTATTAGACCGACACGAATAATCCGGGGTGGACGAAGTTGCTCTGCCAGAGCACCACCCAGCTTCCATCCCTGAACTTCAAATTTTTTATCGCTTTCCCATGCAGGCAATTTCAAAGGCCTGTTACGAAATAGTTATACTTAATATTACGTATATTTCGGAAGATACAATATTATAAATGTAAAATATTTTATTACTTACTCCAATTCGCGCCCAAACAAAATTCTTTTGACTTCACGCAATTCGGGTTCAGGCAAGTGCTTGTCCAATATCTCTTCCAAAGTTGTGTTATTCATCGTTCTTATTCAATGAAGCTACTCTTAAAAAGCCAGTGAACTACTCAGGCCTACTGATCAATTGACATGCACTTGTTGCTGAAGCAGCTTAAACAATGTGTATGAAGAAAAAACAGATAGGAAACAAACTAGATATTCATATGTGACTCGGAGAAGACATTTATACGTTTAGATGAATTTTGAAGAACAGAAGTGCCTATCTCTAGCGCATATGTTCAATGGTTGATCTGTCGCGCTTTTTCTATAGTTAGAAGTGTCTTTGAAGATGTCTTCATTAATATTTACAATGGCTTATTTGGTAAGAGTATAGCATAGGATTGCATGCTTCTTATCTTGCTATTGCTAACTAGAGATAAAATTGTAACGATAGGTGGGAGTTTAGAGTCCACATGAAATAGAATATGTTTACAAATTTCTATCAATAATAGTTCAAGCAAATTCGAATTCATGATAAATGTTACTTCATATTATAAAGTATATGCTTCACTTCACATTAAAAAAATTGTTTTTCCATAAGAATACGTTGAGCAACATTCTTTAGTTGCAGCAGAGCAACATCTTTAAACCTCATTCTTTAGAACATGTTACATTTGCATAACATATTTAAATTTACAATGTATCACCTTATATTATTAGAAATAAGCTAATTTATTATTGTTATTGACAGATATGTAATATCGCATCTTGTAAACCGCGTAGTACAATACGAAAAGGTAACTTAATGTACCTTATATTATAAATCAGTTTATACATGGAGACAAAAAGTATCAAATACCGTTCTAAGATAATGCAACCGCGTACCACTTTCTTTTCGTTTCTTTTGTTAAACAAGGCCATCCTAGTTAATTAGCAACCTGCGCCAAGTCTCTGTTGAAGATGCTGGGGACCTTCATGAAGAAGTCTTTATTCTATATACAGTCGAACTAAATCATCTTCTTTTGCAGGATAATGTGTAACCGGACATCTTCCGTTTCTACGTATTTCAATTAGAATGCATTGATAACAGAAGACATAGCTGTAAAGATAAAAATATGTATTTTTTACATTTTGCACAATTTCATTTTATCAAGTATGAAACACGAATATGTAATATATACCCTGATACAGCTACACCCGTATCAATTCGACGTTTCTTGTGACATATTGGACATATCCCTGCATACTTTTTGGCTGATTCTGGAACCTGGCAAAAATACCATATGAAAAACGTACCTTAATTGTTAAACATTCTATTCCTTCATTGATCATAATATTAGTTATGTACCACTGGAGCAGGTGGAATTGGAACTGTAGTAAGACTCTTATAATAATGTTCCTGATTCCACCATTGAAGAAACTGAAGGAAGAATGCACCAAATTCAAGAGAACATGTGACTGTTTGTTGGAATAGTTCTATTCCATCTTTAAAGTTAAACGTCCCAAGTTTAATTTTTCTTAATAGGTCTGCTGTTGTTAAACTAATTTGTGGATCAGCATATGTTAATGTTAAAGAAGCGAACCACAGAAATGGTGTTGGGTAAGATGACAAATTGGAGATATAAAGCAGATATTGATATAATGCTAAGACCTCTCCCAGTATGTGAAAAATTGTATGCCCCTTGGCAATATATTTTGACAATAATCTTTGCCAACCCTGTAACAGAAGTTTTTTTTTTTTCCTTTATTTGAACCAAATGCAAATCCTTGCAACATACGTAAAATTACTTTCCTTATTCTATTTACCTTCTTTGATAACTGACCATCTAGTTCATTAAGCCTTTGTTCATTACTAAATTTGGTAATTTTATCCTTAAAATAAGGACCCAGAACAAGAAAAATTAAAGACAAGTTTTTTTGTTTACCAGACAATCTTCCTCTTTTTTTGGGTTCACTAAGAGAAATACGTTTAAGTCCATAAAAAGTTTCAGAAAAAGATGCAGCTGAAAGGAAAGGGGGAACAGAAAAGAAAAATGAAATCTATGGCAAATCGATATGCAGGGTGTGAAGAAAATTAATAGTGCATATATACTAAAAGGATATTTACAATAATTCTTCAGGTAATAATTTTGGAGGAATGTGTTGAAGATCAGATATGTTTCATCAGACCATTGATGCAGCCAACCATACCTTGCAGGATTACAAGACACTAAAAACTATAACAATTTGTTAGACAATGACAAACATCTATGACAAACATTTAACAGTTTTATGTAATTTTGATAAAAACTTGTAAATGTCATGTAATACATTATAATATTCGTCTTTACCAAAATATGCATTTATATTGCTTAAGAAATACAGATGTCAAAAAAATAAATCTTTACGTGCCGAAATAATTTGTTTTAATGCAGGCTGCAGCGTTGAATATAAAGAATCTTGTGCAACTATTTCGAAAATAGAAGGTTTTGCGTGACTCGTTCCTGTTAAATGTGCTCCTCGCTCGGCCATAATGAATCAATCAATCGCAATATTTGAATTTAGCGTCTTCACTTATCCTGCCGGACGTTTTGGCAAATTTATTTTCGAAATTGATGAAAAAAACATAGTATTTATTAATTCAAGCAATGAATATGCCACAATACAACAGCTGATTTTTTATTCTGCTGATGCGGCTTTGTCAGTAGCGCCACTCCGAAGCAGTGATAGATTCACTGAAATATAAGCATACTGGAAGGCGTATGCTGTATTCAGCTGTATTCGGTGATAGCATATACATATGGTGGTAGTTATTATTCACCCTCATTGTAGTAGATTGTCTTGTCGAATTGAATTGGGCGTGTGTGTATATAGAAACCTAGCAAAAATGTTGCGCCACCGATATTTTAGTGTCGACAAAACGCTTTAATACGTCACTTGCACATCGTAGAATTTTGAATAAAATAAAATGTCAATTGTTAAAAACCTTTCTAGCCCATCGTCTTCAACGCGATTCAATGCATCAACTCTGTTTATCTTCAAGATGCAAGAACCTGATTGGATAATAGCATTATTATTGGTCCAGAGTTGCGCTCGTGCGCGTGTTCACGAGTGTGACTGAACCGACTGAACTCTAGGCTCAATAATATTCATTCAAACGAAAGTTCCATTGACATTTACAAACCAGAAGACAATTTCTAGACGACTATCAAAATATCCTGGGCTTAAAGGTAAATTTTAGTAATGCATAGGACAGATATTTGTGGACTAATATTTATGAGAATAGTGTCTGTAAAATCATTAAAATCCAGTAAAAGATATAAGCTTTATTTAGCCCCTTAAAAAAAAATACAGAATCTGTTCTCTATCCTGCAAAATAGTTCGCAGCATTGAATCGTTGGTATAACACTTAAAAATATTTGTACAATAAAACGACAGGTAGAAATAACATTGTACATAACCATTGAAAGTTAATATACTGGAACTTCTTGCTTTCAAATAGTATAGAAAAAACAGGAATGTCAAAAAGTTTCCAAACCTTCTTCCTGTTGTTTAACTTATTGCTGTTGTGAATCCATTATAAGATTGCCATCCTTATCCTTGAGTCGCACTCTTCCACTAGCATAACGGGTCTCCTGAGAACCATCTGGATAAACTAATTTAACTGTACCATCAGGGTACTCTCGTCGCTACAATGTAACAGAAAAAATTCTGTCAAGTTTGTATCTTGTTAATACAATTAAACATTGATAATCATACTTTGTGGTCTTTGGTATGCACTTCTCGTTGTCCATTGGGTAAGGTAAGTATCTTTTCACCATTTGTGAAAGTTTCAGCTATAGTACCATCAGGCAATGCCCATCTTTCTGAACCATCGGACTGCAAAATTCTTACAGAACCATCGGGAAAGGATACTTCCACTGTACCATTTTTTGAACGTCTTTCTACTTGACCACTGAAAAAATTATGTAATGTAACGATTAAGAAAAAAAAAAATGATTTATTGAACTAAATATTTGCATACTCAGGAAATTCAAGAATCTCCAAACCATCCGGCATTGTCGTATGCCATGTTCTTGTTGAGGCATAAAAATATTTAACACCTCCATCACGGTTGCTCTCACGTACATCACCGTTATAATATATCATTTTGATGATATTGCGATCAGCTGAAAGTTTCTTGACATTGCCATTTGGATACCAATATTCTAGTCGACCATCTGGATGGCGAACTTCTTTGATACCCTGTTTAGTCATTTTATCTTTGTTTGGAGAAGTTTCATTGCTTTTCCTGTTCCTGATAGAAGTTCTACTGCATGATACTTCTCCTTTTTGCATGTCAGCGTCTTTCATAGAATTTCTCTTGACATCACTATCAACTGCATCGTTCATATGAGATTGCTCCAATTCTAAAGGAACATGATTGGAAATAATATTATCCATTGCGTCATCAGTATCCTCAATTCGAGAATTTTGAGATTCATTCTTCAATCTTTCAAACTCTTCAGTTGCCTTTTTAATTGCATCCTGATGTTCAGCAATGCCGATCGTTGCGTCTTTAAGTAAATGTTCATACATTATACGCTTCTTAGCGATACTCTCATAACTCTTCACTGGTTTCTGTGCAGCTTCATATATTATCAGTTTACTACCGTCAATATTCTTGCCTGATTCATGATTCGCAGAATTTTCTGCTTCATGACTATCCCCTTTGCCAAAGATAGATTCCATCATAGGTCGAATTAATTGGTCTTCATCTTCTGAAGAATCCTGCTTCGTTTGTGGCTTTTTGCGATCATCCAATTGTTTATTAATCTGATGTATAGCTCTGGTGTTTGTAGGAGGATTGAGCTTTCTAAATTTGATGTTGTTCTTTTTGGCGTTTTGAAGTTTTTCTAGCTCTTGCTTTAATTTTGCATTCTCAGCGTGTAATATTCTTACTTGACTTTTATGTCTGGCTTGGGCCGCATTCCACCGACTCTCTTTTTGAATAATATCTTCTCTCAACTCTTCAAGCTGTTCACGCAGCATGTGCACCTCTTGCCTCTCTTGTTTGTTTTTCTGTGCCTTTTGTTGTGCGTCTTTTAGTCTATTTTCCAAAGCCATTTTTTCCCTCGTTAGTCTTTTCTTTTCCTCTTGCAAACTGTTCTCTACCCTTACCCTGTTCTCCTCAAATACTGCTTCTTTCTCTTTGTACTGTTGCTGCAACTTCTTTTGTTCGTCCTGAAGTTTTTGTCTCTGTATTGTTAGGGCTGCATTCTCTTTTCTAAATATATCAATTTCTTGTTCTAGCTCTAACAAACGACTCTTTAATAATTCAGACTTAAATATTGTTCCGTTAGTATCTTCAGTCCTCACGTCAATCAGCTGATTCTGATTGTTGTTCATAATTGAATTTATTTTTGATGAGATGTCCTTCTTGGTCTCACATTTTCTATCTTTAAGATCATAATTCATATGAGTATGGACATCAGGCTCTTCGTCGTCTGATAGTTCTTTACAGTCTTCATATTGACAATACTCTTCATCGGACATAGGATCCGCAGAAGGGCCTTCGTGATTACCAATTATCTTCTGATTCCCTGAGTCATTGTCATCAATGTCCGGTAAGCTTTTCATGGAGGACCTGTCGCTGAAATCGTCATGATCATAATCCTTATTTGGCTTTGACATCACCAGTTCTTCAGTGTTCTCTACAGGAGATTTTTGAGTCTTTATTAATGAAGCTTCAGCATCGGAAGAGTCGCTAGGTGCTGAACAATCGCTCCAGGCTCTTTCGTCCGAGTAATTTTTGTGTACCTGCGAATCACCGGATATACTTGATGTATCAGTCAAGCCAATCATTTTATAGTCATTAAATTCAGAAAATCTAACATGAAGACTAACATTCCTTTCCTCATTACCAATGTTCCCATCATAACCTTGATTAGAAGCTTCACAGTCATCAAAACCTTTGGAATAATCAGCATCGTAAGCTGCATCGATGTCCATTCCGTATGGCAGTTCACAGAGCTTCTCATCCTCATTTATGCTGTTATTTAGAAGATTCTTTTCTATATACTGAACACTTTGGGAGCTAAACTTTTGAGATACTTGAGCAGCTGTTGTATATCCAAACTGTTGATTCCTGGCAGCATTTAGCTGTGAAGAGTTGTACATGCTTGCGTGGTACTGATTTACTTGTTCATTGATAAACGGTATGGATTCCCACTTTGGAAGTACTATGTCTTTAGTAAAATCAGATTTCTTATGTATATTGGTATTACTTTTGACTTTATTGGATTCTGTGGAGCAAACTATTTCCTGTAATAACAAATCCTCTTCCTGTATGTCCTTCCTGATATTTACATTAGCTTTATGTGTTTGAATGCTGGTTAAACCATTGTTTAATGTCTGCATAGATTTTAATGGTGTAGTTTGAACTGACTGCTGCAGCAATGCAACAACTGTACTGGATGTAGAGCAAAAACTCGAATGCTCTGCTTTCTCTTCAAGAAGTTCAAATATTCTACCTTCCTCTAAATCCCTCTTCGTTTTGGCTTCAACATCAGAGTTTTTTAAATCAATAGGTGGCTTTACGTTGTTCTTATCATTAATGATAGTTGGAAATCTACTCATGGATTTGCTCCGAACTTTGTTTCTTGGTAAAGGTACGTTTTTTAAACTTAATCTTTGTTGAGCGACAGAAGGAATGTTTTTTTTTGATGCTGTATTTTTCTTGAGGACGATTTTTGGTACATCTTTGGGTTTATCAATAACGTTTTTACTAGTATGATCATTGTTGAGCTTCAAGTTAGCTGATAAAGATGCGCTTCGCCGTCTCGTAAGTTGTGCTGTATTTCCAGAAAAAGAATTAACTCGAAATCGTGCTAAACCTTCTCCCTTTTTTAAAAATGGGCGTTTTATTAGTTTCTTTGTGTCATTATTATTCTGCATCAAAGCTTCGGAGTCCCTTAAACGTTCTTCTAACAAAGTATGAAAATCTTTCTTTGGTGATGGTACAGGAATATCATCTATAGTTATGTGTTTATTTGTTACTGCTTCTGATGGAAGTGGCTCTATTCCTTCCATGGTCAATTTAGAAATTGGTCCACGTTGTTTTTGCGGAGTCAAATCCAAATTTGAGAAACATTCATGCTTAAGCTTATTTACACTGGCATTTGATTCGTCAGAGGGATGTCTCCCAAGAACATTGCGAGAAGTAGACAAGTGTATATTCGGCATGTTTAGGTGCATCTCAACCTTGTCATCAGATGACTGGTTTGAGAGTTTAATACTAACCTGAGTTTCTAAATTTTTGTTTGTTACAATGTCGAATGCCTCACTTGATCTATTCTTATTAATACTATTGGTTGTGAATGTATGACAAGGTTCTTCTTTACTTAAAATCACTTGAGATATACTGAGTAGATCAGAATCATTATAATCATCATTGTTTAAATGCTCCTTATTACTTGATTCTGATATGGCACAATGTTTATTTCCTGTTTGTTTTGGGTCTTCATTTAAACTGTCTTTATAGTTTGTAGATGCTTCAGTATCTTCCTGTGATAAATCCAGACTACATTCCCCTTTACTTTGAGCAATTAATTGTTTCATTATATTTTCATCTAAGCTTTCATTTGGTATAGTTAAACCAAGTGCTTGATACATGCGGTCTTGTTCTCTACTTAATAATTCTCTTTGTTCTTCTTGTTGCTTCAACAGTCGCCCTTGTTGCTCAATTTGCCATTTTCTGAGCTCCTGAAGACGCTCCACGATTGATGCTTCCAAAGCCATAGCAAGTATGGGTATTGTCCACAAAAAGCATGGATTACAATATACTATGTGTCATTTATTTCTGAAAAAGGAAATGATACGGAAATGTAACATATATTCTTAAATAAAACGTTATAATGGATGATATGAGAAGTACTAAAGACAAAGTACTCGTACGAAGTAAATGAAATACATATTAAAATTGTTGTTTAACCATTTATTAATTAACGTAATGAAAAAGTATAGAGAAAATACATACTGCGCGAAACTCCCATAGGAGATATTACTTTCTACACATGCCAAAAAAACAGTATAAAACTTTTATTTGTAAAGCAAAAACTGTTTTCCACTTGCAATAAAGGCCGTTACGATTTTAAAATGACAACAGGATATCACGCTTGATCACGCCATTGTCAGCAATGCTGTGTGAAGTAATAAGTTGGTGAAATATTCCGAGTTTGAACAGAGTGATTCGTTCACAAAAAATTAAATTTATCAACGTAAGAACACTATTCGCTATTGCCAAGAACTACTTTTCGACAACCAATAGAAATTCTATATATTTAATATGACTCTCACCAATTGCTGCCAACTACATGACGCCGCCAGTTTTACATCTGTTCACAGCGATCGATGAGCAAAAAAAAGGCTAATATCATCGAGTGTTACCTACCTATTTATACTCAACGTTATCATAACTGATCATGACAGTCAGGAGTCAAAGCACATAACCACAAAAGCACGAATAACAAATTTTTAGACTTCAGTAAATCAGATTGCTTCAATAACAATTTGATATTTTTACTGTTAATAATGACTGAAACAGGAAGAAAGGAAAAACAGTAAGCACTTGATTTTGAAATTTGATTACTTGTACTTTATACTTGTTTAGTTATAAATTATTTGTTGAAATTTGACAAAATGGATGGACTTCAATGACACGGTTTTAACTGTATTATAGATACGGCTTGATTGTTCCAAAAAAGAAGCAAATATCTGCTCCAAGAGCTGGTAATATCTTTGGAGACGATAGTGGATCTGATGCTGAGGATGGTACAGACTGGGTGAAGAAAGCTCTAAAGGCTGAAGGAGAAAAGAACCGAGTAAAGAAACAAACACAATTAACCATGAAGAAGGCGTTAAAGGAAAACCCAACAGTGTATCAGTACGATGAAGTTTATGATGAAATGGAAAGAACGAAAGAGGAAAGTAAAGCTGTAAAAAAAGAGGAAAAAAAGCCAAAATATATTACAAATCTGTTGCTGGCTGCTGATCGTAGAAAAAGAGAACAAGAACACAGAATAGAGAGAATGGTACAGAAAGAAAGGGAAGCTGAAGGAGCTATGTTTGCAGATAAAGAAAGTTTTGTGACTTCTGCGTATAGAGCAAAACTTGAGGAATTTAAGAAGATGGAAGAAGAAGAATTGAGAATGGACAGACTTGAATCAATTGGTGATGTTACTAAACAGCAAGATATGTCTGGATTTTATCGACATTTATACGCACAAACTGTAGATGGTGGGAAACAACAGCAATCTACAGATTATGTTCTTGACAATGAGCAAATTTCAGAAATCAAGGAAAAAGACATAGATGAAGATGCAAATCAGGATGCTACACGGTCAAATTTTTTGTCCAAAAAGAACACACAATCAGATAATGAAAGCACAATAGAAATAGCAAAACAAACGCGGAAAAAGCTTGGGCAATCTAAAAAAAATAGGCAATACAGGAAGAGAAATGCAGAATTATCTGACAGTGATTCTGAAATTGAAACAGACAAGATGATAAATAATACAAAAGATGTGGGAATCCCATTATCTTCTAAATCTGAAAATCCAGAGACCGAGGAACCTGAAATAAAAAAGCAAAAATTGTCTCCTGAAAAAACAAAAATGAAGAGTCCTAGTCCTACAAGAGACCAAAATTATACTACAAATAATACTGAAAAATCTGATAAAATAAAAAATAGTTCTTTAGAGCAAACAAAAGAAGTGAATAAAGATAATACAGAACTAAAGAAAAAGAAAGAAGAAAAGAAGGTATCAATATGGGAAAAAAGAACAGTAGGCCCAGTTTTTGAAGCAGCTTTACAGAGGTACTATGAGCGCAAAGCCATGAGATTATCTGGTTCTTAAAGCTTGGACAGTATATATAGCTGTTACATATATATATATGTAATATATTTAAAAATAAAAGATTTTTATAATTATAAAGGCAAATTAAATATTATTTTCCTTGAAAACCACCGTTCTTGTCTACTCCTCAACAGAAATTGCATAATGACTCATTAATCATTATGAAATAAAGTTTACAAACTTTTCTTATTCTAAAAGAGGCACACTATTATTAGTCTTAGAATGTAGTATGTTGATTAAGAAAATTTTTTGCTTAAAAAAGTCATTTTATCAGGCATAGGTACGCATATTCCGCGGAAATTTAACGTAGTGTATTACGATCGGTACTTATCTCCCAGAGCAGAAAATCAATTGCCTGTTGAGTTGTGTGGGCGTATATCTGTAGGCGGGCTTGATGTATTCGGGTATGGAAGTGTGTAAAGTTGAGTAAATCCCCCACTCACTTAGCTGCTGACGTCATCAGATCAGATATAGGGGATATCCCGTTAGAGGAGCACACGAAACAGCAGGGAACAGTCGTGCTGTCAATCGTTGTGATATTCCATAATTTGGACTACACCATGGGGCCCTGGAGCTTCTTGAGTCTAATTTTGACTTACTTCGTCGTGGTGAACTGCTACACACTAAGATCTGCACAGCCAAACGAGGATTTCGTTCAGCCTCATTATACCCACTATAATGAACTAAAGGAACTCTTTCACAATCTCGCTGAGACTTATCCAAATTTGGCCAGAGTGCATTCAGTGGGTAAATCTGTTGAAGGTCGCGATCTCTTGGTATTAGAGATCTCGGAAAATGTCAGAGAACGTGCCCTTGGTGAGCCCATGGTCAAATATGTGAGCAACATGCATGGTGACGAAGCTGTTGGACGAGAGTTACTGGTCTATCTGTCACAGTATTTACTGAAAAATTATGGCACAAATGCAAGGGTCAGTGCACTGGTTAACAATACTGATATCTTCCTAATGCCTTCCATGAATCCTGATGGGTTTGAACATTCAACGGTAAGGACTTTTCATATTTACAATATATATGTGTGAACTCTGTTTTCACTTCCTTGTGCTAATTTTAAACAAATGTTCTGTACACGTACAGATAGCTGTGATAATCTTTATGGAATCAAAAAATAGTTTGCCATTTTATTTTGAAAGAAAGAGTACATTACATATTATATTAGCTACATGAAATAATGTTATATCACATGGAATCAATAAGTGTAACATCATCAAATTTATTAAAGTAAATCCTAATTTGCATCAAGGAGAACAATCCAATGTACATTATTTAGTTTGATGAATTTATTTGTAATACCATGAAGTCATGATATTTTAGAAACAATTTTAAAAGTGTATAAACTTAGTATAAAAATATGTCATGCAAGTGTGTATATGCAGTTATACTCCATTGCTATTATCAGGCTAACATAATGCTTATTACTTTGTATGGCAAAAGATAAGAGAAGCATTGTATTCCATTTTCTACAGGAGGGTATGTGCCATTCGAAGCAGGACTTTACTGGCCGTGAAAATGCAAATCATATAGATCTGAATCGCGATTTTCCTGATCAGTTCGACCAAAGCACAAATCATTTGCAACGAGGCGGCAGTATAACAGATGGCAGACAAAACGAGACAGTCGCAATGATGACCTGGATAGCTACTGAGCCATTTGTTCTCTCAGGAAACTTTCATGGTGGGGCCATTGTGGCAAGCTATCCCTATGATTCAGGGTATTATTCTTATTCAAATAATTACATTACAATCGTGAAATATGAACGTTTTTGAACCTAAACCTGGTGTATTCCATATAGAATTGCTGAGAATTGCTGTAAAGAAAGTAAATCCCCTGACGATGAGTTGTTTAAACATCTTGCGCATACATATGCCGATAATCATCCCACGATGCGACTAGGAAACGCTTGTTCACTGGAACATTTCCCTGGCGGTGTCACCAATGGTGCCTACTGGTATATGAAGAACTTTTCTCTAATATAATTTGTTCAGAACTTCAAGAAATTGCAATTTAAAACGAGATAACCATATGGACATTTTTTTTACAGGTATGAAGTTACGGGAGGCATGCAGGATTTCAATTATGCTCGCTCTAACGCATTTGAAATAACATTTGAGTTGAGCTGCTGTAAATATCCATTGGCTTCGTCATTGCCAGAACAATGGGAACTGAACAAGGAATCTCTCCTCAAATATATAGAGCAAGCACACATTGGAATTAAAGGTATATGCTCATAATCATAAAATCTGTTTAATAGATCCGTTACATTGCTTACTGAATTTGTTAACAGGTAGAGTAACAGATACGGAAGGTCAGCCGATCGAAGGTGCCAATATCGTAGTCGTTGGAATAAATCACAATATTTCTACAACAAATCGTGGGGAATATTGGCGCCTCTTGCTGCCAGGCACTTATTCTGTTTACGCTGCCGCCTGGGGGTGAGTTCATTTTCAATTTATATACTTGACACTAACCGCATTTCTACCGTACAGGGTTAAAACGGTGAAATAATCTTATTGGGCTATTCTATGCAACTCTTGCATGTAATTGTTTTCTCCTATCTGAATTCTATATGCTGAAAACGTAGTCAGTGAAAACAAATTCTCGTAAAGTCAGTAAAATTTCTTAACGGACTGTAGATCTTTAGAACCTTCATTAAGAACATAGAACCTCTTATTTGCTCCCATGCTACTTCGATGTAACGTAGAACATTATAAAGTTTGATACCTGAGTCTTTAAAAGTACCTTTCCAATCTATTTAATACATCTGTATGTACTTAGACATACCGGGTTATTCAGATAGATCAAACGCACCACCTAAAGTTAGTGTGCCCACTTGATTCTTATGGTAAAACCATATGTTCATATGGTGTGTTTAAACTGATTAACTGGGTATATGTCTATATTTACAGACATAGTGTCGTTTCAAGTAAAAATATCTTAAAGATTAAATAAGCCAAATATTCCTTACATTGTGAAAGATAAAAATTCCAGTGATCTTCCTAGTGTACTAAATATAGAACTAAATCAAAGAGTGTGTAGCCGTAAATACAGTCTAGGTTCATATTAAATTACTAAAAATAGCACAAAGCCTCACGTAGTGTATAAATATATATTGCAATAAAGTCAGCAATACTTCTCTAATTTAGGTATCGCTCAAACAGTCCGGTGCAGGTAACTGTGACGAAGGAGGATCAGCCAGTAATATTGAATTTTACATTAAGAAGCGAACCCCTCGACGAACAAGGTAAACCTGATAGGGATTTTCTGCAAGTGATACCGTTTCTCACGCGTTTCTCTCCTCTTCGCAGAATGATCGCGACTCTGCGTAACCGAGAGAATTAGCAAAAAATGTTCTGTTAAATCGAGGTCCATTATCATTCGTGTCTCATATGTTCGTTTTGGCATCTTCGACAAGTTTGTTAGTTCACGGAGTCATTATTATTATAATTATCATCATCACTCGGTTCTTTCACACAGTTTAAAGAAGTTCAAGCTTTTCTTTCCGTCCGAGAACGTTCAACTGCGCGCTACGAACGTCCTCTTACTCTTGACTATATAGTTAAAATTATTTTGCATTTACTTATACTATTTACTTCTATATCTTTTTTATTTTACAGAACGCTTTCAGTAATCTCATGCTCGGATCTGCACGTCTATGTTAACGAAAACTAGTTACCACAGCAATTAATTTCGTTATGATAACCCTTAAATGCTTATCCATCCTGGCTTTTTCTTTTTTTATTTTATGTTCCTTTTGGTCTAGTATTATGTATATCATAGGCGTATACGTCATAGACTTTTTTCGTTAACGAGCTTATAACGTGTACACAAGGTATGGAGAAATCAAGCGGGTAGAAGATTCTTTATTTTACAAGATATTATGAAAAAGATCTGTCCTCACTTTTGTGCGGTTGGATTTCTTTTTGTTTGGTTCCCAGACACTGCATGACAAACATAAAAAACATTCTTACTAGCAGCATATTGTAGACCAGTAATAGGACCATATTGTATAGCATTAATTTAAATATGACAATGAACATATCTCTCTATAAGAATTCGCTGTACAATGCTATCGAATGTTAAAGCTACTAGGATCGATAGTGAATGTTATTTTTTTCTTTTTTTTTATTACGCTTTATCAAATTATCACATTTCTCGTGTTTGCGAGAAAAGGACAAGGCGTCCGATCTCTTTTTTATTATTAGGTGGGATTTTTCAAAGGAAGTCGTTTGACCGAGCTTGGAATAACGGAAAATGAAATAATTAATTATACTAGGGAGAGATTTATTGGCTATAAACATAAAAGTCCAGTGTATTATACATTTTGAATTTTATGTGTCATCTACTTAAAGAGGCACGGATTTACGAGACTATCCTACAATATCAAGACTTAATATTTTAGTAGGGATTAACGTACATTCTATTTTATTTGTCTGAACGAAAATTCCGAACTTATATTTTATTGGGAGAGTAGATGAGACCGACGAAGCCGTAGAACAATTTGCTTTAGACACGTATGGACTTTTGTTTTCTTACAATTAGTCTTCTAGTTTTCTGTTTGGCTCAGTTAGTGGCTAGGCAACTAAAATCATAAATATCCACAAAGATTATACGTTTCCATCGAGGAAAGAGAAAATTTGTTTAATGGATATCCTCAGTTACCATGAAACAATGTCATTCTTTCATCTTATTGAGAAGATTCGTCTTTTTTCTTCCTCACTTTTTTCCGCAGACCGTTACTAGTGATACTTTAGACATGAATTTTTGTTGACGATCATAATACAAGAAAAATGAACGTTTTTATTTGACTCTATGTTTCATTTTGGTTTTGAAAATTTAATCAGGGTACTAATAGAAAATCGTCGCTTTCGCGCGAATAACGGATTACAAAGAGTATATTGGTTAGAAGTGAGTAATATCACAAGCTGAACGTTTCAAAAACACCAAACAATAGCGGCGGCAATACGTCTAGATTGTACCGCAGGATGATTCTATTAAAAATAATAAAATGAGAATACAAAAAGTATTATCTAATATCTAAATATATAATAAAGGTTTGTCTGTATCTACTTGTATGATCTGTGGAATTAAAGAATATGTAATGTATAATGCGATGTCCCAAATAAAGTATTATATTTGCTGTGATGTGTCGCATACAAATATTTCATTTTGAAGACACCAGCCTCATCCTTACATTGGCTCCTCTTGCAAGTCAAAAACTTATGTAGAAAGAACTGAGTTGCTCATTTCTGACGTCTGGATTTTCGTTTATTCTTATATCTTATTTTCTCTATACCTTGTGTTACGTGAATACGTTTGATTCAGTTATCATTGGAAGCAATGATTACTCTCATACAATCGTTTATAATCCTGCAATAGATATTACATGCATACAGAAACCTCTAAAAAAGTGTACTATACACTATTTACCAAACGGTAATCTCTTTAGTATTAATAAAGTTTCACAATGAAACTAATTTAAAAACTTTGAAATAGCTTATGACCACAGTATCATTTATATGCAGCACGAAATGGTTCCCCTGATGTGGAGGAACTAGAAAGGCCTATCGATAAATATGGCTTTTTCGATCACACGGTGTTCGAGCATCACAATTACGTAGCCATGGAGAAATATCTAATGGACTTATCTAGTGTTTATCCAAACATCACTCGCCTGTACAGTATAGGACGTTCGGTGCAGAATCGTGAACTTTACGTGATGGAAATAACAGATAAACCTGGAAAACATGATAAGAGCAAGCCAGAAATGAAATATGTAGCGAACATGCATGGAAACGAAGTGGTAGGAAGAGAAATGTTGCTGCTGCTGATAAAGTATTTATGTGAAAACTATGGTACTGATGCAAGAGTCACCAAGATAGTAAATAGTGTTAGAATACATCTGATGCCTAGTATGAATCCTGATGGATATGAAATATCCAAGGCAGGAGATGTGAATCAATTGAAAGGTAGAAACAATGCTAAAGACATTGATCTGAATAGAAATTTTCCTGACCAATATGGTTTTACTGAGGTAGGTTTCGTGTATACAATATTTTTCAAAATATCTGAGTATTTTGAAAAGCAAGAATATTTATTTTTGTACAGCTCAACAGAATCCAGCAGCCAGAAACCAAAGCAGTGATGGATTGGATAGCATCAGAACCATTTGTCTTATCCGCAAACCTCCATGGTGGTGCCTTGGTGGCTAATTATCCGTATGACGATGGTCCTGATAAATCCAGTAGTGTAGTCAATCTCGCCCCTGACAATGACGTCTTCAGGATGCTAGCACTAGTTTATTCGCAAGCGCATCCAAGGATGCACTTGGGAGAACCATGTGCACGTCCTTTTACTATGAATGGAGGTATAGATCCACTTGAGGAACGATTTCCTGATGGAATAACCAATGGAGCTCAGTGGTATGCCGTTCCTGGTGGCATGCAAGATTACAATTATATAAATAGCAATGACTTTGAAATCACATTGGAGCTTAGCTGCACGAAATTTCCTCCTGCTGAGGAGCTTCCAAATTTCTGGCTGCAGAACAGAGAACCACTCTTGGCTTTTATAGAAATGGTTAGTATTTTTTAATTCCAGTTACCTTTTAGGTCCTCTTACTAGAGCTAACATAATTTTTTTTCTTCAGACTCGTAAAGGTGTTCATGGGTTGGTAAGATCCTCTATCGGTGGAGCGATTTCCCATGCCAGAGTTCACGTCGAGGGGATCGCACATGACATCTTTGCAGCGAAAGATGGTGATTACTGGAGACTCCTTATTCCAGGAAATTATAATATTACTGTCAGTGCTGTGGGATATGAGCCGTTGACGCAAAACGTTACCGTACCTGAAGGACATGAGTTGGGACAAGGGGAAGTAACTTTGGATTTCACCTTAATGAGGGATGATCCTCAGCATTGGTACGTTTTGAATGACTCATTGCTGAATACATTATGAAATCTTAACATGAAGTCTCAAGAGAATATTGGAAACCTCGAAAATGGAATGATTAAGCTTAACTGTAATCTAAAAAATGCTTGCAATAAATCATTCCTTATGTTCATTCGTAGTGATCAGTTCTTCAGTTTCACATGAAATTGTTCTACATATTCATTGAAACGTGACTACCGGTAATTCTGCTTGTAGGTCTTCGGCGTATGATTTTCGGCTAATGTCAAACTTACAGAAAGGTTACCTAAAGAATGTAGAGTTAAGCGCAATGCTTGGCCAGTTAGAAAATCGTCAACAGGATGTCGCGGAATTCAGGGCTGGAGATTCTTTCGTCAGCATGGCCATACATTCTCTTAAAGTAACCCAGAATGTAAGTGAATTCATTAAGCTTAAGTACTTTCTAACTTCTGAAAAATTTCTATAAGTTATGGAATTTTTTGTAGATGGGAGCACCAGAGGAAAATAAATTTCGAATTGCCCTTGTCGGTGGATTATTCGCATCGCAACCAGCAGGACGTGAATTATTTTTACGTCTTGCTACACACATTCTGAAAGGAAATCAAATAGGCGATCCACCAATTCAAAGAATTCTGAATACTAGTGTGTTGCATTTCATTCCTGGAGTAGATCCAGGATTTGATAAAGTATCCGATTTTTGCAATCCTCTGGTGTCTGATGAGGTCGGCGCAAAAATGTTGGATGATAGTCAACAACTTGATCCGGTTACAAGCGCTTTTAAAAAGATGTTGGAAACTGAGGATTACGATGCAATTATTCTGATATCTGGTGGAGCTAAAGATGTTAGTTACACATACGACGAATTCAACATTTACAGGACACTTGCCAAAAAGTATAAATTTCAAGTTCATTCAGAAGTATGTCAACCTCAAAACAATGGTGTAGACCAGTTAAAGGATTCTATTAACAAGCGATATAACATTCCTGTGGTAAGTATTTTAGTGGAAATTTGTTAAACAACGTAACTATGCATTATAGAAACATTAATTTATAGATAAGTATATCTGCATCCTGCTGTAAATATCCTTCGGCTGAAACTATTCCGATGCTCTGGAGAGAAAATTTGAAACCTCTAATGGGACTTCTTCAAGATCTTTCGACTGGTATCCGCGCGACAATAACAAATAATCAAGGAACTCCACTGAGACAAGCTATAGTACAAATTGGAACTACGATTCATCATTTGTCCAAAAATATGGCTTATTTCAAGATGACATTATTGCCTGGCAATTACTCTTTCATCGTATCCTGCAAGGGTTACATCAGTAAATCAGTCATGATTCAGATAAACGATAAGGAAGTCACGGATATGAATATAAAACTTGACCAGTCCAAGGAAGTAGATATAGGTCTTATAGAAAAAAACGAAAACAAAGGAAGCAACAAAATCAATAATATTCTGGAAGATTTGAACGGAAAGTATCCACAAATTTCTAGATTGTATAAAATTGGCAAAACAAAAAATGGCAATGAAGTGATGGCACTAGAAATTGGCAAGCAAGATGATAACTCAAAATTAACTGGGAGACTTTCGGTTATTTTCTCAGCCGGTGTATATCAAGGTGCTCCAGTGACGTCAGAAGTATTAGTAAATTTCATTTACTTCCTTTTAGCTAGTTATAAGACAAATCCAAATGTAACCAAGTACCTAGACCATTTCTTTATACACGTGGCACCAGACTTGAACCCGGATGCAATGAAGAAGCAAACATGTTTGGGCACTACAGAGCAACCTTTGCAATTCCCAATTCGGAATGCACTAGATAATAATGCACAAATTATTGTTGATTGGTTCAAAAAAGTTAATGCTGTTCTTGGGGTGAACTTTAATACTGGTTCAAGGCACGTGGAAATACCGTATGGCGACAAGTATGGAAGTTCATATGAAAATATATACAATACCGACGATGAGAATGTTTTGAAAAGCTTTGCACTAACTTATTCAAAACACCATCCGTCTATGAGCACTAACAATTCTGTATTATCAGAATGCGGAACAGCATTCATCATTGAAGATAGCGGAGTCACGCATGCCGGTGTGGCGCTCGGTAAAGAACGTAAGAATAGCTTAATCGACTATGTCTACCTAAACACAAGCACACTGATGCTGGATGTTTATGTATCTTGCTGTAACACTGATTATCCTCTGGATATTTGGAATCAAAATAAGGAGAGTCTACTGGCGATCATTGGGGAAATTTCCAAGGGCATTACTGGTTACGTTGTAAATCAGAACGATGAGCCCATTAAGAATGTTTTATTATCGCACGATAAATTCGTCCACTATGTTAAAAATTATCAATCAGGAGCCTACTGGCTTTTATTACCTTCGGGGACTCATACAATCACTGCCTCAGTGCCAGGATATATGACAGAGACGAAATTGATAGATATACCAGATGCCAAGACATTCACCCACGTAATGTTTAAACTACAGAGAGATGAAAATGTTCTGGGAATGCCAAGATTAGTTTTTGTAATAATAGCTGGTATACTTTGCCTAGGCATAGTCGTGTCCGGAGTTTGTTGCTATGCAGGTTGTCAATCAGCGCGAAATCGCGAGAAGAACAACAAGAAGGGTTATGCTTTTAGTTTACTGAGAGATGGGAATACTTTTTTCGACAACGATGAAAAGGAAGTTGAGATATTCAAAAGACCTTTGAAAGGTAAGGGTTTACGCTATTTTGTAATAAAATTTGTGTACTATACATGATTTTAATTTTTAATAGAAAATCTGAAAGAAGCTGATGATCTGAAAATAACAAGACCATATTTTGATGCCGATGAAGAATCAAGCTCTGAAGATGATGCTAGTGATCTTGAGTTTATCAGACCTGAACTTGATTGAAGAGAGACGCTGCAAACTGATTTGTAATGTTAGGCAACTCTAAATACGATTTCCGTCCAAATATTATAACTGGAATTCTACAACAGGGAATTTGAAAGTGCAGAGTTTATTTTTACGTTCATTATAAATACGTTTCAGTCTCAATCTCTTAAATGCACCAACAGCAATATCAATACAAACATTAATAATGATTTCCTGTTAATGATGTAAAATATTTCTAGATTGTTTCTGGATCAAGTGTATTCGAACATAGTTTACATACATGTTGGAATTTATCTGTTAATCGAGACATTACATCTTTATACAATCGAATTAATAACATTCAAAGACAACTATATCCGATTAGCAATATTACGTAATCATATGATGAACATATCCAACGTTCGCTTTGAACGTACTTAAAATCATTTGATATCTCTTAAGATGACCTTTATTGTATATTTTATAGATATTTTTGAGTGGAACATATTTTTTTATTTTTCTCAAGTACTGTCAAAAGTTCCTATAATATACTTCCAAGAGAGAATGTAAATTGGACAAATCAAGATTTTTATATGTAATGATATCACGTGAATCACGTATCTTTATTAACACGAGCGTTATTTTATTCTAAATTATCTATAATCTCTTCCTGTATTTGATAAACTTTATTGGCTCTTATCTCTTTTTATGTTTCGTATTTAACTAATTTTGATAATCTTTACATGACAATTTTTGATGTCAGAGGAACGCCTATTTGTGTACTTACTTTTATAATTAATTATCCCGATGTAGCATATCCACCTTGCTGTTTCACTCCGTCGTATTTTACCTGCGATAACGTAGACAAACGTAAGGAAATGCATTCCTCCTATTTTTCCTTGTGTTCTATCGAAAATTAAGCATATCAAATCTAATTCCAAGTGCATTCGATTCTTTCCATATTTTCAAGTTTCATTACTTAAAGTAATTAAAAGGACGAAGAAAACAAGGCATCCGAATTTTAGAAGATATTTTTGCAGCGATAAAATAGAAAGAATAATAGTCACAATGTAAATTTAATTTTAAGAACAGCTTACCAATTTGTACCCTTACGACGAATTTCTGAATTGAAATCTCTTTTTATAAATAAGATTTAATATTGGGTTTAAAAACATTGCGACTATGTATGTATAGCGTAAAGGATTATAAAATTATATGTATAAAGCGTAATAGCGCATGAAGAGTACTATCTATATATTACTGTATTTTTGGTAATTGGCAAATTACTTAACACGCCTGTACTGTGTATATGAGTTTACATGTTTCCATTAAAATCTCAGAGATTATTTTGTGTGCATACCATTCTATCTACATTTTATATCTGCATATGGCTAGGATGAAACTATACCCACACAACACACGTGCCCAAAAGTCATTCTTAAGATGTCTCAAAGACAACTGTGCTCTAAAAACGAATTTTGGACATTATGTGTTGTCTGGGTAGGCTCTTTGATTTATATAACATTGCTGTATTGATTTTCTTTAAGAGCTTAAAGTGACTTAGAGAGCGGGAGGTACGGATCTTGATGAAATGTATAAACATTATAAACAAATAAATGGAAATAAAAAAAAGAACCATCATCTTTGATAACAACTCGATTCTTATTGTTTTATTGTTAATTTTCATTCATAAATAAACATACAAAATATATATCCGACATGATTATGTTCTTTGTTCACTGCCATGATGAATTTTTTAATGTGAATTTTTTACATTTTGTTTGGTTCATAAATTGTACGTACGTATGCATGTATTTCTTGTCATTAGGTAAATTATTGTGTATCTGCTCATTATATGTGTATTATTTTAAACTTAAAGAATATTTTTAACAAACGTCTCGTCCGTCTAAAAATTGGCCGTTACACCAAACTTATAAGTATGTACACACTTAATACTGACTAGGAACTGGAGAGTCCTAATTAAAGTCTTAGTCATAGGATAAGTGTGAATATGAATTACGTTGTACAAAAAAGAAGATGAGGAAAAAAAGAGAAATTGTCTAAAAATAAAAGAAAAAATGGACAATGTAAACCGTTGTTTATTATAATATAATGTAAATTCGGCAGTCAAAAGGCACTTTTTTGTCCTCCTTTTTTTTCATTCAATGTTCGAAGGTCGACTATTCAATATTAAAAACTATTTGTCAACTTGATAAACCGCAGGTACAAAGAAATCAAATTCATTTACATTTGTATCGAGACGAATGATAAGGTAAAATGTGTCACATTAAATAGTTTGAGTAATCGAGAGATCTATAACAAGTTTATCTGTGAAGAAGTGATTTGTTTAAGGTAGTTAGATCACTTAGACCCATTCCAAGATAAAGATCCAAATTTAATGTGTGTACGTTAGAAGGTAATGTAATTTCGAGCTATATAAAATTTGAATAAGATTTACCGTACGATTGCTAAGATATTCAAACTTGAAAAAATGTCCAGGTAAATTGGGTACGGTGAATTTAGATATGGCTCGAAATTCTCATACATTATCGCTAATTAATTTTTTAACTTAAAATCTTGGAATTTTTTACTAGCTGTTCAACTTTCCTATTATTATTATGATTATAATGATCGAACCTCCTTAAAATGTAATTCAGTTTCTAATTTAATCCCGCGCTTTAATGTCACGTATTCTTATGAATTGCTGGGATTACCCTGACTCTTATATAATTCACGGGTATCCCCATACAAGAGTAAATAAATTATATAAATAATTCATAATCTTACTACATGACAAATGACATATGGATATCGTTGAAACGATACAATGAACGATGCTTGAAGTGATGTATATATAATAATTCAAAAAATTAAATGCGAAAATAATAACTTGCTGTAAACATTGTCATCCGGCACAGGTACAATTTACACTACAGCCTCACGTTATTGGCATTGTGCCGATTACGTAACGCCTTTGAGTGCTTTTAAACGTGATGTAAACATTAGAAAAAATATATTATATTATACCTTCGATGTAGGAAGCGTACGACAGTTTCTCGCATGACACCATGTGTTAGAATATCAAAATAACAAATTTTGATTCTTGTCCGTTTTAATCCCAAGCCACTGCTTTGCTCGATTGTGCGTTTACTTTTTTCGGCACGCACAACGTTATGTGTTTTACAATACTACAGTAATACCCCGCCTTACGCAACCCCGATTTACGAGAATTCGTTATTATGGGAATTTCTTTTCAAAGCAACGCCAGCCGCCTCCGCTGTCTCTTCATTCAATGTTGTCTTCATAGCATCTGCTTTCATGAATTTTTACTACGCTTTACAGAGAGTAATATGTAAAGATTAATACTTTATTTGATCGCTTATTGATCTGATTGTATGATTTAATAAGAAAATAGCTGCACAATAGTACTCTCGTTCGTGTCTTCATTGAATTACCAATTCCTTTTTTTAATCCCATTATATGCGATATTTGTATGATGCGAATTTAATAAATGAAGTATTACTGTACTTATAAGTCCCGATCAAGTCGACTTTATACGCATCTCTTTTGAGTAAAAGTGGTACTTCGTGAGGTGCCCACAAAACTTCGTGGATCACTCAAAGGAGTTTGACATGTCCTCAAGAATACATAACTGATAAAAATTTCAGAATGTGAGCATATACTCGTTTTACATTGCTGGCGGGAAGTAAGAAGTGTATAGGATGTTCCAAAGGATAGCGGCAGCCATGAGTCCTGTGTATGTAAATACACTAGCCCACCATACAACCTTCTCCCACGTATTCACTTCGAGGTTGCGCAGAACATTTATACCTACTAAAAGACCGGCTATAGCGCCAGCTAAATGTGCTACGTAACCGATTTGATCCTTAGTGTCCAAGACGTAGCGATTGTAGACAGCCTGGCCAATATCAACGCTGGTGATAAGCACGAACACGAGAAGTTGAACAACGGCAAATTCCATTTGACGCCAATTCATTATAATCGTTGCTACATGGGCTGTGATTAACGCGTATACTCCTCCTGATGCACCAGCAAGAAACACTCCAGGATCTGACACAGACGTCCCCAAAGAGCCGGCCACAACGCCGGCAAGATATATCGTCAAAACACGCCACCATTTGTGTACCATCTCCAACGGAATTCCCAGCATGATTTGTACCAGAAGATTAACTACCAGATGAAAGACTCTGTGCATAAATATTTCAATACTCGTTAATCCGGTTGCTCTCACAAGACTGCTAGTTATATCTTATTGTATGATGACTAGGGAATAAGATAATCTATCATATTTGAAATGCATGTTGAACTAACCTAATGTTATCCTGAAAACATTTGATTGATCATACCTGAGTAATAGCTTACTGTATGATTCTTTTAAAACTTTGCTGGCCGGTGATATTTGTACTTGCGCGAATATCTTTTAACTCGGTGCTAGTCACCTGCCTTTTTCAAACAGCGCCATACATACACATGGGATATTTAAATACCTCAGATCTAATCTTCTACTCAAACGCAGATATATTTTTAGTTTTCTTTTACTGTAGCTTTATTAAAATCCATATTACCTACTTATTACGGCATTCGATTTCTTAATGACGTCTGCGCTTGCTAGACATGGGACTATAATCTAGGTCGATACTTTAGTGGCATACAAGATTAAAACGCTAGGGTAATTTATTACCCCAGGGTGACTATTGCTGGATTAATAAAACTGCATGGAGAAATATTGAGCTTACCCAACGTGCACGAACATGTAGCTGATGTACCTCCACGCTTGATAACGCTTGTAAGGATTATAAATGAAGAGTACAGCTGCCGGGCCTTCTACCGAGAGTGCTTTGTGAGCAATTGCATCATATAGAAATAGAATGATTTCTATAATAGAGATGATTATCATTGCAATTGCTGGAGGACTGCAGCTGTATTCTTCTTCATAGAGACCGTCCGGGGTATCACTGGAGTAATGAGCTGTTTGCGTGGTTCCGGATATTGTGGGACGTTGCGGTACCATTGAATGCACGTAACGCTGAACGAAGTGTCCAAAGACACCTTGCATGTCTTTTCTGTGTATCTAAAATTTCATAGTTAGATATGTAGATTTTGTCATATGTCATCCCATGGTTAGCATGGTTATAAAATTGGAGAGAAAGGCATAATACGCGATTCCTGGTTTTAAAACCATTGCTAAAAAAATGGCTGTCTGAAATATGCCATGCATGTAGTTCACATTATCAATAGCCTCTAATCAAAATATTGTACCATATCAAGATCATTTACAAAGATACACGAAGGTGCAAATTGAAATTAGGCCAAATTTTCAATTCTTTCAAGTTAGTTATACGAATGTATGTTTCAGACTACCAGATTTATGGTGACAGCCTTAATGCCTCAGTCTAGCCATTGAGTATTTTCTTCTTTAAAAGAAATGTTGAATGGACCAAACACCACAGAGTCATCTTGAATTTCAGTCCAGAAAAATTGTAAATACCATAGGTGTAACAGATGTTTCCTATTTAAGTATAGTTGACAACATATTCTATGGGACTAAATATTACTTTGATATCAGTTTTTTAATAATAAATTCACAACTGAAGGTAAAATGCAATGAAAAAATTCTGATATTGAATCTGATGCGTGAAATTTCATAACAATATTTCATATAGTTGTTTAAAGTTTCCAGTGCACTTAAGAAAATATTTTTAAGTTTATGCCAGGGTAAAATAGAAAATAAACATACCATAGCTATAAATTCAGGATAATCCAAATATCCTGAATCGTCTAGGTCAGCTTTGTGCATGATCATCCGGACTACACGCGTTGGTATGTCATTAGTGTATGCTGTGCCACGTATCATAGCTTTTAATTCTTGATATGTGATCTTTCCATCACCATCCAGATCATACTTTTCAAATATAGCTTTCCAATGCTACAATTAATGTAAAACTTATATATCTGACATGTTATACATTGTTATATTAGAAAATATGAGGGAAGTACCTATTCATTAATTACTTACAGCATCATTATATTGCAGAGGTATTGTAACTCCAGATTCACCTTCTTGCCCACTAGCCATCCTTATTAATTTAAAACTCCTGGAATAGTCAAATGTAAAATAGAAAAGCAAATCACTATAACAATTCAAGCAGTGATCGAAATTGCTACAATACACAATTTTATTGACATTCAGAAATTTTAATAGTCTTTTGTTGCATGTACATAGATTTATGGAATTTCTAGTACATAAGCAAGAGGTGATTATAAACTAAGTTTTAGTATAATCTTGATTTAGGTTAATACTGTACTTTAATGAATCAATGAATGAGATGTAATTGGAGTTAATATTTCTACACTCTAAATATGTCAGATTCAGAAAATAATTGCACAGCGATTCAAAGATTTGGAAGAAGTAAGACTAATCTGCTGTTTTGGTTGAAGTACTCTAAGGAGATATCTTTGATCCTGACTATTTTTTAATACCGTCTTATCTCTGAGATAATTATGGCATCTGATAAGATTGTAAAGAAAAAGTTGATATTACTAACGTTACACGATATCGAGAATGATTCACTAAGCGTGGGAAAGGTGCGGTTTTACCGTTATCACAAGCTTATACATACAAGTACAGTAAAAAACGTTAAAGCATTTCAAGTGTATTCCCCGGAACTCAGGTTATGACCAATCCGCGAGATCCTTTACCTTGCATCAAACTAAATGCCAGCCAGTTCTTAAATCAGTTCTCAGAATCTTGAATCATTATACCAATCAAGAAGGAATTAAATTATATATTGTCCTTGTCACCCTTCCGTCCACCATATAACACGTTTCTACGAGACGAACGTCTTGTGGCTACCTTCCTTCTCTTTAGTGGCTAGTGCCTCTCAAGCGTTCTGAGATTCGACATTTGACGTTTAGAGTAGAACCCGTTTTGGGGCAAAGAGAGTTGGGGAATTTTAGAGGAAGAAAGAGTGAGCAAGAGAGTAATAGAAGGTGAGGTTCAAAAAATGAACAAAAAAGAAAGAGGATAGATCCGGGTGCATGGAAAACCCAAGTGTGTCTGTAACTTTTTTGCTTGCTTTGATCTTTCTCACCTTTCTTAATGATCTCAATGATCATGAAGGATCTGAGAATAAAACTTATATTGTTATTTATAGAACGCTATAGATCTCCGACAGTCCTTGCATAGAGATCAGCTGTTGACTATAATAACTTTAGTCATGCGTTGCCTAGCAACGTCCTACCGTGTTGGTAAACAAAGTAGATCTGAGAATTTATGCCGGTTGTACTGTACATGGTTCACGACAGAATATTTAAAAAATGCTGGAAAAACTACAAGGGAAAATGAAAATAGCAGGAAGTTATCGGGTCGTTCAACCAATAGAGAACTTCAAGATAAAGTGAGTTCATTGTTTATTATAGTAACGTATCTTGGTGGCCTGCTAACTGGGAAATAGTGGAAAACAGCAGCCTTTTCTGACACATCGTTTGTTTATCTCCCAGTTTATACATGCACACCTAGAGTAGCAGCATGGTTTCTTCTAAAAAACAGTTAGTAGAGTTCCGGTGTGGCTAGTAAGATCACAGAGCAGAAACCAATGATTGAATACCTGGTGGGTGTGACAGTCAGTGATCTTACAGCTACTGTTTATTCGTATTTAATTCACATAGCTGGCCATCTGGTCAATAAAGTCTTTTTCTGATCATTCTAATGTTCTTTCAGTTTTGTTTATTAAACGATCTATTTATTGATCTAGGGTCAAGATCATCCAGCAGAGATCCACCCTCGCCGAATTGTTTGAAAACGAAGATGAGACTAGGGATTCCAATTTTCTTGAAGATGAGGAGTATCTTTTTACCTGGCAGGAGAAAGTATTTGCTCCCTTCGAAGCAAGCTTTTACAGAGAAGAGAAGAATTGTGTGACCGAACAGCAAAAGCAGTATCACCAAAGAATTCTTGAGGAAAACATACAAGGATCACGGCTATTCTCTTACACACAACAGGACTCCTACTATCCTGACGATGCTCTACTCACTACAGATTACAGATCTATTCTGTCTCTAAGGAATCCATCTGCTTTGCCTATGTTGAGAAATCGCAAACCCTTTACAGAAAGATACAACAAGAAAATATTGGATGATAAACCAACTGATACAAGAATTCGTTCCAATCATTATCTTTATCAAGAACGAGAAATTATGTATATTATGGTTGACTTAACGCCTAAGGATGAAGTATCCACTAACATCGCTCAGTCACAGACATTATTATGCACTATCACTTACGATAAAACGCATAAGATCCTATCAGTAAATCCTGACTTCTCTAATGAGCAACATTACATCGTAGATGGAATTGGAATGAGCTATGATTATTGGATCGAACATGCATCTGAGAAACCGGATGCTGAGGCATTGCAGCGAGAAAGGGATATCGCAAGACACGTAGGTATTAATTCGCATCAACTTACAATAACTATAATCAACATAAAGGACTTACCCAACATACGAGATTTCTGAGATTTGACGCATTATCTTGTGAGGATAAAAATTCATTTTACTTATTTTTTTTCTTAACAGCGCACAATTAACTTTCAATAATTACACTGGTATTTTAAATCACGTAATCACACATTTCAAATATTCACAATTTAATAGAATATTCTGTATCATGCAATTCTTCTTGTAGTACCACTTGCAAATGAAATAACTAAGAATATTTCTCTCTGATGTTATCCGAATGCTTTTAATAAATGACTCAATTTTTATTGCACGAGTCACAGCGAATCGGGCTGACTAATAATGAAGGAATGTCAAAATATCAATTTATTATTGATACGTTATACAGGAAAGTTTCTACGCGCGTCGGATATTATCGAGTAAAGAGATCTTAACCAGTTCGCTGTCGGCGAACAACTGAATTGTATCCTTCCCTGAATATCAGTTTAAAACATGCTCACCAACACCAGAATTGTATGCTTATGCTATCAAAACACATGTGCGCGTTTATTACAGTAGGGGTAACACGTATACAGTACTAGAGTACTTTCACAATTTAACAGTCGCAAAAGCGTGCACTAACACCGCCACACAACATAACATACCATGAGTTAGCCTTGTGAATTGAATACCGTTCCGTCTTTTTATTTCCTTGTATTTTAACGTGAACTATTTTACTAAGACGATTTTCGTATATCCGTTTTTTGAAATCTTCTCTCGCTCACGTTACATTATTCAGACAATTGTGCAAACTTTACGATAATTCCTCATGATTCATCGTTCTATGTAACGTGGTGATATTTTTCCCCTGAAATTCATCCTACCATTCTCATTAATAATACTTGACTGTTTAATTTGTTCTAAATTATCTGTGTTTCATTAATCAATCACACTCACTTTTAATGAAGTGTGGTCAATGAGAAAGAAAAAAAAGAGACATTCAATTCTATAATCATCTGCGACAAGTTTAACGTCTCGAGAAACGCCTCTGCAGTTCCGCTTTGCTTACTTGCGATTTTAATAAATGCTTGCAGAGAAAGTCTGTCGCTCCGACTGGAGACAGTTGCTAGCAGGAGATAGCCAGCCGTTCACGCTATTGGGAATATATAGAATCGATTAATTCCTTCGACGGACAAAAATGAAAAAATAATACTTCGCTACACAGTTCACAATGCGAAATCAAGCATTTGAATCTTTTTAATTTTTTCCTTCTCTTACAATAGGAATTGCGGGAGAAACAGATCTACAAGGAGGCCGAGATTTTTCAGGAGTTTGAATTACCAGCAGAAAATATATTACGTGTCATCTTGAATTTGGATATCATCTCAGCACATGATTTTCCATATGATGCCTTGTTTATCACGTACGTCGTCGAGCTGCCAACATTTTGGAGCACGAATCGACGCGAAACATTATCTGGCAGAACGCAGCGCTCCCGGATGAGAAAGGAAACGTCGAATTTTTGTTACGTTGCTGAAATTCTTTTGGACTTGGATCTGAACTGTTTGAATGATGAGAACGTGTTACCGTCGTGGCCGACAATACTTTTGTCCGTGGGCTCACTTGATAGTTGGACTAGGTAAATTGGCTTTGATCCAAATGAACTGTCGTAAATTTGTCAATGTACCTTTTCTTATAATCTTTTATTTTTTCCTTTCCATTAACACAAGAATCTTTTCTTTTATTGTTTTTCCAGCTAGCCAGAACTATTAGGATTTCAGTAAAAACATTGATTTACGACTTGAACATCTTTGTGCGTCAAATTGAGAACTATACGGGTTGCATGAATCGTCGTCAAAAATTTCAATGACTTGAGAATACTGAGTATTGATGTAATCATTAGTTATGTAAAGTGTTTTGTCATTGGCAATCGCTTGTCAGTGATGCAATGTCAATAATTCAATGACTAGCCTCTCATACCCTCAATGTTATCCCGTTTAATACGCTATAAGAGAAACAGAATGCTAGATGCCTTTGTTATCAGCATTTTGAAAAGTCAAAAGTCTTTCATATCTTTTAGAAATTGATAATTTAATATATTCTTGCATGGCTAATTGGTTTGTCGTTCAACCCAATGGGAGGTGTTATATATTTATAATATTATAGATTTAAGCTTTAAATATCTGTAACAATTCACGATATTACATCAGGTATGCCCCAAATCTAATGCTATAGGACTGAGATAATGTACAACTTAACTACGTTAATATTGTGAGTAACAAACAAGAGGTAAAGTTACGTAATGAAAAAATTTACGTAGATGATAGTCGACTTGTACGTTTAAAGCTATATAGAAATTGTCTACAAAATTGCATATTATTACTAGTAAGATTAGATCAATTATCATGTATCCATAATACGTTCCTAAATTACATAATAATTTGAGTAAACACTGGTACATAGCGATTCTTAATTATGAGCTTATCGTCGTCTCAAGGAGTAAAAGCTCTTAACAGTACATGGAGCCCTATAATATTCTTCAAATTAATCATTAAAAGTTACTCCACGTATTGTCACACGATATTTCGTTGTTTTATCGTCTGATTAATCCATTCGTATTTCGTTAAAAAGCAATATGACTACATCTCAAGATTAAAAGGAGAATCCATGAAAGTGTTAACGTATTTTTATCATTTTCCAGGTATCGTATAGAAGGGTACGCATCATTTTCTCTACCACCATCTGCAGGAACTCATACAATTACTCTGGAGACTTGGAGACCCGTAGCAGGCTTAGTGAATTCTCTACGACGTTTCTTCACCGGTGGCACCTACGAACTTGAGGATATGAGTTACTGTGGAATCCCATCTCGACATGACAAAACAAAATTAGAGAAATCCGATTTGTCTGTAGTACCTAGCGGCTCCGTAAAGCTGAGAATGAGCATAGTTCATCAGAGCAGGTCGTTCACCAGGGAGCGTGGTTTTCGTAGAGACACCTTTGAAAGACTGAGCGCAGGAACTCTCATGAGTAGCGTAAACAATGTTTTGGAACAATTCAAAGCAGCCAGAGAACGAATGATAAGAGCACGTGCTGTATTCACATAGACCGATAGCCGACAGGAAATGAGGAAGTGCTTATGTCTAGTTCATAATCGTGTTATTAATTTTTTTTAATAGAAAAAGAAATTATGAAGGGAAATTTTTCTATGTGAACCATAGAGACCCTATCATAACGAAGGTGATTTTTATTTCAACAAAAATAACAATTTACATTGAATCGTTTGATAATAATATTATCGTGTATGCTACACCGGTAGTTTACTGTAGGCATGTTATGCGCTCGCTCGCTATTAATCGTTATTAATTTTCTTTTAATTAATTAATAATAGTGTTCGTAGAATAGTACCGTATCGCATTTTATTGATTTACCTTTCTTTCTTATATATACATATACAGGTATGCATTGTATACATATATGCATACCCATGTGTGTATATATATACACACAAACACACAATGTTTCAGGAGAGAGGTTGAGTAGCTTGGCTTTTAGTATCCATTTTATACAGCCTTTAATCTTATTCGTCGCTATATTCATTCGTCCACCGCTTTCTTTACTATAATTTTTTATATTTTTTTAAGAGATATCGTCCCTCTACGCGGTTCCTCTTTATTAATCCTTTTTTCGTTCCATAATTAGAACTCAAATAGGTACACACGTGATATAGTAGATTATTTAATTATTTACTCACTAGTTTCATCCAGTTGTAGCATCGCTGACAGCAATATAGCTTGACCGTACTCTTCTCTAGTATTTCTTTTTCCATTTCACGGATATGACGTCAAGAAACAGTATGATTTCCTTTGTATTATTCTTCGTGCATAAAGCATATCTGCGTTAACAAGTTACAGCGGATATCCTGTTATAGTTTTAAACTGCTATCACTTTTTTGTTTGTATTTATTTTTTAAATTTAATATATACTCACATCGCTCTTTTTTTTTTTGGAAGCATTGACGGCTCTCTAAGTTTCTATCTTTCTCTCTCTCGCATTCGCAGTATATTAAAATTTCAATTCGTGAAATATATCAGACTCGATTGGCAGCCACATTCCCTATATACATATCTAGTTACCTTTCGCTTTTATTATCATTCACTTTCTTTTTGTCATTCTATCACTTGCTCTTCTTGTTTTCTTTAACTCATGTCATATGGAGTCTCTCTCTCTCTCTTTCTGTCTGTGTCTCTTTCCCTTGACTCGGGAAGGGACGGAAGAATTTTTAGCTCTCCTTTTGCCATCAAACTGCGACCTGTAGCAATGTCTTCCAAGAACATACATCTTGAATTCGTAGTACCACATTTTTTTACTTTCTGAATTTCGAATGAAAAAGCGTGGAAAATATTTAGAAGGAACTTCTGTCCGATTTTGTTTCTTGCGCGTGGTGAACTTTTCGTAAATTGATTTATTCAATGTAAAATATGATGCACCTTCTTCCAAATACTTCGTGGTGGAAATCTACGCGAGGTTCCCATAACGATATATAATAAACGTAATGGGAATGAAACAATGAACGAATATGTGATAGTCTGAAGGAATGATGTATCAAGTAACAGTAGAAGAATTCAGTAAGAACTATATTTAAAATACCCTCATAGAATTATAATACAATTGTCTGACGTCCATAAAATCCTGATGAATATTTCGTTCACGTTAGCTGAGTCCTGTAGAAGTGCCACGATACATATATGTATAATAAACAATGAGAGGTACGAAAAAAATCATTCTTACGGCAGTAATAAATGCAGGAGACTCTGGGCGTGATAACGAATTTAAAAAGTTCGTCAATAAATTGATTTTCAATAAAATATCTGTATACATCTATCCGATAAGGATCATATCGTTATAGGAAGCCATAAATAAAATAAAACAGATGAATCAACGGACGAACAAGATGGTAGCATTGATGGAGGGTACAAAAATAATACTTACTAAATCAAAATAAATAAAAATATTCCAATGAATATGAAACGCACTGTAGCAGTCTCACATGGTTTATCTTCTTCATAATCAACCGCGTATGCAATATCCAAATTTGAAAATATTTCATTCTAACTTTCATTATATCTGTTTCTTCCTTTCTTCACTTCTCCTTCTCTCAACGTCACTCAGTCGGAGTCGCAGTCCACACGTTGAAAACGCGTTGCATACAAATATAAAATTAGGCTGTATAAAAAAGTCAGTTTTTTTTTCATTTTTCTTCTATATTCTTCATCTTCGCCTTCTTCTCGTGTACGAGATTATAAGTAGTATGTAACGTTGGGAGATTGCAGGAAATTAGGTAATGGAGTATGCATGTTATTGTACGTGTCCTATGTATTTTTTTTTGTTTTCTCTTTTTATGTCCGTATAATTCGTGTAATTCTCATTGTCCTCAAATTCTAAACACTCTATCACTTTTTCGTGTATCGTTAAATTAAACAAAATCGACATCCAGCAGCCGTTCATCGTGTTGATTTTCGAATCGCGTTCCTTTGTTTCTATTTTTGTATGTATTTGCGGATGTGTTTTGCAATCATATATATATACTTATACAGATATACATATATAATTTTTGTTTCATTTAATCGGCTGTTTATTTATAAGAGAACATAGTCTTGGGAAAAGTTCCCTAGTCAGTTCGTGGTTTTCTAATATCTAGACGCTACCTATCGTACTTTTATTCTATATGATCTATGCACTTATTCTCATACAATACACTAGTGATCCTACAAATAACTTGCTCATACTTAAAAGATAATATTATGTACTATTTACAGTGCTTACACTTACATATTATTTTCCTTGTTTAAACCACCTTATCAAGACAAAAAATGAAAAAGAAAATGTATATATATATATATATATGTAAATATATATATATGTATATGTATATGTATCTATAGAGAACAAGGACAAAACAGAAAGGATGACGCTGAACGAGCTCATTGTAAGGACAATATTGCCCGGGTGGCTCGTGTTATTTTCTTTTCCTTTTTTCTTTTTACTCTTTCTTTGCCTTTTGTGTATACGCATATGCATTGTATTGACGCGCGTTGTATATACGTGTAATCGCATATAATAAGTATATATACACCATATATCTAAACGATGCATCACGTCACGATCGACCGCAGTCGTATATTTATTTATCATTCTTCTTTCCTTCTTCCTGCGGTAGTACAGAATACTCTCACTTTGTCGTGTCATTCTCTCGTCCTCGTCATAGTCATTATTTCTTCTTCTTCACCCCCCCCCCCCCCCCCCCCCCCCCCCCCCCCCCCCCCCCCCCCCCCCCCCCCCCCCCCCCCCATAGTCATTATTTCTTCTTCTTCCCCCCCCCCCCCTCCCCCAACTCGCTCGCACTACGTACTACTATATCCTTGCACTGGTATTATTACAATTAAACGAATTTTAATCCCAGACGCCTTTCACGGACTCATTCTCGAAATAAAAACATGCACACATTTTAACACCGTTATTTACCGTTTAACGATTATTATTAATCACTATTTACAAAAGGAAAGCGTCTGTGTCTCTGGTGTCTTGTTTTTCCACTTCAGGGATTCGTCTTTTACTAATTTTTGTAACTTCAAAGGTAAACGCATCACGGGATTCATCGACGGAATTTCATAAGGACTCTTGATAGATAGCGACGATCAAACGTGACACTGGATTCGATTAAAATTGTTTAATTACGCGTTGCATGCTCGGAGTGAAATAAAGTAACTTGTCAGTTAGAATTCGTTGTACTGTAGAAGTGACTCCCCTCGCTGGTCTAAGCGTGCAAATTAAAACCATGAAATTTATTAACTGAATGGTCAGTGGACACGTGGACAGTAACTTTTAATTCCACGTTTCCTGCGGCAATGATAAAATCATTAGGTTAAAAAAAAAGAACAAAAAATTTTACGTTGTGATTCGATGGATGAAACGAATTTTTCATTTTGTAAAATAAGACAACAACAATGATAGGAAGATAAGAGAAGATAAGAATATCGGAGTAAGAATATCGATATGTAAAATAGAAAAAAAATAATAATGTCTTTAAAACCGAAAAGTATCGGCAGTGCAAGAGACGTCCTGTATAAAATTGCATCGATTCCCAGTAAAAGACACCACACCATGGTATAACCGCGAATCGAAATGTTCTAGATTTTTCCAAAGAAAAATATGTCTAGCGATAAGGTTTTAGTATTTCAAGGATCCTTTCGGTGAGTCCATTCGATCAGTCCTCATCCGAGAGTGGCTCGTACTGAGCAGATAAAAGCGGTGCAGGTTCTGCTTGGGACTGTTCGGCTTTTGTTACCGATGCGGAAACAGAAGTTGGAGGTGGAGGCGCTGGTGGTGGTCCAGTGTGTACACCGAGGGCACTGAACGGATAGAAAGTAGTAGGCGCAGGTGCTGGTGGTTGAGGCTGATTAGGTGATTCATCGATAACCACTTCACCACCAGATGGACTCTCTACACTTGTGCCGGATTTATCATCCTTCTCACCAGAACTATTTCCGCCATTTCTATCGCTAGGCGTACCGGCTTTGTCATCCTCGGATGTTCTCATAACCTCAACGATTTTATTCTTTACATAGTCCAAGGGCGAGAGGTGAGGCTTATTAGTTGGAGTACCGGAAGTTGTAGTGGCAGTGGTGGTTTCGTAGAAACGTCTTGCGTAGTGGTTTGTTGTGGTTTCAGGTGGTGATACTGGCTCTACAGAATGGAACTGTTGTTTGGCCATCGAGGGTGCTTGCTGCTGCTGCTGTTGTTGTTGCTGTTGCTGTTGCTGTTGTTGTTGAGCAACGCGAATTATCTGTCGCTCGTCACCTGACTTTACGGAATCCGGCTCGGCGACTTTTCGCCTCTTCCACTGGTCTTCGTGGTATCTAGAAATTGAAAGTAATAGCGATATTTAATAGTAGTCTTTGAATTTGTATGAATATAAGATGAATGAGACATTGTAATATTAGTATCCACATATTGAATTAGATTTTACCACATGATGAACTTACCCTTGGTATGCTCTATAAGAACCGTGTGGAGGTCCGTAATCCTTGGTCACTATATGATCCACGTGTTCTCCGAGGGTAATAGCTTTAGTTGAACTGCCACTTCCGCTACCAGAACCGGGACCACTGTTTCCAGTTCCACCATCACCAGCTGGACTATGTGCCGCACCATTTGACTCCGCTGGGCTTTCCCGATGAAATCCCTATAAAAGAATATTCATATTACTAGACCTGCGTTATAAACAAAATGAGTCATAACTATCTTAATATGAAAGTAGCGTTCAGTATAATACACGTACCTGAAAGAGTCTATCACCAGGTCTAGTGGGTTGACTATTAGAAACAGGACTTCCACCAGTATTTTCAACACTCTGATTTATTTGATGGGTGATAATGGCATCGATCAGACTCGCAGCTGTTAAGGTAGACGAGGACTCGCTTTGCTGCTGATTAGGCGCAGATTGGCCCTGTCTCGAGGCGGATTGCTGCTGCTGTTGTTGCTGCTGCTGTTGTTGCTGCTGCTGCTGCTGCTGTTGTTGTTGTTGCTGTTGCTGCTGCTGTTGTATCCTGGAAGACGGAGGGAAACCACTGCCTAGCATCCGAGAAGATTCACGATCGAGTTGTTGCTGTTGCTGTTGTTGTTGCTGATCGCGATAAATCTGAGCTATATGCCGCCTTTCTATCTCGATGCGTTGTTGTTGCTGAATATGCTGTATTTGTTGCATTTGTTGTTGTTGTAAGTGAGCCAAGTCTCTCTGCTGCTGCACTGCCATCCGATGTTCAGCGTGATGTTGCTGTATCTCCTTTTCACGCTGGTGTTGCACCGACAACCTATGTTCCTGCTGTTGTTGCTGAATCTCTTTCTCTCGCTGCTGTACTGCCAGCCGATGTTCTTGGTGCTCCTTTTCGCGCTGTGCAGCGGCCAACTGTTGCTGAATTTCTTTCTCCCGTTGCTGATGCACTGCCATTCTGTGATCCGTGTGTTGAATTTCCTTTTCGCGCTGCTGCACCGATAGCCTATGCTCCGCATGTTGCATTTCTTTTTCTCTGTGTTGCGCTAAACGATGTTCTTGTTGCTGAACAGCTAGCCGATGCTCCAAATGTTGTATTTCCTTCTCGCGCTGCAATCTCTGCTCTTCCTTTTCACGAAGATGAGCAAAATCTCTCTCTCGCTCCCGCTCTCGCTCACGATCTCGATGTTGCTGATGAGCCACAGCCATTCGATGTTCGGCTTGTTGCTGCATAGCTAAACGATGTTCCTGAAGCCTAATTTCCTGTTCCCGGAAAGCTCTATTGTTGTCTACGTATCGATCCGCAAGTAGGCGATCTGCCATCGTTTTGCCTAAGCCTTCGTGACCACTGCTTCCCGATGGTGGGTGGCCATGTGGATGCGGTACGGGCAAACTGGGTTGCTGAACTGCTACGTCGACTAGGCTAGAGAAAGCTTCGAGCCCTGGAGGTGGAGGATAATGCATCTGCTTCTGAGGATTGTGCCTCTGGATAACACCCTGCCTGGGTTGCGTGTGAGACTGTGGTGGAGGTGTGCTCGCATAGTAAAGTGGTGATTGAGATTCGTTCTTTGCCGCGGATTCAGCAGGTGGTGGATTTCGACTTCGATGCTGCATCTGTTGACTCGTTATGTAATCGTTCATAATAATCTGTCTTGATGACAGTTGCTGTTCCATCGTGTAGCTCGGCGGCGGGCGAGTTGGATAAGAGTTGTATTGGCTACCATGAGTAACTACTACGCCTTGATTCTGAGGCTGGCCAGAAACATTCCCCGTATTAGCTGGTGAATGCCTAATGGATCGATGATAGTCATAGATTGGTGCTCTCTTATCCACTGCAAACGGATGCACTGGTGTTCCTTGCGTGATAGAGCCAGTTTCCTTTGGACCCTGACTGCTACCAGTATTCCCTGCGCCACCAGTACTTCCTGGTGGAGTCATTTGCCTGAGAAGACCTTCGTAACGGGCACCAGAAACCGGAGTACCGTGAGTAATTGACCCACCCTTATGACCGGAACTAATTCCACTCAGCTTTGGAGACAACTTCGGATGAGGGGGCTGCACTGTTACTTTGTTCATCTTCGGTGTCAGTGGAGCTTGAGGTCTTGGCGATGACGTATAAACCAAAGGACTCTTCGCACCGCGGCCTTGTTCCGGATGGGAATGGTGATAAACCGTATGATAAGACGTACATGCTGCTCCTTGGGGTGGTTCCGTTCGGTATATGGTTACGGGTGGTGGTTTGTGCGGTGGTTGTAGCGAGTGATTATACTCCTGTTGCCTGGGCTTCTTTATACTCAGATCCAAAGTACCTTCCGTTTCTCTGAGAGCCTGTTGAACTTGTACTACCACCAAGCCTTCCTTGGGAAGGAGATCCGAGGTTTGAGATTGATTACTTGGCGCTGGAGGTGGACAAGGTGTTATGGTAGCTTGCATTTGACCTGTTTCAAATAAATAATCATACTATTTCGTAATATTTTGTCTGGAACTCTAACGAGAGTTCAGTCTACTTACCTATTTGCTGAGGACTGGACGTGGAATGATGGCCATGATGAGTTCCAGAAACGACGGAAAGCGTCGCAAGGTTAGAGTCCCTATTGGACATGGCAGTAGTGATATTCGCAGCTGGTTTGTACTCCCGAACAAACGTAATATCGTTGCGATGATCCGTCTTGAGGATGCTGGATATCGTAGGAGTTCCAGAGCTGGCGGGAATGGATGAACCGCTACTTCCGGCAGGACTATGAGGATTCCGTTTAAGCTGCATCTCTATAACACCCAGCATGAGATCCTTGACAGTAAGTGGGTTAGCACTGCTGGTCGTCGTAGGTGGCGAGTGTATGTTAGTTGCTGGCGGTTGCGGTGGCTGTTGTTGCTGTGGCAATATAGTTGTCGTATTGGTAGTCGTTAACGTCACAACGACACTGCTATTGTCCAAATCAGCGCCACCCTGACCCTCGTCCGCCGTCTCCTGGAACAATCAGCGAACCTCTATCAGACGGCTCTATCATCGAAAAGAGAAGGAAGCCTTAGCAATCCTCGTGCAACATCTAAACATCTACTGATACATCCAGTACAAATGGATCCGCGTTCAGAAGATCTACTAGAGCGTGCCAGAACGATATTCGGTATTAAAGAAAAACCATTGAAAAGAACTCGTCTTACCGTGGCAGAGCTATCGTAATCCTCACGATTGGTAGCTCCCTGTTGTACACTAGACCCTGACGTTTGTTGAGAGTTGGGCATGTTAACAGAGGACGGTACCAATGAGACTACAGCGATATCCGACAATTTGTCGTTTAATTTGGTGTCTGTTGATTGCTGAATCGACAAGGTGGCGTTTGTTGCCGCAACAACTGGTGTACTGCTCGATATCGTATTGGCAGGGCTACCCGCACTGGCCGTGTCGCTAGAGTCATGCACCTGCAATTAGATTACACCATAAATAATACTGCTTAGTGAACACAAATAAGTAAGATCGTACCTCAATTTAATGGAGATAAAATACTCTTTTTAACTTACAGCCAATTCATCACAGCTACTCGTACTACTTCCGCTTTCCTCCTCATCCGTAAGACAGGGTCTTCTCTCTTCTCCGAGTGACTGATGATACTCAATAACCATCTGATCAAGACCCTGTTTCTTACGGTTCGCAAGATAATAATTTTTACATTGGTGACTCGACTTTCCGGATATCTGCTCGGAGACCTTTGACCAGTTCGTGCCATGTTCGCGCAAAGCTCTTCTCAATTTCTCAACTTCCTCGTCCGTCCACTGCCGCGAGAAGCCATCAGCATCCTCTGCAGGATCTGCACCTCCTGATAAATGAGGTGCTAATCTACGCGATATCCTGCTGAAGCACACCGAGCAGCACTTGGTCACGTTGCTCGGTATTTCTGAGGAAAGAAAAAGAGCGAGATTCAGATTGTATTGCGTTATTGTAAGCTGCTTCACAAATAAAACTTTGCTCTACTAACGAAACTCCTGTATGACTGGATCCTTTATCTCCAGAGGCAGATCATTCCACTTCTGGGGAAGGGCACGTAACCGTTTCACTCGTGTCTTCGAATTTGCGTTGTTCAAATTAGGACATCCAGGCAATGGGCAAGCTGTATATCGTCCTCGAACAGCTTTACACCTACAGGTATTACACACTCGAGCTCCCGGTGTAACTTGATCTTCTCTTAACCCGTACTGAGATGCTTGACTCCTGGACAATGCTCTACTCTGCGTGCCACCCTCGACCACGTTCTGGCAAATCGCACAGGCATGAGGACCCAGTTGCCTGCCACTCTCTGCAATACAAATAATACAGCAATTACTACTATATTTACTTCTGTTCTCAGAGAATATGTTTTTAAAGAATAAATAGAGAGAATATTATATTTATTTTTTATTATCTCATCTATGTCAAATTAGAGTATAAAAATCAAGGAATCGATAATATTTACTAGAAAGCACAACAACAAGGTTCCCCAAAGACACACGTGATCACATCGAATACCTTAATGACTTGGTACACTAATCGACCGGATATATGTACTATACGTCATAGTTAGTCAAAATACATGAATGCCTTGGCCGAACGTAATAAAGATATAGCTTCGCATCATGAGATAGAAGACTTAATAAATTGTGTTCATTGACAGATAACGAGCTTATGTGGACAGCAGTATGTCAACCTCTCAATTATATTCACATTAAACGTGTCCATTGGTATATATCTATCAAGGTATCAAAAATATATCTTACTGTATGGCTATCCGTCGTATTTGTACCAAAAAACATATGCAAGAACAATTCGCTTCGACGGATCGTCTACATACTTTAGGTAACGACACACGGAGAACAATTTGTTAAAGTGCATCGTACAGCAATCGTAAAAAAATGAAATTGCGATAACTCTCCTACAGGAAACTTGCTCGCACTGTCATTAAGGTCACGCCAGTATCGTGAAGTTCCGAGAGCCTTGATAAAAATCAAATAAAATCTAGGAGTCCAAATCGTGACGACAATCGTGATAAACATCGCAGACCAATTGCAATATGTACTACAACCCTCTACAATATTGAATTCATTTAAATTGACGTGCGCAATATACTGTAAAAGGTATCTAATATTTTCTTCACGATACACACCATCTTCATCAGACTTGCATGAATATCCATTTCTCTGAAATGTTTAAACCCACGAAGATAGTACCAAAACTGTTCGATTATAAGTGCGAATGGAAAATCTGCGAATTTCACAAATTCCAAATATCGCTCTGATTACTCTCCATCCATATGGATTAAATTATGGATGTCTCCTGAGAACGAGTAATGAGTGGAAGATTTATTTATACATTTTAATGTTAAATAAATAGAGGTAATCAGCAAAACGATGCGATATGCAAAGGGGGGAATGATACTGGCTAGAGGTTATGTTATATGCGCGGAATTCGATGAGGGCGTCCGAGTAGGAGTGAGGCGGAGGGAAAGTATACAGAACGAGTGGGAAACAGAATAATTACAGAGGTTCTGCCGGTTAACTAATTAAGGGTAGCCAATTAAAAAGTTCTCGCTAACATCGTTGAAGTCGCGGACTCGTTGGTGCGCCAACGTCGGGGGCGCTCGCTGCGGCGTAAAAGCGAATGAAAAATGCGACTTGAATAAATCGTACGATACGAAGAGAAAAATTTGAATTTTCTTTCTTCTTCACTTCATCCTCTCCATTCTTTTAAGCGTAGTACCGAACATAATTACTCGCATCACATAACAATAAACGTATTGATCAAACATTGAAAAAAGATATTTTTAATCCAACCATATTACGTTTTATTTTATCGTAGAATGGAATATACAGAACAATGATGCTACGGCAACGAGTTGCCTGGAAAATATATATGATTCGCCAATGCGGGAATTGCATGAAAGCTTCGGTTGTATTACGACACTGATTGACAAGTCTATATCCCAACGGATGTTATAACGTCAATTTGACTATTCAAATTTTCCCATTTTTTTTTCGATAACAGGTGTTTCTTTGTCCCTTTTTTAAAATTGTAATCGGCGATGCGTAACGACTACGAACAAAAGTCACGAACAGTCAACATCTAATGGTGCTAAAGATATACGGAAAGCGAATTCGCCTGCTAAGAATAATGTTCGTCTTTGCTAATTTGCAGTGAGATTTAATCGATGCATAGAAACCTTTACTTGCACGAAAATATTCTGTTGGTGAGTGAGTAATGAGCTCCAGGGACGAAAGAGAGAAAGAGGATGGAGCTTACAGGGTACCGCTCAAAATATTTCAAGCCCCCGGCCATGAAACAAAAGCCGGGAAGAAGCGAAACGTTTGAAAGATAAATGAATGAAATAAAATGCAGTGTGCAGGAGGATCCTGCTAATTAAGCCCGTGCGCTGCAGAGTGAAGGAGGCGCGGACAAGGGGCGTACTTTGAATGTTTTATAAAGGGTGCCCGGGCTGCCAGGGGCGACTGCCCTCCAGTCCTGCCAAACAGAGCGCACTTACTCCGTATTTTCCAATTGGCTACGAAAAAAAGGGTAAGGAAAGGAGAAATAAAAATTCTAAAATTTTACAAGTATCTTAAAACGGTTTTTGATGCCTGTAGTAAGAGATATAAATAAAACTTTTCCAAAGAGCAGATAAGCTATATGAAGAAAAATTCAATGGATACCAACACCCAAGGGACAACAATTCCTAAATACAAGGGATAACAATTCTAGATGATCGACGAGACAGGGGAAAAAAATGAGGGCTGATATCTCTCCTAATTATGAATCAACAATTTTCTGGTAATTACCAACAAAACCTGATAAAGTCGGACTTCACCTTGTATCAGCTCGACACTAATCGCTGATTCAAAGGGTGCAAAGCACCGTCGCCCCCTCATCAGTGTAAAAGGGGTTGCACGCAGCAGATATAATAAAGTATTCTCTTTCAGGAAAGATAGGAATACATTACAAAGAAATATAATATGATTAGGGGCTAGTTTCGTAAATAAGGTTGAAGCGTTGTACACAAAGTGGATTGGTAAAAAGGTAAACCCATCGGTAGGTGCGCGAAATTTATAAGGTTAGCAGTCATACAAGGGTGGATTGAACCCCATATATTAACCATACATAAAAAAACATCCCATTGTTTTTCAAAAGAACAGAAGTACACATATTGCAAAGAACCAAGAATTTTTTAAACAAACGCTTTTAATTCTCTCGACAAATATTACTTAACTGTAAAAAAAAATTACACAATTATCCGCCACGTATCGTTGTCAAATTAAAAACCTAAATATCCAACGGCAGTTATTTGTAGATTAAGAATAATAAGAATACGTGGGGAAAAAACAACAAATTTTTCATGTATAAAATCACGAAAAAGAAAATGTATGTCCGAGCATCCGAAAGTAGTAGAAAGATTAAGTTAGGCTAAGTAATCGGTTGGTTCGTTTATTCGCTCGTCTTTCCGCTAAGGGTCTTCGCTTGGGGCCAACGTTTTCGTATTTATGTATTTATGAGATTTCTGTTTCGTCAGGACGAAGCAAAAATGATTAAAAGCAAACAGGCTGCCATGCTGCGGCAACTCTGTATCCACAAGGAATACAAGAGAACGAAGGAGCCACTATCTTGAGACCATACTGATCGGATACCTGACGGTAGATTAAGGTCAATTCGAACTAACTTCGATGGCTAAAAACTTCTTCGGCAACAAGGTAGAGAAACGGTAAAGAAATTCCTAGAAGTTCTATAGATGGTAGTAATGTGAAATTGCTGCAGCAATATTGAAAGTCAATATTGGCAATAAGGTTACCGTCGATAATTCTTTCATTCCAGTTGCTGATATTGCTTTAGATAAAAGACGGCGCTTGGCAAGAGTATACCGATTCTCAAGGTATTTGTTCAATCGCGAACGAACATTTCGTTCCCACGTCGAGTGGCTTCGTCTCTTCCCGTTTCTTTACCAGAATTCGACTACCGTTCCAGCGCAGTTGATTTTGACTCGTCTGAATATTTTCTCTTACAGCAACGTATAAGCGGAATAATATCCGATAATTATTTCTCTGCGAGTAAGACAGAAAACTTTTTTACGATTCTTTTACGTAGCATACGAAGAGCTCTATTGAACCCTGCGACTTAATTCGAAATTACAATTAATTCGCTTTGATGATGCCGTCCCGAGTACCAGGGAACGCTTAGCAAACACACGGTTCGTTATGGGGTCCCATACACAGCAAATCGCAGGTACTACGGTTGATTGCTGTGGTGGCATTATGGTCTCACTGTGCAAATAACATCTGTCAATTAAGTCTAGGGGGAGTTGGTCCTCGCGTCCAAGGGGCTTACCACGAGAACGGATCTGTCCGATTTTCAATCCACCGATGCATATTCCACTCTCAAATGCGCAGATTAGCTACCGATAACTTTTACGTATATCGAAAAAAATATATAGATCCGATAATGACCCTTACAGACCTACAGGCATCTGTCCATGTTCGTTAAGTAGACTAATGAGACACCCTTTACCTACAGGTCTGTAAGGGTTTTAAAAAAATTGATAAACATTTGAGTCCTCGATCTAGACCTACGTCTAAGTTCAACATCAATACGAGACTAAGTCATATTCTGGAACCTGAACTTGATCAAGAGCACGTCCACGATAGATCACTAAAGACCTCTGTTAGCTCTACCCCGTAACGCTGATATGTTACAGCATGAACTTACAAACACTTCATAAAACAGTATTTCCCCGATTCGCTGAACTTCGTCGTCATACCGTACACCACATGTACCTTCTGTTAGCGCTGATTCGTTTATCGCTGTAAATTCTAAGAACACATCCTGAGCCTCAACCGTGCTCTTACTGTATAGTTGAGCTTTGTTTGGTAAGATCAACCCAAGACCCGTGAGTGATCAAAAGCAGATCACCAGATTTTGGAGCCTCTCCGATCGTCAGCCAATCCCTAAACTCATCTTCGATCAAGTCTAGGTTCCAGAATAGCGTGATGCACTCGGTCTCGTATTGACGTTGACCGTGGTCATAAATATAAATGAATCATCTTAGTAAATTTTTGTTTACCTGATGATACCTGTAGATCTCACGCATCTTATTACTGGAGACACCCTGTAAGGTTTTGCGTGTACAAGAAGAGAGAAAGTATACCAGAATGAAGTGCCTACGTTGTCAGTAAAGTTACACGGGATGGGTACTCCCTGTTTACACTGGGTTCACAAACACGATCATCCCTTCCGAAGAGAATGAGAAAGCTGCGTCCGTGCGGAGGCCGCAATATGCTGCAACTTGGGTAAAAGTCAGCAGTAACGTTGATATAGAGTGACAGAAGTGTTCAGTTATGCTATGAAGTGGTGGCGCCACTCTCTCTCGCCCCCCTCTCTCCCCCCACCCTCTCTCTCACTCTCTATGTGTGGTTATACGCGCGTAACCGTACGTACGTAATCCGTTATTTGCGTAGCGAACCACCGAATCCCGTGCACACACACCTTTGTGCAGGCGCACGGGTACACACAGGTAGATAGAAACATCGCAAGCCCAGGTAGACAGAAGCATTAATTGGGATTAAGTAAATCAAGACGCTAATTAGCTCGTCCGCTTCGAACCTGCTGTATTCTGCTGCTATATCTAATGTGGACACAAGTATATACATATATACACACACGCACTCCATTTGATTTTCATCATTAGTTCTTTCCTCATTGCATACGTAGATCACATAAGGCTGTACACTATACTGTTTAACCGCGTGCAGAAAAGACAAAGAATTAATTTGCCTGGGAGACGAAATTTACCGAGAAGCACAAGTAAATTTGTAAGGTGACCGAATTTATACTTTTTTTTTGTCTTTCTCGAATTCTAAGGTTATTTTTTATGAAAAAAAAAAAAAAAAAAAAAAAA